GCGAACAGCGCCCCCTGCAGTTGTGCAGCACAGCGGCCTCCTGAAAGACCAGGTTTTATTTTTATTATTATTTTTAAAGATTTTATTTGTTTATTCATGAGAGAGAGAGAGAGAGAGAGACAGGCAGAGACAGGCAGAGGGAGAAGCAGGCTCCACGCAGGGAACCCGATGTGGGACTCGATCCCGGGACTCCAGGATCACGCCCTGGGCCAAAGGCAGATGCTAAACCGCTGAGCCACCCAGATGTCCCTGGACCACATTTTATATTTCGCCTCTTTACCTTCAACATCTTGTGCGTTATAGATACTACATAACGTTTTCTGTATGTAAAGGAAGACTGGAGATTTGAGAGGAAGGAAATGAAAGGCAATACGTTTTCTTGTATAATGTACATAACGAACAAGCATTCTGGCTGCTTTATTTTTTCTTTTCTATATATATATATATATATACGTGTGTGTGTGTGTGTGTATATATATATATATATTTATATATATATATATATTTTTGTATGTCTAGCCTCAATTCAGCCTTTCTCTAAGATCCTTGCTTTGAATGGCAGCAGTGACCTGCAATCGGGAGAGCGCGCGGTTTTAGCATTCAGAGCCCTAGCTTCTTTTCAGAAGAGAGCCTGGGGCCTCTGGTTCTCTGCAATGCAGCCTTCCAGACCACTGCTGTTGCTTAAGGCCGTGCTGCAATGCAGAGCACTCAGGAGTGGGAAGTCCAGAGTTCTCCCCGCTTCTGGGAACAGCCCCCCATCCCCCTCCCTGCACCAGCTTCCACAGGCAGTCCTCATGACAGTGGGTCAGGCTCACCCAAGGATTTCACAAATGCCTGGCCTGTTCCCAGCACAGCACAGCTGGGAGGGCTCAGCACTGGTTGGGGGGGGGGGCGGAGGGGACGGAGCACCGTACTCCTCCCCTGTAGGGGCCCCCCCGCTGTTCTCAGGCCCAGGGCCCAGGGGCTGGAGCCCAGGAGAGGGAAGGGCTGCGCTTGCCTGCGCTTGCCACTTGCCCGGCTTGGGCAGTGAACCCAGGCTTTCCCTCCCTGCTGATTTCCCAGATCGGCGGCTTAGTCAAGGTTCAAGAAGGAAATTCCCTGTCCCAGGAAGAGAGGAGGATTCAGGCTTGTCTTCCCCGAAGGCAGCATCAGCACGGAGTGGTCTGAGAGTCACCTGGAGTGCTGTTGAGTATGCAGATTCCCGGACTATCCTCAGGGCTTCTGATTCAGAAGGAGCCTGGGTTGGAGTCTGGGAGCCGGCAATTTCGTCCGCTGCTCCCTGGGGGGCTGGCCGCAGGTGCTTCGGTGCTTTGGGGGGCTTGAGGAGGTTGTGTGTGTGAAGTGTATTTAGCTGAAGGAGCCCTGGATTCTTAGCTGGAGGACGGCCAGCTCCCTCCCCTCCCCCCAACTGGCCCCTGGACCCTGGAAGAAGCGAAGGGTGTTTTGGGCCTCAGTGTCTCCATCTCTGACATGGATGTGTTCTGACCTGAGGGTAGGGTAGGGCGATCAACTAGCCTGGCTTGCCGGACTTTCAGGACTGAACTGGGACGGTGCCAGGCAAAGCGGGACAAGCTGGTCACCCTCCCTGAGGGTCGGGACAGGATCCTGGATGTGCGATGCACGCAATGTACTGGAAGTGTGACTTGAAGATGCATCCTTGGGGCCCTAAGAGCAGTCTGTATTCATTGTATTTATATATTTACTAGTTCATCGTCGGTCACTCCCCCCCGCCCAAATCTCAGGGGAGCAGGACAATCCAGGCCTTGTCTTGTGCTACACTGAATCCCCTGACACGTTGGATGTGTTCAGTAGCTATTTGCTGAGCGAGTTCAAAGCGCGACTGAGGGGCTGGGGCGGGGGGGGGGGGGGCGGGGGGCGGGCTCTGGGGCTCCAAGGTCGGGATCCCCCGACAGAGAAGGTGTGCTCCGGGAGGCGGGGGGTGGGGGGCAGGACTCGCCAGCCTGGAGGGAGATCTGGCTCCCCTGGGAGGAGAAAACTTGATTCACTGCTGGCCGGGAAAGAGTCGGTGCTTTCTGAGCAGCTCCTCTCGGAGGGGTCAGTGACCCCCGGGGACGGAGGACCGCCTCCCCCCCCCCCACCCCGCCAGGAGCCCGGGGCGCGCGGGTCCACCCTGTCTCCTCCCCCTCCCGCCCCCCACCCCAGGGAGGTGCGCCTGGCAGCCTCCCCGTCGAATTTCCTGGCACTGGGCTGAGAATAAACAGCGCTCCGCGCCCGTAATCCCGTTGTCACGGCGACCGCGCTCCGCGGGCGGGGGCGGGGCGGGGGCGGGGCGGGGGCGGGGCCTGCCGTGCGCGTGCGCAGTCCGCTGGGGCGGCGGCGGCGGCGGCGGCGCGGGCCCGGGAGGTGCCACCCGCCGGGCTCAGCGCGGACATTCTTCGCATAGCTCCGCCAGGGCTCCCGCGGCGTCCGGGAAGTGACTCTTCCTGGCAGAGGCCGGCCTGGGAGCGACGCGCCCGCCCGCACGGGAGGGGGCGGGACGCGGCGCGGGAAGGTGCGTCCCGGGCCCGGCTCATCGCACCCTCGGCCTGGGTCTCCCCGGGCCGCCCCCGCGCACCGTGGCCCCCACCGCTGCGCGGACGCCCTCTGTGGCTCCCCCCACGCCCCCTGTCCCTCTGCCTGGCACCCTGGCGGTGCCCCCTCCCGAACCTCCTTCCTCGTTCCCTAGACCAGGACCCAACGTACAGGCTAATTTTCCATCCCCAGCTCCCCTGTCTGTGGCCTCCTTCCCTCCCTCCCCCAGAGCAGGCCTTAGATTTCCCATTCCTGGCTCCAGCTCGCCCGGAGGCCTGCCCAAAAACAGCACCACCCGAGAGAGCATAGGGCCTCTTGGGGGTGGATTCTTACAGCCAGGAGCAGCAGAAGGGGGCACAGGGCCTGGAAGCAGCAACCTCTCCCCCTCTGTGTTGGCCAGGGACCCCCAGCTCTGCTCTTCTGAACTCCACTGAGGCATGAGTGTCTGCTCAAGCTTCTTGGCACACCTGGGAACCAGGACAGAGGGCCCCCTTACGTCCTTGGGAGGGGGGCATTCTGTCCCCCAAAAGGATGGAGGCGTACAAAAAGGCAACCGGAGGGTAGGATGAGGGGGGGAAACAGGAAGGAGCGCTCGGGAGCAGACCCATCGGAGGGAGAGATTCTGGCCTGATGTTGCCACTAGTTTGCTGTGTGGATTTAAACCAATTGCTTTCCACCTCTGGGACTCCGTTTCCTCGTCTGCCAAAGTAGAAGGTTGGTCTAGTTTGTGGTCTGAAAACGGAGAGACAGATAAAAGTAAAGGAAGAAGGATGGGGGAGGGTGGCGTCAAGGGAAAGGAGTCAGGGGTCTTCCTGCCTCTGTGTTTAACCATCCAGCGGGGGCAGGAGGACAGCTTCCTCCTGGGCCAGAGAAGATCAAGCCGGGTAGGTTAGCGCCCTGCGAACGGCTGGACACTCTGGCTGAACAGCCGCCTTCTGGGCAGAGGACGGGGACTTTGTTCCAAGGTTCCATCGAGGCTGTCCTTCCATCAGCTCTACAGCTCTCTTCTGAAGGCAGAGGGGGGCCGACTGGCAGACGCTTGGGCAGGGAAGAGCCTGCAAGGAGCTTCCCAGGTCCCGCTGGGTCCCCTCACCTGACCCCGTGCTCTGGGAAGGTGACCTTCCCTGGGTCTGCTTCCCCAGTTCCAGAAGCGGTGGTCTCTCTGTAGTGGTTCCTACATGCTGTCCACTCGGTAGTCATCCCTAGCCTGACTCTTGCCAGTTTACATGATTTCCCCCCAAAGTCTAGGATATGGGAAAGAAAAAAAACCACTTTATTTACTGTTAGTTGCCTTTTGGGCACTGATTCCTGGAGCCGCTTATATGTGGGCCCCCTGGGGCCAGGAAGAGGCGTCTGGCGTGTGTTTCAGGCATCTGAGGCTTAGGGGGCCCTGACTTGGGGACCATACTCCTCTCTCCAGCTATCAGGACTGGGGCTGGGGGGGGGGGGAGGAGGAAGCATGTGTTTTTAACACAACCCTAATGCTGAAACCCCAGAGGGGGGTAGTCACCTCATGGCCTTGCAGGGGATGTGCGGGGCAGGGGTGGGGGGCAGCCCTGGGCCCATACCTAGTGCTTCAGGAGGCAGAGGTCACAGGTTTGGAAATCCAATGCTCCCAAGTTCCAGTTCTGTGTCTTTCCCACATTCCCAAGTGGTGTGTCCTTGGGCAGGTTGCTTAACCTCCATGAACTGGAGTGGCTGCCCCCTCAGGCGACAAATATTTACTGAGCACAGTTCTAGGCATCAGGAGCGACCAGTGTAAGCCCCCAGCTCCCATGGAGCGAAGTCATATCTAAGAATACGGAGGCGATAACACCTGCCTGCCTCGTGGGGTGGGGGGAAGGTTAACCCAGATAGCCTCTAAGTGCCCAGGGGGTGGGAGTGACTAAAATTAGGCAAATAGATGGGTGCTGTCATTGCGAGGCGGCACGGGGCTGTCCACGGCTCAGGCTGGGTCTCCCAGGGATGGAGGGAAGTTGGAGGTGTTGGGAGGCAGTGCCTGTGGGGACCACCCCTCCCCCCACCTCCCATGAACCCGGCTGTGCTGAGGTCACGGGTCACCGCCAGGACCCCGGAGTCTGGGCTTTCTCGGAACACCTCCTTGCCAAGGAGCGCCTCTAATAGCCTGGAGTCTCTAAAAGCTTTGACCACAGCTCAGCTTACTCCCTGCAAACCCTTTGAAGCGCTTCCTTCGAACTTGCTTTGCATATTCTGGTCAGATCTGAATCAGACTAGCAGGAATTACCCCTCTCGGTACAGTCTAGGTGGCTGCCTTAGCTTGTCAGTGACGTGGTGAAAACGAGCTCGATTCCACGGCGAGGAGCGCCCCGGACGGCAAGGGGGCAGAGCCTGCACCCCCGCGGCACCCCCCCTTCCTCCCTCCCCTCGGACGCGGCGTGGGTGCGGGTGAAAGAGAAAGCAAGAAGGCAGGGAAGGGGCGGGGGTGGGGGGGGAAAGGCTCCAGTCACTTTTCATTAAAAAATAGTGCTCTTTATTATAAATTACTGAAATGTTTCTTTTTTGAATATAAATATAAATATGTGCAAAGTTTGACTTGGATTGGTATTTTGTTGAGTTCTTCAAGCATTTCCTAACAGCCTCGGAAGGCCTGGGTGGGGGAGGGGAGAGGACTGGAGGTGGAATCTTTATAAAAGACAGAGTGATTGAGGCAGATTGTAAACATTATTAAAACAAAACAGAACAAAAAAAAACAAAACAAAAAAAAAAACAAAACAAAAACGAAGTAACAGGAAAAAAATAAAAAACCAAACCAAACACCCCAACACACAGCTGCCCCATCCAGCCCAATACCTGATGCAGAAAACTTTGTGTTTGTTTTGTTTTCCCCAAAAAGAACAGTTCCAGGTAATTCCATCGCTGCTACATTCCTGTTAACTTTTCACTGATCAGTGCTATTGCAGAGCGGGAGCAGCTGGGGTGGCAGGGGCCCCAGGCCCTCAATGACTTCCTGCCTGTGCCCTTCCCCTGCCCCCCACCCCCCAGGTGAGGAGGGCCGTGGGACCCGGTGGCCCTGCTCTGCCACCGCGAGGCACCTGTGACCGGCCAACACCGAGGGGCCCGCATTCCTCCAGTGCTCAGGCTGGAAGGGGAGCTTCGGGGCCCTCCACCTCCGCCCACGCCTCCCCCGCGGGGGGGTGGCCGGCAGCCTGCCCTCCGAGGAGCCCTTGGCCTCTGCCTGGATTGGCTGAGTGTGTGGCTTCTTGTGTGCCAGTCCCTATCCATGGGACAGGGAGCATTTAAGGCAAATCTCCTAGCCAGACAGTCAGGAGGCATAAAGGAGAATCCCTCAACTTCTCCGTCCAGGATCTGGGGTCAAAGATGGCTCATCTCCTCCATCCTCGCCACCCCACCGCCGCCCAGGTGCCCAGAAGGTAGGGCAGGGATGGGGACAAGAACTGACCAGCCCGTCCTTCCCCCTCCAAATGCCACTTCCCCCTTAAAACGGGGGAAGGGCCCTGGGCTGCCAGGCACTGGATGGGACTCTGGGACCTGGGTTTCTGGTGGCTGTCCCAGAGAGGGGGACAGAAGAGCCCCCTTCAGGTCACCTACTGCCCTTAGCCCCCCTCCCAGAGCCAGGGGAGGAGCACGCAGCCGCCCTCCTCACCTGGGAGGACAGTGGGAGTGGCCATTGCCCTGACCAGCCTGCAGCCCTGAGGCCCCCCGGGGACCCGTCGCCTGCACCTTTTTCCAGGCCAGAGACCTGCTCGGGTTTAAAGCAACCTCTTAAACCAAATCAAAGAGCAAACAAGTTCCGTTGGAAAGTTTGAAGACTCCCCAGCAGTTCTCACTAGTTCAACACTCCTGCAGTGTCCCCCCCCTCCGGTTTGGAAATGCAGGGGGAGTTGAGGAAGCCAAGAGGAGAGAATCCACCGCTGTTGTCGCCGCCGTCTCCACCGGGCCAGCAGGCTCCTCCGGAGAAGCTGGAGTGGGGGGCGGGGCGCTCAGGTGGCACTCCCCCTTCCCTCCAACACATTCCAGGTCCCGCCTGCCCCATTCTGCAGGGGGGGGGGGAGGGCCGACGGGAGGGGTCTGTCCACCCCCCTGGCTCACCCAGAGCTGCAGGACTCTCCCGGCTGGATTCTTGTGCTTTGTGCCATGTGCCACGGAGGAGAGAGAGGGGACCCAGGCTCCTCGCCCCGACCCCTGCCCTTTGCTCTTTAAAGCGGGGCATCGTACTGGTCCAGGAATTCCCGAATGGGCCCAGGCAGCTGGGTGACTTTCTCGTAGGAGTCCAGGTGGCCATTGACCGTCTTCCGACAGAGATGCTGGAGCGTGGCCACGTTGGAGGAGAGGGGCCGGCTCAACACCAGAGGGATCTTCTCGCCCCCGGAGTAGATGTAGTAGGCTCTCCTGGGGGGACTCCCCGGGAGCGGCTGGGAAGGCGGCTGCTCCGACACCTCGGAGGAGGGTTCAGTCGGTGGAGCGGGGAAGGAGGGCGCGCCGGGGGGCGGCATGTAGTGATGCACCAGCTTGAGCACGCAGTCGAAGCGCGGCACGGGCTGCGTGCTCCGGGGGTCGCTCTGCAGCGAGAAGCTGCCCCCCTCGCACTGGATGCGCAGGTTCTTGGTCCCCGACTGGGTCTTGACGCTGAGCGTGAAGAAGTGGCGCTGGTCCGAGCTGTCGCGGATGAGGAAGGTGCCCGCGGGCTCGGCGCTGAGCAGCAGGTTCGCCTCGCCGCCCGTCACGGCGCTCCAGTAGAAGCCGCTCTCCTGCAGCTTGCGCACTGCGTTCACCACCAGCTGGTACTCGCTCTTGGAGCTGAAGGTCTTGAGGCGCAGGCTGGTGTCCAGGGGGCGGCTCATCCCGGCGGCGGGAAACTTGCTGTGGGTGACCATGGCGCACGGAGCCAGCGTGGGTCTGCGCGCGGCGGCGGCGGCGGCGGCGGCGGCGGCTGCAGCTGCTCGGCGGCCTCCGCACCCAGCGGCCGCTACCGCATCCCGGGGGGCTGCGGGGAGGAGGGGGCGCGCCGCGTGAGTGCCGGGAGCCCTCCAGCGCGCCCGGGGCACCCCCGCCCCCGCGCCCCGCGCCCCCGCCGGGCGGCCCCACGCAGCCCCCTCCCCAGCGCGCGCCGGGGGGACACCGAGTGGGAAACTCGGGCGCGGGACTTGGGTCTCCGGGCGCGTGGCCGCGGCGGGGAGCGGCAGGAGGACCCCCGGGGCGCTCGGGGCGCCGCTCAGTCCGGGGGCCCCGGGCGGCGGGGACGGAGCGAGAAGCCCGAGGCATGGGGGTGGGGGGAGCGGGGAGGGGACCCGGGGAGCCCGAGGGCCCAGCCCTGGGTCTTCCGGGAACCTGGGATCTCCGGCTTCCATCCGCCCTGGCCCCTACCTCGTCCCCTCCCTGCCGGGAATGACCCGGGAAGGGGAGGGGGAACCGGGAAAAGCTCCCGGGACGAGCGAGCCGCCCCGCGCCCCCCGCGCCCCCCGCGCCCCCCGCGTCCTTCCTACCTGGTCCCGACACGAAGTCTCCGGCCCCGGGGCTGCGCCTCCTACGGCCCCCGGGGCTGCGCCCAGAGGTCGGCGGCCGGGAAGTCCACAAAGGGCCTCGCGCGCGCGTCCCTCGGGCTTCGCCGGGGCGCCCGCCCTGCCCCCTGCGCGTCCCCGTCCCCGGGCCGGCCGGCGGGGACGAGGCGAGGGGCCGCGGCGGGAGCTGGGCGGGAGCTGGGCGGGCGCTGGGCCGGAGCGGCGGCGGCGGCGGCGGCGGCGGCGGCCTCGGCGGCGGGGGGGCGGCGGGAGCGCAGTCGGAGCCGCCGCCGAGGCCGCGCGCGCGGGTATATACGCGGCCGCCGCGCCCCGCCCCCCCGATTCCTGGAACTGCGCGGCCGGCCTTCTTGTAATGTTTAGTCACTACTCGCAGCGAGGAAAGGCTGCGCGGAGGGCGAGGGAGGGGCCGCGGGCGGCCGAGGGCGGGCCGCGAGCGGGGCCGGGGCCGGCACCGGCCGGGACGCGCGCGCAGACAAAGCGCGGCGCGAGGCGGCCCCGGCGGCCGGCGGGCGCGGCGCCAGCCCCGGCGGCGCGTTCCTGGCAGCGGCCCCTCCCCCCGCGCTCCGCCCCCAACTTCTCATTCACACTTTCCCCCTCCCTTCTAAGAAGGCCGCTTTCTGGCAGGGGCGGGGGCCCGGCTCCGGGAGCGCGCGGGCAGTTCCAGGAGGCCGGGCGGGAGAGGCTCCCGGCTCCCCTTCCCTTCCTCGCAGACCTCGCGGGGACACCCCACACCCCCCCGCCGCCCCCACTCGGGCTGCCCGAGGCCCCGATCGCCGCCCCGGGGGGAAGCGGGGACACCCCGGAGCCGGGCGGGGACCCGGGGGCCGGAGCCGGGAGCCGGAGCCGGGAGCCGGGAGCCGGGAGCCGGGAGCCGGGTCGCGTCCCCGCGGCGGAGCGGGCGTCCCAGCCTTGGAGGGGACGCAGCCTGCGTGGCAGCGGTCCGGCCCCAGCCGCTCGGCCCGCCGCCAGGTTCTCCGCCGACGCGGACGCGAGGCCGCCCCGCGCCGCCGGGAAGCCAGAAGCGGACCAAGGCCCGCGCTCGCACCTCTGCGTGTCCAGGCTCCCGCGGGGCGCGGGCGCGGGGCGCGGGGCGCGGGGCGCGTCCGGCCAGGTGCTCTCCCCCGCGGGACCGGCCCCCCGGGGCGAGCGAGGGCCCCACCCCGCGCCCCGCGTCCGCTAGAGGGCGCCCCGGGGTCTCGTAGCCCGAGCGGAGCTCCCAGCTGCTCCTCCCCAAGCCCCGGAATGGAAACGCGGGTGGGTGGTGGGAGTGGGGGCGGGCCGGGGTCGCGGCGGGGGCGGGGGACCTTCCCGCGGGACCCAGGACCGTTCTCATCGCGGTTGGAATTAGACCTGGGCACTAAAGACCAGCGGCGGAGGAGTTCCAGGAAACCCTTTGCAGGAGTTCAGCCCACTTCCAGATGGGCCTGCACCACCAAGAACACGTCCAGCCTCCCCCACCTCCGAGGGTCGGGGTCTGGTCTGTGTCCCCCACCCCTGGGGGGGGGTGAGGAGGTGTGTGTGTGTGTGATGAATGATGGATTTGCTCTTGGGCACGCTGGCTCGGATGTGAGCGCCTTGGGCTCACCAGGACCAGCTGTTATGAAGGCTGTTGGGAAGTTTTGCAATCTGCCCCCGGACAGGCAGACACCTGAGGACCCGTTTAAATTCCACTTAAGTCGTCACGCTTCGGGACCCAGGGCTGTGGGATTTGGGGCATGCCCTCTTCCCAAATGTCACCCTACTGAAGACAATGAGCGGAAGGAGAGGAGAGGAGAGGAGAGGAGGAGGAGGGGAGGGGAGGGGAGGGGAGGGGAGGGGAGGGGAGGGGAGGGGAGGGGAGGAGAGGAGAGGAGAGACTCGGACAGCAGGCATCCTGGGAGTCCAGCCCATACAGGCCTGGCTCGCAAGTGGACAGGCACTTGACTGCCTTGGCCCCTAATTGTGCTGTCACCTCTCTCCCTCATGGATGCCGGGACTACGTGAGATTTGGGCAGGACACCCGGCCTCTCTGGGATCCCGTTTGCCATGTGTAAAATAATAACAGTAGCCTCTTCCCATGGGAGAGCTGAGGTCACAGAGCACGAAGGGCTTCTGCACATCCAAGCATGCTAGAAATGGGACTGATTCCGACTCGTTCTTCCTCAGCTTCTCCTAGGAGACGGTAGTAAGGAGGAGGTCTTCATTTCTAGTTGCTTCCGCAGAGGGGGAAATGGATTTATTCAACACGTTTCACAAATACTGGGCTCTGCGTGCCAGGCATTAGGCTGGGTGTTGAAATCTCACCATGAATAAGACCAGATCTTTGCCCTCAAGATGCTTGTGGGCTAATGAAATGGATCCTCCTCCTCTCGAGTCAGGAGTTGGTTCTCTCCGTCGGCCAGGAAAAGGACACGAGGAGGCTGTACCATGACCGTACACTTCTGTGCTGAGCCTCTGAAGGACAAGGAAGACTCACAGGGAACAGCCCTCGGGTTAATGGATGAGAAAGTGCTTTGTAAATTATAATGCTCTGACACAAGTCAGGTTCATTCATCCAGTCCACAAACCTTCATTGAGCGCCTGCTTTTGCCAGGCACCGAGCGAAGTGCTGGGAAGACAGAAGTGCTGGGTGAATCCTGCAGGGAGACAGGCGAGGCGAGAGTCAAGCCCCCCCCCCCCCCACCCCTCGTGAGGAGCGGCTGGAGGAAGGGGGTGATCCTGATGACGACCCTAGGACACTGTGGGAGCTGGCTTGGGGGGGGGGTGTGGGTGTTAAAGGTGGGAGGAGATGAGGAGGAGGAACAGCCTTGGAACTCTGGCAAATTCCTAGTCGGCAAACTCCTACCTGGGAGACAATCGCATGGTCCCCAAATGAGCCTGGGGCTGCAGAGGACCTGCAGCAAAGGTGGTATGTCTGCCTGTCTGCCGGGAGTGTGCCCCAGAGTAGCGGGGCGGCGGTGGGGGGGTGGGGTGGGGCAGCATCAGCCCGAGTGCTCGCCGCCCTGAAAGGGGCTGTCTGGGCTGGAGAAAGCCAGGCTTGCGGGGGCAGGGCTGGGGCTTCCTCGCCCACTGACTGGAGACTGAACTGCTGTCTAGGCTCCACCAGCCAGTAGCTGTAGGATTTCGGGCAGCTTGCTGCCCCGGCTGTGCCTCAGTTTCCTTATTTGTAAAATGGGCTGATAATAATAGTACCTAGCCCATCTGGTTGTTGTAAGGACTAAATGAGCTAATGCACCTTGAACACACTCGATGCTCGGTGCACGTTGGCTACAATACTTTTGAAAGCACCGAGGTGTCTGGAGAGAGGAGGCATCGCAGCCCGGGCCACAAGGGCCTGGGTGTGGCCAGGAACGGCTTTCTGGGTTGGAGCACAGGTACCTCCTACGTAAGATGCATTCCACGGAGCTGCTTGTCTTCAAGCAGTTCGGCCAACTACCAAGTTTCCCTTTGGCTTTCGAGTATCTCCAGGTTTCCAGTGCCTTTGGATTGATCCAAACTTCTCAGCGAGCGTGTGTCGGAGGCTCTGTGTTCCTCACAGCCTCATCGGTGGCCACCACCCCACTGACCCCAGGCCGTCTCCAGAACATTCCCCAGGCCTGGGTCTTTGCATGTTCACTTCCTTCCGGGTGCAACTGCCTTCCACACCTTGGCTGGTTTCTACTTGTCCTTTAAGACTTGGCAGAGGCTCGGTCTAAACTTCTAGGGGAGCACTTTCCACGTTGACCAACATGTCCTGACTACCTGTCTGGTGAGAACCTTGAGGAAACAGACTGTGTTTGCTTTTTTTTTTTTTTTTTTTTTTCAAAACTGGTACGTAGAAAGTGCTCAATGATTTTTTTTTTTTTTTTTACAGATTTGTTTATTTATTATTTGGAGTGGAGAGAGGCAGAGCAAGAGGGAGAGTCTCAAGCAGACTCCCTGCTGAGCATGGAGCCCATGAGATCATGACCTGAACCAAAACCAAGAGTCCGTCCCTTAACCGACTGAGCCACCCAGGTGCCGCTCAATGAATCTTTAAATAAGAGATTGTTTTGACTTCTGTTTTCCATTATTTTTAGATCCCACTGACTGCTTATTTCTAGAGTAGATTTTCGTTTCTGCCTGCAGGACCCCGGGGGCATCTGTAGATGGAATAGAGGGTGTGGAAGCCCCATATGCTTTTGGTGCATAATCCGGAGATAGATGGAGCTAGGACTCAACTTTACTGGAAAAGTGGGAAAGGAGGCACTGGGCCAATACAGGGCACACCCCGGGGGGCCCCTCTTCCAGGCAAGAGAGATGCCCAAAGCCAAGCAGACCTAGGGCGTTGCCGCTCTCACCCTCCCCGCCTGCTGGGGGCTCTGGGGAGAAAAGCCCATCTGGGTCTGGCCCCTCTGCCCCACCCGCTATCTTCCTGGCTATGGGATTTAGGAGACTCCAGCCTTCTAATCTCTCCCTCTGCAGAATTTCTATGAAGTCAGATCCCATTTCCAGGCAAAGGTGCTTGGTCATAAAGATAATACAGATTCATTCATGAGAGAGGGGAAGTACACAGTGGTTTCAGCTGCCTGTGGGGCTCCACTTACTCATGCTGAGTGACAGATGATGAGCTCTTCCCCAAACCTCCTAGATGGGAACCCTGGCGCCTGTGGGGTGGTCATGGGAAGCTATGGCCTGGCCTGGTGAACACAAGGTCCCAAACTCACATAGATGCTCTTCTTGTCTCCTGGCCAGCCTGGGGGCGGGCTGTAAGGTTGCCATTGTTCAGAGGCCTCATTTGCACCCAGATGGGTTAGGAGACTGGCCTCAGACCACAGAGTTGCTCAATACCAGGCCCTCGGCCTCTCTCTGTCTTTAAGACTGGTGGGCTTCCTATGGCACAAGAAGGCAGCCTAGGTTTGCCTGGCCCGTGGTTTTGTCTTTCTTATTCCACGTTGATTGAGCTCCTACTACTTGCCGGTTGGTTGACCAGGCCTGGGGATACGGTGGTGGGAGAAAGAATCTGGTTCCTTCCCTCTGCAGCTTTTAGTCTAGTGCTAGGAGGCAGTGAGGCCTCTCCTCTCTTGCCCCGCACCCCCCTTCCATTTTTTTTCAGCTAATTTGAAGAGGATGCAGGGGGCCTGTGTCTCAGCAGACCTCTTGGAAGCTGAGTCCCCTGCTGCCCCAGTGTGGCTCCTCCGGGGCCTGGCTTCACTGGGCTATCCATCTTATTCCCTCCCCGAGGAGGCCCCCTCCGTGTGTGGGAGGCCTTGCTGGCCGCAGGGCTGTGATGGACAAGACCTACCAGGGCTGGGGGAAAGGTGGGAGGGATCTCACCACAGGTGGACCCTGATCTCTCCCCGCTGCTTTTGACAATCCCCAAAGGTGGGCCAGGGAAGCCAGGACAATGGCTTGTGGCATTTGCTCCTGCTGGGAGGGGCCTTGGAGCTAATGAAAAGGTTTGTGGCTCTGAAGTCTGGAGCAGTGGAGGAGTTCTTTCAAGCCTGACATTCCAGGCCCAGCTGGCCTCTGGCATTTCCCAGAAAAAGTGCCGAGGGAGGGGAAGGAAAACACTTCACCAACCCACCCACCCACTCACCCACCCTGCCTTTTCAGATTCTTTCTTCCCTCTGGGGCTTGGGCTGGGCCAGAGCTCCAACCCCTGCCCTCAGGGGCCCATTCTTCCACCCACAGAGGGGCGGTGGGAGGGCGGTGGGGGAGTGGGGGAGACTTTAGGAGGGCTCAGAGGGTGTGAAGTGTGTGGGGCTCATCTTGGGGGGAGGGAAGTTTCTTCCCACTGCTCAACGAGGAATCCACATCTGTTCCAAGTTCTGGGTTGGGGGTAGAGAATGGGGCAGTTAGCTTCCAGCCAACTGTCTCTCCTGACCCCAAACCAACAAACCCTGCTCTGTCCGGGACTGGGATGGGAATAGTCTCCATTCGCCCTGAAGCAGCTGCTGTGCCCGCGCCCGCACTCAGGAACAGACACCAGGGCAGCGGGCAGTTCTGGGAAGAGGCCGTGGTGAACCATCTATCTAGGCTGCAATGCAAGTGAGGCCTGGCCCAGCGCCCAGAGCTAAAGTGGCAGTGCCCAGGAGAAGGAGAGCCTGGCAAGGGGGATGAGGAGTGAGGCTGGCTCCCCGGAGCTGTTGCCCTGGGCCCCGGATACCGGAGGGCTGCTGGAGGGCTGCTGGAGGACAGCTGGGTGCAAGAGCTTGCCTACGGTAAACCAGATGGCTGGTCCCTGGAGCCAGGCAGCTGGGAGCCCCTGACCCATAGGATTCTTGGGTCAGGTGTTGTTGCTCACCTTCCTGTGTGTGTGTGTGTGTGTGTGTGTGTGTGTGTAGCATCTGCACTGACCCCCTCCCCCCACAGCCTACAGTAAGCTTCCTGCAGTGGTGAGATCTCCATGGGGACCTCCTGAATGCCCCATTCGGGGGTGTGACACCATTGGGAAGGTCCTTGGCTCCTCTACATTGTGAAGCACACACTGGCATGCACTTTGTCAGGCACCAATTCTTGGGCAAGTTCAAAGGGGAAACCTACACCCTCTCTCTGGCTCCCAAGATCTGGAACCAGCCACAGTGGCGAGGGGGGGGTGTATAAGAAGGTGTGAGAAGCAAAAAAAAAAAAAAAAAAAAAAAAAAAAAGGAGTGAGAGGGAGTAGGAGGTGGGGTCTCTATCAGGGACAGAGGTGAGGTCCTAAGCTTGACATGGAGGTGGGTCTCCCATGTCCTGCCTTCCCACTTCTCTGTTCATGCTGCACTCATCTGGCCTCACAGTGTGTAGCTCAGACATGTACTGTCTCCTCCCCAGAATTCCATAAGCCCCCTACATTTGCAAACAAAATGCTAGTGGCAGTCCAGATTTCTGGAGCTGGTGAACCTACCCCGGGTCACTTCTCGCTCTTGCAAGACTTATTTTACAAAACCACACACTCATTCATTCATACATTCATTCCTTTAAGAGATAATGATCGAGAACCTACTACGTGTCAGAAATTGAGCAGGGTACCTAGAATGTATCGGTTTGGGTCCCCACGAAGCTCAGATTCTTTCCAGAAGGACAAGATTCTCCCACAATTGATGTCATGATTGATTAATTTTGACTGCACTAAGTACTATAAAGGAAAAGTCTTGGGGGGTGTGTGTCTCTGTGTGAGCATATTACGGGGAGACAGAATCTATTGGGGGGATGGCTGAGGGGAATCCCTGAGGATGTGACACACGCAGGCTGATGGGAAGCTGAGGTCTGGAGGGGGTCACCTGACCTTCCAAAGTTTCCCAGCTTGTAGGTGCCAGGAGCAAGCAGAGCCTGGGACCAGCACACCACCAGTGCCAGGGTGTTCGCGCTCTGCCGCCGAGCATCTTCTCTGCTCCCTCCTGCCCCTCTCTCCCACCTACTAAAGGCCTTAGCTCCCTGCTTCCAGGCTCCACCTGAAGCAGCTACAAGCTGACAAGGTGAGAATATCGCACTCCCTTCAACCCCTGAGAAATAGGTCAGGTACGTTCTCTGATTTTTGGAACTTTGAAACTTAAAATGCATTTTATGAAGAGGCAGTACAATCAACAGGTACAAACAGATGAACTGTGATCTACTTGTCTTCCCAGGGCGCCTGGGACCTTTTTAAATAGACCAATAGACACGTGGGAAGTGGTGAAGTATACGCTGAAGACGACCTACAGGTGCAATGGTTGGATTGCATGGAATTAAAAAAATAATTTTTTTTTCAAATCAGAAATTTCACGTTCACGTCTGAATTTGGGACTTTCTTTGGAAAAACTGGATGACCTGGCGTCATTGGGACTACATCCCGGAGGGTCTCCACTGGCCATTTACGTGGGACGAGGGCTCTCCAGCTCAGCACAGGGCCACCCCCAGGACTGGCCTCCCCTCCCTCCCAGGAGCCCCAGGCATGGAGGCAGCAACCTCACCTGGCCTCTGTCTGCCCACCTCCTCCCTCTAGGCTAAAGGGCAAAAAGGGTGATTGACGTCAGGGGATTTACTTTGAGTCTCTTTCCTAAATTCCAAACACTGGAAATAAATCACACCCCGTCCTGGGAGTCCCACCTGCTTGGGCCTGGTCTGATTTGGCCTCATCTCATCAAGCAAGACCTATCCCGAGAGGGCTTTGCATACAAGGCCCGGGGCACACTTAACCTCTTGTTTCAATTCTCCCTGGGGGCAGGCACGGCAATGGCAGGGTGGGCTTCCTCCAGGGAGCCCCCAGCAGCTCTCCCAGGCCGGACCCTGGGAGCCCGGGATTCCCTGGGACAGAACTGGCCATGGGCCTCAGTGTTTCCCGCCTCGCAGGACTGCTGCATCAGGAGGAGGCATGCAGCTCCTCGCTGGGGTGGCGCTGGCTGCCTGCCAGGCCACAAGAGGCTGAGATTCCCCTGAAACTGAGAGCTACATTTATCCCTCACCAGCGACAGAGAAACAAACCAGCATGCTCTGCCCAGGAGGCATTTCCAGAAATTTGGGCCCTGGCTTCTTGTTGGTGGATTGCCAGATTATCCTGGCCTCTTCGCGGCAGGGAGGCATGGAGCACCATTGAGCAATAGGTGTTTTGTTTTGCAGATGACAAGATTTTCGACACTGAGGAGTTTAAATGATAAATCCGAGAACCTTGACCAGCTCCCCACCCCTACCCCAGAGGTGGCTGTTTTGAGCTTCAGAGTTTGGCAAATTTGTTTTCCACAACCTTCAGCTTCTCTGGGCCTCCCCGCAGCCCCAGCCCCCTCAGGTCCCTGGTGCAAGAAGACGGGCCACGGAGGCCTGGCAGGGCTCCTGCCTGGTACCCGGCTATGGCCATGGGAAAAGGTATCATCTGAATGTCTTTTGTTGGCAAATCATGGCACACAGGCTGACAGACGGTTTGTAAATAAAATTTCATTGGAAATACAGCTGTGCTCATTGGCATTGATTGTGGCTGCTTTTGTACCAGATTGGGTAGTTGTCACCGAGGCCACCTGGCTTCCAAAGTGTTTACTAGTGGATCCCTTAAAGGAAATGTTTGCCAGCCCCTGCTCTGGGGGAACAGCACCTGCCTTATGCCAGGGAGGGTTGGGGTTAGGTCTTAGTTTGGAAGGAAAGGGCATCGAGAACGAGGAAAGATCAGAGTAACAGCTAAGTCAGGAGAATGTATCTCAGGGAAAATGAAGGCAGGAAAAGTGCTGGTGGCCTGAAGACAGATGGCAGGCTCAGGTAAACCAGCCCCCAAAGGTAGGCCTGGGCAGCCAGGTTAGCAAACTGATCTGTGGCAGTAGGTCAATAAGTTCCCAGGAGGGCAAGTCACTGTTTCTCCCACCACCGTCGGTGGAAAAGCATAGACTCACAGCCAGGAAGCTCCTGAGCTCTCCTCCTGCAGCCACATGGGCCTTCATTAAACCGGAGTGAGCAGAGCCAGCTTCTGTTGGCGGGGCGTCCTGCTTAGGGTGCTCAGAGCACACAGGGTGCTGTGGGCTCCTATTCTGGGGCATGGGGAACAGGGAGTGGGGAGATGGGCAACAAGGGTGAAGGGGAATGGGAGGTCCAGGCTTCCAGCTATGAGAGAGGTTAGTCCTGGGGGTGGAAGGAATCACGGGGCGCAGAGCGGATGGTATTGTAATAGTGTGGTATGGTGCCGGGTGGTAGCTCACTTGTGGGGAGAGGCTGAATCACTGTGTTGTACACCTGACATGAATGTAACATTGTGTGTCAACTGTACTTCAGTAAACACACACACACACAAAACAATAAACCAGTAAATAAGATTAGATCAGAGTGGGATCTCTGGGTGGCGCAGCGGTTTAGTGCTTGCCTTTGGTCCAGGGCGCGATCCTGGAGACCAGGGATCAAATCCCACGTCAGGCTCCCGGGGCATGGATCCTGCTTCTCCCTCTGCCTATGTCTCTGCCTCTCTCTCTCTCTCTCTCTCTCTCTCTCTGTGTGACTATCATAAATAAATTTAAAAAAAAAGATTAGATCACAGTATGTGATAGGCAGGATAAATGGGGCCGGGACGTGTTTCTAGGGGAAGCATGGTGCTCAGAAGGACGAGAGGAGCTGGGGGATATGCTGTGAGCCAATGGAACAACTAAGCAAAGATCCTCAGGTGGCTGCACGTGTGTGTGTGTGTGTGTGTGTGTGTGTGTGTGTATTTGGGGGAGGGGGGATCGAGAAAAGGCCAGGTGGTGAGGCTGGGTAGTGACCAAGTAGAGGAATGGAGGCAAAGGCAGGCGGGGGCCCCAAGGCTGGCTTCATCCTGTCCTGGTACATAAGCCACTTATTCAGGAACCAAAGTGGGCTCCTCAGAAGGAGAGGGAGGGCCATTGCTGGAGGGAGAAGATGGGCCGGCCTGCCTCCCCCTCCTTGAATTTGCTAACAGCCCCGGGGCTGAGAGAGACCCTTGCACACAAAGTAAGCTCAGGGAAGACAGGCCTTCCGTGCGGGCATTGACATGATTTTCGGTTCGGGTGTGAATCACAGACAGTGAGGCCCAGGCCCTTGGCTCAGGATTTCCTGGTGTTTCCTGCCCCGGAGAGCGGCTTTGCTATCAGGGGCAGCAGCCCACCACTCCCTGACGTCAACTCTCCTTCCAATGAATGCGTTTCCTTTTCCTTTTGGGAAGACCTGATATCTGTCATCCGTCCCATCAACTCTGCCATTCTAACCCTGGCACCTCCTGTTCAGGAAGGAGCCAGTGAGATTAACCAGAAGGCAGTGGTTGAGGGCAGGAGGGTGAAGGGGGCCTCAGCGGATGGGCTTTCCAGCCACTAGGGGTCTCAGCCGATGACCTGCTCCAAAGGTCATCAAGGTGTGGGTGGAGGGCCCAGCAGCAGTCCCTAGACCACTGGCCCTCCAAGCAGCTTGGAGCACTCCCACACCTACTCTCTGGGCCACCTGTGTCACCTGAGAATGTCATCTCCTCTACTTGTTCTCACGAATCAGCTCAGATGAGATCTCCTGGTAGATGGGGGACGCCTGGGTGGCTCAGTGGTTAAGCGCCTGCCTTTGCCCCAGGGAGTGATCCTGGAGTCCTGGGATCGAGTCCCATATGGGGCTTCTTGCATGGAGCCTGCTTCTCCCTCTGCCTGTGTCTCTGTCTCTCTCTCTCTGTGTCTCTCATGAATAAATAAAAAATATATTTTTTAATAAATAAAATCTTTAAAAGAGAGAGAGAGAGAGAGATCTCCTGGTAGAAAGTGTTTATGTTGTCATCGTGTAAATGTAACCATTAGGAAGATTGCTCAATTTCTGAAAACCATTATTTAAAAAAATTTTGCAACTTCTAAATGTGTGTGTCCTAGGATAAAGCCGTGGTTGCCTCATTCTGGTTGTAGTTTCAAAGCAGCCATGGAGTGTGTGGCTTCAGAAGTGCCTGGGTCATTGCCTGCTGTTTACACGTAATGTAAATACTTATGAGTTTAACTTACCATGCTGTAATATCACTGTGTGTTAGTACAATTTATTTTAGATCGGAAATTTCCAATGGGACGATACTGTGGTTGTTTGTCTCAATTAATACCTCACCCGACAAAGCACAGCCTATGAAAAGAAGCTGTTAGCTCTTTTCAGGATGGGTAGGATGCTCCTGTGGCGGCCACGGAGCATCATGGTGAAGGCATTCAACAACTTGACTCTGCAACCACCCGGTGTCCCAGGCGCTGTGCAAAACTGGAAATACGCAATGGATGGTCTCATTCTAGTTACTGGAAATTAGGAAATTTGATGATTCACCACTTCTAACCCAGGAAGGGTTGAATCAAATTCCACCTTGTGTTTGTAAAGCTATTTAATCGTGAAGGAAAAATTAAAACAATCTGAAATGCCCGTTGCCTGTAAACAACTTGGGAATTCTTGGATAGCGCCGAATAACCAACGTTAGCATTTTGGCGTATTTACATTTGGTGTATTCATTCTGTCTTTACACAATACTCCCTCCAGTTTTTCATTTTCCCTTTGAGATAAGCTCTATGCTACTCGGTAGGAAATTTGGATTTTACACTTCATGTCTTTAAACGTCCTTCTGGGAGGTAATCCTTTATGGGTAAGAATGGGTATCTTATGGGGGTCTCCCCCCAAAAAAAAAGTGATGCACCATTATTTATTTCACCAACCCCCCCCCCCCCCCCCCCCCCCCGTCCATTGCTTCCACATTGCTGATATCGCCAAGGATGCTGTGATGAACACTTTTGCAGGGAGCATGTAACTGACTTCCTGGGGTTACCTGGGTGGGCACGCAACGCGGAATACTCTGCATCCAGGGTGTCCACACCCTCGAACCCTCACAACCCCCTCCTGGGACAATCAGGTAGGATGTGCCGATCGCCCACCGGATCGCCCACCGCTCCGTGTGGGTCCGCGGAGCAACCCACGTTTCGGATCAGAGCCCTCTCTCTCCCAGCTCTCCGCCTCTCAGGGCCCGTGCACCGCCTTCCTCCCGGAGTCCAGCTGCGGGAGGCGCTCCGGGCTCGCAGCCCCGCGGGCTCCGCTCGGGCCCCGTGCACCTGCCCGGGAGCTTGGGCGCCGGGAGCACCCGGGCGGCGCGAGGCCAGCACAGCGAGGCGCTGGGGGGCGTGGCCGAGACGATGGGGGCGGGGCAGTGGGCGTGGCCGAGGGCGGGGGCGGGGCTCAGCCCGCTGCGCCTGCGCCCCGCGCGTCTCCCGCACACCTGTCCGTGTCCGCGAGCGCCGCTGTCAATAAAGTTCTTGCGCGCCGGAAGCGGAAGCGGAAGCGCCGAGTCTCCATGGCGGCGGCGGCGGCAGCGGGGCCGGTGCTCTGGAGGCGGCTGCTGGGGCTGCTGCCTGGCCGCCCCGGCCTGGCCGCGCTCCTGGGGCGCCTGTCCGACCGCCTGGGCAGGAACCGGGACCGCCGGCGCAGGAGGTGAGAGGAGGCCGGGCCGGCCGGGGCGGGGGCGGGAGCGGGGGCGCGGCCCTTCCTCCCCTGCGCGCGGGGAGAGCGCTCACGCGGGGGGTGGGGGCGGGGCGGGCGCCCCGGGGCCCCTGGCGGCGGGCGTTGGGGGGGTCTTTTGCTCGCGCGGCCCTGGCTGCGGGGAGGATGAGCCCGGCCCGCATCGGGCGCGTGCAGCGCTTCGCACTCCCTGCCCGAGAGGGCTGTGAAGCAACCCCGAGTCCGGGGCTCTCGGGCCGGGCCGGGGCGGGGCGGGGCGGGCGGCGGGGGGTGGGGGCGGGGGCGGGGGTGGGGAGAGGAACCACTCGGAACCCTCTTCACACTCTTCAAAGGGCCCGCGTACTGGAAAAGCACTGAAGTGACTTGTGTAAGTGGCGGAGGCGGCTTTGAAGCCGTTTGTCCAGGCAGTGGTCTTTCAAAGTCAACATTTGCCAAGAGCATGCTGACCCAAGAGGCCTGCTGTTGTTGCTGATGTTACAGGAAAAAAGGAAAAGGGAAAGAAGGAAAAAAAAAAAGATTTCTTGTGTGCAAATGGTTTTCTTATCAGACTCAAGCCTTAAACACTTGACTCCTGAAAAGATAAAAAACACACACACACACACACACACACGCAGATCTTAGATGCGCATCCTTTAGAAGAGGTTGCGTTAGCTTAGGTTTTTTTTTTTTTTAAAACGCTTTGATTCGATCTTCATCTTTTTTTTTATTTTTATTTTAATTTATGATAGTCACAGAGACAGAGAGGCAGCAGAGGGAGAAGCAGGCTCCATGCACCGGGAGCCCGACGTGGGATTCTATCCCGGGTCTCCAGGATCGCGCCCTGGGCCAAAGGCAGGCGCCAAACAGCTGCGCCACCCAGGGATCCCCTAGCTTAGGTTTTGATCTGTGCTTGCTTGAGTGAGATGGGACATCGTGGCTTTCGCGCACGGATCTGCTTCTGGGAAGGAACGTGCTTCGTCCTGGGTTGTAGTGGATGATGTTCAGCAGAAATCCGAGTCCGGTTCGTTCAGGGTGGCTTGTAGGTTGGCTTTTAGGTGATCGCATCAGTCCGGAGGCGTTCAGAAGCCTGCTGAATGGTCAGGATGGCTTGGGGTTGCACCGACAGCGCAGCCCGGCGGGGGCGGGGCCTGGAGGAGGCGGCCTCTGCATTTTCTGGAGTTGGTGCTTAGCCAAGACCCGGGCCGTTGCAGCGGGTGGTGAAATCAGATGACTTCTACGTCTTGGCATCAGACCTCTGGGAAGTTTGGTTTAAGGTTTCAAGAAATGTTCCCTCCTGGAAGACGAGGCGTTCAAGGCATTTTGTCGTCTCCCCGGTTAAAAACTATATGGAGGACATTTTCCTGTTTAAACCAGACACGTGTTTAGACAATACAAAAAAAAAAAACACAACACTTTATGGTTCATTGTTGGTTACTGTTGGAATGGACTACTAAGGGGGCGTTGGGGCAATCTCCACACCTTCTTTTGAAAAAGACATTTGAGTGTCTTTTCGGGGAGCGGGGGTGGGGGGTGGGGGGGGGTCTAGACCGACTTCTTTCCCCAAGTCCTTTTTGGAAACGGGTGCAGTCGGTGTGGCACCATATTTCTTTTTGAAGAAGCCGAGAGAGAGAGCGCGAGAAAGAGAGAGTTGTACCTCTGGGTCAGCAATTAAATCAGAAACTCACTGAAAGAAACACAGGTTTTGTGTTTTAAAGAAATTAGTCGGGATCCCTGGGTGGCGCAGCGGTTTGGCGCCTGCCTTTGGCCCAGGGCGCGATCCTGGAGACCCGGGATTGAATCCCACATCGGGCTCCCGGTGCATGGAGCCTGCTTCTCCCTCTGCCTGTGTCTCTGCCTCTCTCTCTCTCTCTCTCTCTCTCTGTGACTATCATAAATAAAATAAAAATTAAAAAAAAAGAAATTAGTGTTTTATAAGTCCTTAGAATGTTCTGCTAGGACTGAGGATGAGCGCTTTGACCAGTGTTGTTACAACACCGTAGCTTCTGAGCTTCTTTACTTTCTTTTCTTTTTCCTCTTGGCCTTACTCCGTTTGCAGGTTTTCCTGACTCTGTGGCCTTGGTGTTTGGGGTTTCTCTGGGCTGTATGGCCACTCATCCTCTAGTGGTTGCTGACTTTCGTTTCTCCCCCATTAGTTGTACCTCGAAACTCCTCATTCCCCGAATGGTGTGGTTTCTTGTAACTCTGATCGTTGATTCATTGATAAGAGTTCTGTGTAGTCATGAGCTTAGACTTTTTCAGATTTTTAGCTTGCCAGTCTGACTCAACTGTTGGAGTGCCTGGTGAACCATCGTGGCTAACAGGAGTGGAGAGCGGGCTCTTTCATTGCAGTGGTCTCCTTGTTAGTTGTAGTGACAGAGAACGCTACTTAAAGTTACTTCCAGTTAGTGATCTAGAAATACTCTTGTTTTTCTCTTGAGCAGGCATTTCGCTTGTTATTACTGTGGACTGCTAGGCTCATTCACTTAATTCAGCATGCATGTAGCAAGCACTCCTGGGCTGTGTGCTAGGTACCAAGGAAGCAAAGATAAAGACCTAGCCTCATCTTCAGGATGCTCAGACCCATAAGCTGACAGTAATAGTAAGGTAAAGTAGAAGGTCATGGCAGCATCTACGAGGCCCAGCAGGAGGTCACGGAAAGCGTCTTGGTAGGGGTGATCTCAGAGCTGTAGTCTTGGAGTATAGGATTAGGCTGGATAAAGAAGGGGGAGCTGGTGTTCAGGGGAGAGTGATGAGTGGTGTGGGCTGATGATTGTAGCCGCAGAGGTGGCAGTTCTGAGGTGCCACAGGTTTCCAGGAGCTGACTGGGGGTGCTGAGTAGGGATGGGGGAAAAGGGGGGAGCCAGAGCAAGCTCGTCTTCCGGGCTGAGACCCAGGGAGGCAAGCTCTGAGATTGCCTGTCCAGTTTCCTTTGATGGTGGTGGTCTAGGCCTGAGGTGGTGCGGAGTGGAAGGGATTAGAGTCAGCTCTGGGTGTGTGTGTGTGTTGTGTGTGTGTGTGTGTGTGTGTGTGTAGGGAGACTTGGTTGACTGCACGGATGGAGGCACGCTTCACCAAAATGGGGGGTAAGAAAGAGGACCGGGTGTGGGGGGTGATGATAAGGTGAGTTTGGGTGCCTTAAGTTGTATCCAGGTGTGTCAGAGCAGAGGTGTCCAGTGTCCAGCCGACTGATGGGTCTGGAGCTGGGAACTGGAGGCGGCGGGGAAACAGTGCCTTGCAGTAGTGGGTTGGAGTCCTCAGACTCCAAATGACTCATTTGGAGTAGATGGGACTGAGGGGGAAACGTGTCAGGAGGGCGCTAGTTCCTAATCTTGAGCTTGCCTGCCATACAAGGAAATATTTTCTTTGTGGCCTCCTTCTCTAAAAAACCCAAACAAATGATTTTCAGCCTGAGCTGTATGTGCAGAAAGGGCTTCATTTTTGAGACTCAACTCCCATTTTCTCTTCAAGGTCTGTGTGTGTGTGGGTGAGGGTGAGGTGAGGGTGAGGGTGAGAGGTGGTGAGGAGGTTCCTAACTTCCCTGAGTTCTGAGGGAGACAGATAACCAGAAGACCGTTCTTTCAGTTAGACATCTGACGTAGTGGCAGGTCAGCATGCTCCGGTTTAGCTTGTTAGTAGTTTCCACTCTGAGGGACCACCAGATTTCCAGAAATTACCTTTTTTCTGTGAACTTTGTGATGTTCATTACTCATTAAGAGTTTAGTAGAGCCATCTCTTGGTTTATTTATAGTAGTACAATGGGTGGGAGGGGGATATTTAGAATCAAAGCATAATTTCCCCAAATAATTCAAGTCTGATTTCACAGGGGATTGGAATAAGATTTACAGCTGACAGATTTTGAAATTGTAGCTTTACTGAGTTCATATTAGCATGAGCATCCCCTGAACACGTTGCAGCTGGTGACGAATTAAGGCTGGGTCAGGCAGTTGGGCGCTCCTAGAGAGATAGCTGCGAGCCCGGGATTAAAGTATTCTGATAGATAATCCACTTGTAAACATGTGATCTGATTCATGTAAACGAGTTCTTTTCAAGACTGCTGGGAAGTCCGGCTGGTCAAAGCCTTTGCATTAGTAGAACATGTGATGGGTTCTCGGCAGGCCCTTTGCTGTGCCTTCTACTCTGCCCCCCCCCCCCCCCCGCCGAGGTGCATTGTGGGTTACAGTTAGCCTTCTGGCCCCTGGATGTGATGGACTTCCTTTTGGGCAAGTCAAGAGGACAGTCATCTGGTCAGCATGTAGTCAGATGCTGGCAGCCTGGCCTCCCGTGCTGGACTTCTTGTGGGAGTTCAGCCGGCCGTTGGTCTTTTGTAACCTACGGGAATTCACACTCACTTCCCTTTCTTGGACTCGGGTGTTGCGTTAGTCAGGAAGGGCCGCCTGCTGCTGGGGACGCAGGAAGTATGGTGCCTTCACGTAGTCTGTTGAGTTCTTCTAGGAAGTGCTATGACTGTTGCTCTTTTCTCCTCAGCTCACTTTCTGACGTTTAAATGTGCATGATTGAGGGGAGGAGGGGGGGTTTTCTCCAAAAGTAGTTTCTGAAAATATTGCAATCCACAGAACTTAGTTTCTTTTAAGAATTTCTTTCTTCATCATTTTGTACAGATTTGGATGGGATCCAAGCCACAGAGCTTGTACCACGAATCTTATCGTACAGTTCCAGAGGGCTCATGGATTCAGAACATGATGGAGCTCAGAGTGGGGGCCACTTGGCACATGCCCCGTGTACGGTACGGGATGGAGGGTGGAACTCCTGTACCGTCTGCCGAGGATCTGTGCTTCGTGTAGGAAGATGGTCTTCCCGTATCACTGTGTTCTTTGTTCAGAGCCCCAGAGCCCCTCTTTTAAAAAGACCCCAAGAGGTTGGCCAGCTTACTTTTCCCACTGGTGGTGGGTGAGGCTCTGTGCCCTGGGGGGCAGGCCTGTGTCCTCTGAGGCAAAGAGGCCGTGGAGGGGATGCGTGAAGGTAAAGTGTAGACCTGGGTGTAATTCTTTCTTTATTGGCACCTTACCGCTGGCCACGTGGGAACTTGGTTGGACCTCCAGGCACATTGTTGCACATCCAGACAAAGAAAAAACGCAAGGTGTGCCAGTATTTTTCCATGGAGCACATGCAGCTTCAAGATGTTTGGTGAAATGGAAAACTCCAGTCTCCCTGCAAAAAGGAGAAATGTCTTCTCTTTCCCCTGAGGCTTCCTGTGGCAATAGCTGTTTGGTTGTGTCTCAGCGGCTCTTCTGCTCTGTTTCCGAATGGCTGGTTATTCTGAACTAAATCCCACTGCCTTCTCATGCCTGGCGGGAGGTCTGGGCTGCCTGTCCCACTTCAGACTGTCCTGGGGACAGGCAGGCTTCCGCTGTCTTTACTTAGTGCCCCCCGACCCCAACATCCAGGGGCTCAACGGACAAGAGCATCCTTAGTCAAGGCAGTTCAGATGTGGATTTCTCTTGTAGAGATGGTCGGAGACGCGTCCCACCCCTCCGTACCCTCCTCCCTTCTTGTTCCCTGTGCCCTCCTAGAGCCGCCCTGAAGCCTTACCCTCACTCTGCCCACACAGGTCTCTCCATGGGTGGAGAAAGGGCCTGAGGTCAGGGGTCTTCACTTAGACCCAGCCTGCTCCCCAGATTCCATGAGAAGCCTTAAATCCCATGGCTGAACCCGTCCCCACAGTCAGGTGTCCCGTGGGTGGCTGGAGCCTGCCCTTCATGGAGCCTGCTAGTTCGTTTCCCCATTAGGGCTGTTGGCCAGAGATCTGTTGGCTTTGTTTGCTGTTGCTGCCTCTTCCACCCTCGCTGGAGCGTCCCTAGGGGCTTGCCCTGGCCCCTGTTCTCCAACCATGATATTTGTGAGTCCGCCGACGCTATTATCTGGTCCCCTACCCCCACCACTTCCTCTTCTTTGTAACTAGAAATGGGAGCTAGATGGTCTTAGAAAGATGATTCAGGGGAGTCCAGGTCTAGGTGTGGAAACCGGTGTGTGTGCTGGTTGAGTTCTCTGAATGGTGTGTGTGATCTGGCTCTGCTTTTTTGGTAAAGTAACCACAGCTCCTCAGATCTCTCGGGGCTTCAGTTCCTGACCTGGGATATGTGGTTTCTTAGTAAGCCTCCCTGGGGTGAGGGGACTTGCCTGTGCAGGTGGTCGCCCCCAGAGACTGGGGTTATTGTGCGCTGGGGGTGCTGCTAGCACCAGGAGCAACCTTTTCTGGGAAGATTCCCAAGAGTTAGGCTGTGGAAAGCGGGAACTAACCCCCCATGGGCTTTTGGCTGAGGCGAAAGAAAAAAATGAGCCCCTAAGCAGACTTGGGCTTGGCTACTTCTGTCCTGGCTGAAGCACTTCAGTTAGATTTTGAGTGTCACCTGTCCAGATATGATTTTCCCAACGCCCGTGCTGTCACCGGGGCGGGGGGGGGGGAGGCTTCATAAAATGCTTTGCTCCTCAGAGTGCCTTCCTCTTTGGGTGCATAAAATTGCCAGTCCAGGGTTGGGTCTCCCCCTGCACGACTCCTGCTCTGAATTGGCTTTCAGCTCCTCCTCTCTAGCAAAAATAAACCTGTCAGTACACAGATTAAACAGGAAGCCAACATAAAAAAGCCCTCAACAAATCTTGGATGGAGGCCTTGATGGAACATTCCCAGGGAGAGCTGCCTGGCAGGGACGAGTCCTGCCCAAGGCAGCCCGGGGCCCGGAGCCTGGCCCGCCTGAGCCTGCCCGGTGCCTCCCCGGGGCAGGACGGGGCTGACGGTGGACCGTGTTTGTGTGGGCGCGCGGGTCCATCCGTCCGTGTCCCTGTGTGTCTGTCCTCTGGCCTGGCTGTGGAGACCCTCCCGGGCTTTCCCGCTCATGGTGTTTGCCAGTGCCCACGTCTTCCATCTGCTCAGCCCTCCCTTGCCTGGAGTGGGCTCCCCTGCACACCCCGCTCAACACCACCAGCTCCCCTCGCCGGTCACTCGAAGCACACGTCCTGCACATGTCCACCTTTAATTAATGGTGGCATTTTCTCTTAATGTTGTTCTTAGATGACTTCAGGTTTGTAAGCCCGCGAGGCTGCCAGGTTTGGGGGGGCTGGGGCTGGACTGCTCTTCCCTTGTGCCCCCGCAGGACAGGACAGTGCTCACCCGATGCCTGGGGGCGCGGCCCGAGTCCACATGTGCCCTCCCTGGGATGCTGTGTGTCGAGGACATGTCTCTGCAGCCTCCTTCTGGGGAGCCGCTTGGAGGCTGCTGGCCCCTGGGCGGGATGTGTGGACTGACAGCGTGGCCCCAGGTAGGGGGGGTGTGCGGGCGCCCTGGTTCTTTTCCATACAGTCTGAGAGAGGATGAGTGCCGCGAGCCTTGGAGATCCGTTGGTGTGGTGGTGCTGTGGGGTTTTCCACCTCAAATAGACCATGTTTAATTAATGAATATTAGACTTTAGGCCCCCTCTGGGGCTTCAAATTGATAGAGTGTTGTGCAGACTTTCCCATTGTGTTGTGGTTTTCCACTGGCCTTCCTGAAGGATCCTTCCCTCTCCTCCTGGAAGTGAGCTTTGAGCACAGCAGGAGTGAGGCCCATGGTTTGGGGGAAATGGGGCAGCACTCCCTCGTTTACATGTCTAGGCCTTTCATTTGCAAGCTGCTGCTCATCACCTGGAAGCCAGAGAACGTCAGCAGGCTGGGGTCACCCCCTCTCTGAGCCAGCTCCCTCTGCATTGTGGGGCCCCAGGCCACTCCCTGACTTCCCAGGATCCAGAGAGCCGTTACCTTCCACTCGTTGACTTAAGTTTTCTTGGCGTGAGTTGGCTGGGACCCACCAGTGGTCTTTCTGGGAAGCACAGCTGTGGGCCATCTGGCATCTGCGTAGGGACGTTTGCGGGCCCTGGGAAGATTCACCCTTTATTATGAGGCAAGTGAATGAGGTCATCTTCCTGGAATCTGTGGCCCTTCAGGCCGTGGGGTGTTCAAGCGCCCTTCTCCAGAGCTCCTCTTGGAGCTGCAGTAGAAGGGCACACGGCGCAGCAGATTGGCCGGCTGCTGGAATTGAGATTAGGGTCGGGCTCGTGTGGGGCTCTGGGTGTGTTGCCTCTCCTCGTCCCCATGGGGGTGCCAGCGGCGGGGAGCAGACCTGTGGTTCCACCAGCAGGACCTCGGTGGCTGCTGTCTCTGCCAGCCTGGGGGTGCAGCTGTGTGTGAGACGAGCCCCGAGGACGAGGTGTCCAGGGCCATGGGGGGAATTCTTGCCACTGCAGAGGTGCCCTCCGCCCCCCACCCCAGGCTCCTCCTGTTCCAGCTCTTCTCTCCACATCGATTATTCAAGAGAAAACTTCGTTTTTCTGGGTCCTTCCCTGAATAAAAGCCTTGCTGATCTCTGTAGCCCTGCAGCTGGCGGCTGGGGTCCAGTGGTCACGCTTATCCCAGACTCGCCTGGCTGCAGGTGGCCGTCCACGGCTCTCTGCAGGCCACTTTGGTTGGCACCTTGGGGTTAACCACGCAGTGTTTTCTGCGAGTTTACTTGTGGCTGCTCTAAATGTGGAGCTGTTTGGAACCAACTATATGTGTATATATATATATATATATATACTATATGGTTTATCTGTAGGTACTGGCACTGCTCAAGTTGCTCACCTAGTAGAGGCTGAAGGATGAGGCCTTTTGCAGAGTTTGACTTGGGCTCACTTAAAATAGCCTAGCAAATCTGAAACCATTCCCCTCTGTCCCCCAGTAATTGAGAGAGACTCTGAGGAAATGTTTGAGAAGTATGACCCTCTGTCTCTTTAACCAGGTCACCATGGCTGCTGTTGGCTCCTCTGCTGTCCCCGGCTGTCCCCCAGGTCACCTCCCCTCCTTGCTGCCTGTGTCCAGAGGGTGTGCACAGGTTCCAGTGGATCCGGAACCTGGTCCCAGAGTTCGGGGTCTCCAGTTCCCACGTCAGGGTGCTTGCTTCCCCGGCAGAGTTTTTTGAGCTTATGAAGGTAAGTTGTGTCCACAGGTGAGAGGGATGGACATTTGAGTTACAGGCTTGGGGACATGAGGTTGGGTGAGTCCTGAGCAGAAGTGCCTTCTGTTCTGGAAGTTTCTGATGGCTGCTCGGCTCATTGGTGTGGGTTCTTCTCCCTGTTAGGTTTTCAGCCTTACAAATGCTGGAGTTGTGCCGTCATCTGAGGTTCCCCTGCGTGGCTAACGTCTCAGGTAGAGTAGCTCAGTGTGTGGGCAGTGAGGGGCAGGTCCCAGATTTTGATTCTTACTCCAGGTTCATTCCCTCGGTTCCATCAGAAGGGAGGCTGGTGAGGGCGTGTGGGCGTCCTTGCTAACGATATCTGGGAAGGAAGGAACCTATTCTAGTCACGGCATGATAGGCCCCTCCTGCCCCTGCAAACATCACCAGAACATAGTGCTGTCATCTTGGTAGGCTGGACGTACGGGGAATGAAGACCCAGCTGACCCCCGGAAGAGATTTGATATGTAGGAAGGGGCTGGAATTCTCTTGTTCGGTAAAGCGGCTTTACAGATCGCTGGAAAATTTGGACATCTGGTTTTAGGCCTTATGATCCCTGTTCTTTCCTGTGACTGTCTAAGGTTTGTGCCTTCTCTGTCCTGGTGGAGATGCTAACCTTTGCATTTGGGGGGGCTGAGCTCTGAGTGCTCAGGTGTTCGTGTCCCATCGTTCTTCGAGTTAAAACTGCTAACTGGGATATTGTGAAGCTGATCAGTTTTTATTAACATGAACTCTCTGGGTTAGCGGTGATGTTAGAATTAAAATATGATGAGGTCAGGCAGGTGGAATGGTGGTAGATAATAGGAAGTAAATGTAGAAATTAATTTTTCTATAGAATGACCTGTGCTTGATTTGAATAATAGCACATTCTCCTTTTGCCCTGTTGTTCTGTGGATCCACACTTAGCTTGATTTCTGACGAGCTCCTTCCAGAATGGAATTTGCTTGTGTGCGTGTGTGTCTGTGTACGTCTGTCCCCTGACTTCTCTGTGCTGCTCGTAGTCCTGTGTGTCCTTTTTGTGGAGAACTGATGTTAAGGTGGTTTGCTCTTTGCTCCTACTTGGTTATCTGTTTGGCTTGAAGAAACAGGTTTTGCAGAGGCAGTTCTTCGTGTTCTAGTCAGGCCTGGGTGAATGACTGGCTGAGTCTCCGCGTGGCCGTCCCCTGGCTGTGCACCTGCCCGGGTGGGGCCCTGGACGACAGGAAGGGCCCTAGGGCTTGGCCCAGCAGGCTGGGAGGAAGCCCTTTTCTCACGCCCTTTGAATGAGTCTCTGATGCAGGGATTGTGCCGAATGGGATGTGTCTCTTCCCTGGACCCATCGAGTGGCCTCGTTCCCTGAGAGGGGAGCGTAGCCTGCCACCTGCCCAGCCTGGGAGCCCTCGTTCTAGCACCTGAGCCGAGGTGCCTGTTCCTGAGTCATCATTTGCTCTGTGTAATCGTGTTCCCTGCAGGCATTCTCTTCCCAAATAACAAGACAGAGGAGAAGGCGAACTTGGGAAGTTGTCTTGTGCTTTCTGTGTGTGCAGGCCCTGTGCCCGTGTTTCTGGGCAGGTCCCGCAGGCTGTGGGTGCTGCGTCCCTGCCTGGTGGGAAAGCAGGTGTGTGTGTGTGCCCTGTTTCCTGCTTCCTGCCTCCCACGAGGCCTGGTCCTTCTGGGTCTCCTTCCAGAGCAAGACCTTTGACAAAGCCGCCCATCTTTCTGCCCCTGGCAGCCCCTCTGGGCAGGGTGCTTCAAGCTCTGGGGGGGGGGGGCGGTCATTGTTTCCCCCTGGAGCAGGTCTGCACACAGCACTTGGCCTCTTGACACCATGGTCTTTGAGCACTGATCTGTTCTGTCTTGGTGCCTGGGGCCTGGTCTGTGCTTCAGTGCCTGCTCATTGTGAGACCCAGCCACGCAGGTACGGACGGGAGTGCCGTGACGTGCAGTTTGGCACCCCCACGCCCCTCCCCTGCCCCTCAGGGACCGCTCTTGGCGGCTTGTGCCCTGCATGTGCCCTACATGCCCCCGGGGCAGTGAACGGGCCATGGTCTGCACTCTGGGTGACTCCTGCTTTCATCTCAGTACATTGTGGACATGACGTCAGGTCGCTGTCACAGACCTCCTTCATTCTTTTGATGGCTGCATCATGTCTCGTGCAGTTAGGTCTTGTCTTTAAGGGGGATGATTTTATTATTTGTTTATGTAGCTTTTGAAAAGATTTTATTCATTTATTCATGAGAGACACGGAGAGAGGCAGAGACATAGGCAGAGGGAGACACAGGCTCCCCATGGGGAGCCCGATACAGGACTCGATCCCAGGACCCTGGGATTGCGACTTGAGCCGAAGGCAGGCAGACGCTGAACTACCCAGGTACTCCAGGGGGAGGATTTTATCAGGATTGTGGGTCATTATTTGGGAGGGCACCATTAGCGTTTGGGCTCAATTCTTACACCAGTTGGAGAAGGTGTAGGATAGTTCAGTCCGAGGCGTTACTTGTTTGATTTTCTCAGTAGCTGTGGAAGCGATGACTGACTTGTTTTCCTCTTTCAGGGCCAGATCAAAGTGGCCAAGAGACGGGTGGTGATGGCATCTCTCTACCTGGGGACAGGTCCTTTGGAACAGGAACTGGTAAGGTTTGAGGTGGGATGGTCCCCGAGGCAGCAGTGAATCACCCTGAACCCCCTGACTGCGTGGTGCTGTGGAGTTGAGGTTGAGCTGCCTTTTCTTGGCCTTCGCCTCACAGCCAGCTGCTGGTTGTTGTTGGCCATGTCAGGAGGGCCAGTGAAGGGTTTGGGGAGGGCTAATCCTCTCTTGCATGTCTTCCCCACCCTGCACAGGGGTTCCTAGGCTGCTCTGTCTGCTGGTCCAGGGCTCAGCAAACTATAGCCCGTTGCCTGTTTTTGTATGGCCTGTGGGTTAAGAATAGTTTTTGCATTTTCAAATGACTAGAAAAAAAATCAAAAGGAGGAGAATATTTGTGATGCAGAAAAAGCACGTGAAATTCAGATTTCTTGTCCATAAGTAAAACTTTATTGGAACACAGCTGTGCTCACTCACACACATACTGTCTGTAGCTGCTGTTTTGCTACAATGGCAGAACTGAGTAGTTGTGACAGACTGTCTGGCCCACAAGGCCCAGAATATTTACTGTCTGGCCCTTTGCAGAAAAGATTTTCCAACCTTGTGCTAGGCAAACGAACCGAAGCACAGGTCGGGCTGGGGTCAGGTGCCAGGTCTGTGGCCCTTCTTGTTCCACCTGCACTTGTTGTCACGCTACACTTATCACCTGCAGTGAGATTGGAGGGGGGAGGGTGGGAAGTGCCAAAAACCACCGTTTTTGCACAGGACATGCTTCTTGCGGCGTGAGTCCAGCACACATTGTGATGCGGGGGCATAGTCTATGGGCTGACTTAACGTGAGTGTGGGCGAGACCGTTCTGTTGTCTGCCTCGTGGGATGGCTTTCTGCTCTGAGGCTGTGAAGTGAGTCTGGCACCCACAGTGTTTTCTCTGGGTTCATCCTTGCCTGGAAACCCACAGGTTGGAGCTGGGAAATACCAGGGATTGGGTGCAGAGAATGGGGGGTGGGGTGGGTCAGCAGAAGCACTTCTGTCCTTTCCTCTCCCTCCCTGAGAGGGAGGTCTCCCTCTGTCTTCAGGACATGCTTTTAGCTACAAGCTCGGGAAGCCTGTTTGTTCTTCTGAGAGAACAATGTCCTGTCCAATCCATGGAGAGTGGCCAGTGGGCAGGTTGTGTCTTGGATTCATTGGTTCAGCAAATATTTGCTGAGTGCTGTCCGTGTGTAGGCACTGTTTGCTGTGTGTCTGTGGGGATTTTCTGTTGAAACGTGTGAGAGCTGGTGTCTTAGAGTTTTTCCAAAGGTGGCAAGCTCTGGACTGCTTTGGCAGCATATCTCTGATCCACAGACCCTCTGTTCTGAGAGCCTGGCTGGACAAGGGTGCCAGTGGTACCTTCTGGTTCCTTTTACTGGTCTCAGATGAAGGAGTCTCCTGGTGTTGACTCTCGAGCACTCATGGTGCAGATGTGTGTTCCAAGAGGATGTGGGGGGGGCCGGGTGTGCATTACCTGGTGAGTTGATCCTTTTTTGTTGTTGTTAAAGTAGGCTCCACACCCAGTGTGGCGCTCCATGTGGGGCTTTTTTTTTTTTTTTAAAAGATCTTCTTTATTTATTCATGAGAGAGACACAGAGAGAGAGAGAGGCAGAGACACAGGCAGAGGGAGAAGCAGGCTCCACGCAGGGAGCCCGATGTGGGACTCGATCCTGGGTTTCCAGGATCACACCCTGGGCCGAAGGCAGGCGCCAAACCACTGAGCCACCCGGGCTGCCTTCGATGTGGGGCTTGAATTCACAACCCTGAGATCAAGACCTGAGGCGACAACCAAGAGTCGGACTGAGCCACCCAGGTGCCCCTCGATCCTTTTTTTAATACGTAATCATCTTTTTGGATCTTATACTTCTGTTCTTTGGGATTCTTTCCTTGATAGGTAGATTGTCTGGAAAGCACTCTGGAAAAGTCACTCCAAGCCAAGTTCCCTTCAGACCTCAAGGTGTCCATCCTCTTGGACTTCACACGGGGCTCAAGAGGTGGGTCTGGTGTACCCTCTGCCCTGACATTTCCCCTTTCAGAGCCCTGTTTCAGGAGTGACACTCTTGCCACCCTCCACCCCCGCCCCAGGCAGAGGCAAGGCTGTTTGAAGACGGCCCAGACAGCCTGGTTGTCCTGGTTGTCCAGCAGCATTCCTTCTGTAGCTGGAAGTGACTGGAAGCCCAAAGAAAAACAACTTAGGCTAAAGAGGCTGTTTTCAGCTCCTATGACTGACCTGCTTTGGGCGGGTCAAGATTTGGGGGTTTGGCCAGTCACCAGGACCCATTTGCTGGCCCTCCTTCCTTTGGGCTGGCTTTATTTTCAGGCTCCGCATGGTGGCCTTGGCAGCCCCGGGCCTGGCTACCCATGACATTGTGTCCATCGGAAGAGAGCCTGCTTCCTGAGGGTTCAGACTGGAGCTCCCAGAGTGGCCTGCTGTGGGCCACGCACCAGGGGCTGTGCGTGTGCTGACCAGCCCAGCCCAAGCCTGGGTGCCTTCTCATGGAGTGGAGCGAGGGTTCTGTGTGGGTAGAGCCATCATTACCCAGGGTAGGAATGTCAAGGGCAGAGGAGGGTGGAACCCCTAGGAGGAGATGGGGGTATAGTTCCCAAGAGGAGAATGATTGGGTGCCGGCTACTAGAATAGCAGATGTCTGCGGCTCCACCCACTCCAGTCTTGTTCTGAGATGCAGCGGTGTCCAGAGCAGAATTTGGTCTGAGGTCCTCCGGCCTGTGATGGTGCCAGAGTAGTGGCATGCCCAGCCCATGGAGAGTGGCCAGTGGGCAGGTTGTGTCTTGGATTCATTGGTTTAGCAAATATTTACTGAGTGCTGTCCGTGTGTAGGCATTCTGGCCATTTCATGGGCGGCACAGGGAAACGTGGGCCCTGGTAGGCAGTTCCTCCCCCGCGGGCTGGGTATCTTTCCTGGTGTGAATAGCCTGTCCTTTCTCTTCTGCTCGCCCACGTATTTAGGTAGGAAGAACTCCCGCACAATGCTGCTCCCGCTGTTACAGAGGTTTCCAGAACAGGTCCGCGTCTCTCTCTTCCACACTCCTAACCTCCGTGGTCTCCTCCGGCTCCTGATCCCTGAGCGCTTCAATGAGACCATTGGCCTGCAGCACATTAAAGTGTACCTCTTTGACAACAATATCATCTTGAGTGGGTGAGTCGGCTGCCTTCCATCAAGGACCTCCCCTCAATATCGGCCAGGGCGGAAGTTAGCAGGACACAGAGAAGGGGAAATTGGTCACCTCAGGCCTCAGGAACGTGGGCATATGTTTGTAGTCTGGTGGTCACACTACTGCCTCAGTGTCTTCCATGACACCCCCCTCTGCTGTGGCTGCTGGCAGCCCATCGAGGGTGGTCAGAAGGGGGCCCTGGCTTCCTGAGCACTTCCTGGGTGCTAGCCAGTCCTCTGTGCCCACGTGTGCTGCTGTGTTTAATCCTCGCAGAGACCCGTGTGGTGTTTTCCCTATTTCATACACGAGAGACTAGAGAGGATGAGTGACTTCATTGGGCAGAGCCAGGAACACAGAAGAAATGAACCGCAGGGCCAGGATGGCCGCCTGGGTCCTTTTGATTCTGAAACCTGGGCACTGGGGCTCAGCCCTGGTGGAGGTTAGTTGGCTTTGTGAGGGTCCCTCTCCTCTCGGCTGTCGCCTCAGCATCGAGACTCCGTGGCTTCCTCGCTGTTGTCCCCTCATGCCACTCTTGTGCAAGTGGCCATCCTCAGGGGCGGCTGCCCTGTGGGGTTCTACGTGTTCGTCACTGCCCTGCTCCCACTGGCTCCTCTGCAGCCACTGTTGCCTGCTCTCCCACCTGAGTCCTCACCCACCTCTCTCCCCCCGCCCCCCTGCAGTGCAAACCTGAGCGACTCCTACTTCACCAACCGCCAGGACCGCTACGTGTTCTTGCAGGACTGTCCCGAGATTGCAGACTTCTTCACGGAGCTGGTGGACGCAGTGGGGGATGTATCCCTGCAGTTGCAGGGGGATGACACAGTGCAGGTGGTGGAGGGGATGGTGCATCCTTACAAAGGTAGGGTCCTGAGCCCTGCTGCCCTCCCCAGCCTGTGGGGGGTGGAGGTGAGGGCTGAGGAGAGTGCCCCTCTAGGAGCCCAGCCTCTGTCTGAGGCCAGACAGAGGTGACTCACTGGCCACCAGGCATGCTCTGTGGGTCCGGGGAAGGTGGGAGTGTGGGCTCTGGCCTGTGCCTGGGGGAGGGAGCCAGGGGCCTGCCCTGCACTTACAGGAAGCAGCCTGCTAACTGGCCTCCCCGGGGCCAGTTCCCCAGTGGGGAGCCCCGGGGCTCTGTGGCTCTCAGCTCCACTGAGGTCTGTGGCCTCCTGCCTGGAAAGTGAAATGGGAGAGCCCTCAGCTCTGCTCCCTGGAAACAGGCAGACCCTGGCAGCTAGTGTTCCTGGGGGCATTTGCATTCCTCTGATTCCTGTGGCTTCCTGGTGGCCTTTGGGAAGGCCCACTGCTGAATTTGCAACAGTGTCAGCAATGTGGGGAGGGGTAAAGCCTACCTTATAAGGAGAAGAGCCCCTGTCCTGGGTGCAGGGAGCGCAGGCCCTGGAACCAGTCTGTGACCTGGGTGTCTGCTTTGCCTGCTGCCAGCCTGGATGCTCAGTTATTATTATGATATTTTGAATTTTTATCAATAAAAAATTCGTGGAAATTTGTTTTCTCTTGTATGAGTACCTACGTATAATTCTCAGTTTTGCCCTTTGGCTCACAAAGCCCGAAATACTTAATATCTGGCCAATACCAGAAACACTGGCCGACTCCTGTCTAACTTTATAGGCCAGGCATGAATGTGCGGAGAAGAGGGCCCCATGTTCTGGGAACGTTATGAGTCAATTTGCTTGGGGGGCAGGTGAGGGTGCCTGGGCCCGCATAGATATGCTCAGGGGAGCAGGGCGACTCAGAAGGAGCGAACGGAGGGATGCAGGGGACACTCTAGACCCTCGGAAGGATAGCCTGAGACATGGTGTGGCTGGAGACTGCCCCCTCCCCCGTGGGTGCTGCTGTCAGGGAGGGAGGGCTCTCCTTGTCCCGGAGCCCATCCCCAGAGACACTCAGGTGTGGCCCTGTCCCCGGCCATGAGCGTGTCCTGCCCTGTTCCTCTCTGACTCTGGCTCAGCCTTTCCCAAGGCTTGCTATTTCCTCCTCCAGAGGGCCAGCTCTGGGCAGTTGCGGACGTTCTTGGTCTACCATCGTTGTCACCCTGCAAACTGCTGCTCTTTACCTGCTCCCTATTTGCACTGCATTTGGGTTTTATCCTCCCTCTCAGTTAGATGCTGGCTTGTTAGTGTTCAGTGACAGCATTTATGCTCAGTTCTCGTCCGTCCAGTGTGTCAAGATAGCCACCTGCCCCAGCTTGCCTGTCCATGCACCCCACCTTGGGGACCCTGCTCCCACGATCCCACTGTGTGGTGCTTGCTCAGCCCATGGTTGTGCCCATGCTCGCATTCACACTCACACGTTCCTTTATTGTTAGCCTATCTCACTGAAGTGCAGTGTGCATGCTGAACACCAGCCTCAGGTGTGCAGTCCACATGTGTGTGCACGATGGGCCGGCTCCTGGAAGCCCCCTCCGGTCCCCTCTCAGGTGCTGTGCCCCAAGGTCCCGCTCCCTTGATTTCTGTCACCCTCAAGTAGTCTGGTCTGTTTTTTGAACTTTTTTTTTTTTTTAAGATTTTATTTATTTATTCATGAGAGATACAGGGAGGGAGGGGGCGGGTGAAAGGGGCAGAGACACAGGCAGAGAGAAGCAGGTTCCATGCAGGGATCCTGACTTGGAACTCGATCCCTGGTCTCTAGGATCAGGCCCTGGGCTGAAGGCGGCACTAAACTGCTGAGCTACCCGGGCTGCCCAGTGTTTTTTGAACTTTTTATAGGGGCACCCGGCTGGCTCTGTTGGTAGAGCATGCGACTCTTGATCCTCAAGGTCGTGAGTTCGAGCTCCATGTTGGGTGTGGAGATGACTTAACAAAATAGTAAAAAAAAAAAAAAAAAAAAAATTTTTTTTGTAAGTGGAACTGGTAGGGGCCTTTTCACATTCCTTGGCAGCAGGTTCTTTATGACCTTTCCTTGGACGATGATACCTGAGGAGGAGCCTCTCTTGGGGCCAGGGGTCCGTGCTCAATCGAAGCCTGTGGGTAGATGGTCAGGTGGGGCATCTGCACTGGCCTGTCTCGTGCCGTGTCCCTGTGCCAGGCAGGAGCCCAGAGCCCCCACTTTGCTCCTTCACCTTTTCCTCCTGTGTGTCTTTACAGGTGACCGGGCCGCGTACTGCAGGGCGGCCAACAAGAGGGTTATGGATGTGATAAACTCAGCTCGGGCCCGCCAGCAAGTGTTGCACGCCCAGACCTTCCATGGCGACTCCCTTTTGACTCAGGAGGATGCGGCAGCTGCTGGGGACCGGAGGCCAGCCCCCGATACCTGGATTTACCCGTTGATCCAGATGAAGCCCTTTGAGATCCAGATTGACGAGATTGTCACTGAGACCCTGCTGACAGAGGCTGAGCGGGGCGCCAAGGTCTACCTCACCACTGGCTACTTCAATCTGACCCAGGCCTACATGGACCTGGTCTTGGGCACGCGGGCTGAGTACCAGATCCTGCTGGCCTCCCCGGAGGTGAACGGCTTCTTCGGGGCCAAGGGGGTGGCAGGGGCCATCCCAGCCGCCTATGTGCACATTGAGCGGCAGTTCTACAGGGAGGTGTGCAGCCTAGGCCAGCAGGAGCGGGTCCAGCTGCAGGAGTACTGGCGGAGGGGCTGGACATTCCATGCCAAAGGTATGCGGTGGCCAGCTGGGGCTCAGGGTGTGGGGGCAGCCTGGGGGGTCATCCCCAATCCCGCCTCACCTGTCTGCGCTGGGCCCTCCTCCCATCTTGTCCTCCTGGCAGCCTTGCACACATGCCACAGCCTCCCAATCAGGAGCATTTGAGTTCTGCAGAGTTTTCTCTCTTCCGCTCACAGAACTTCATGCCGATGATCTGGGTGGCTGTTTCAGGAAGCACGTGGAACTTCTGCGGGTGGGAGGAGGTGCGTGCGGTCACCTTCCCTGGTCATCAGTTTCTCCCACATTGGCTGTGACCTTCTCAGGGACAGAGGGTATGTCCCTGTCCCTGAGAATTATTTATTTGGTATTAAATGGTTTTTCAGTCTTTCCATCCCCACTGTGGTTCTTTCTGCTTGATGTGAATTCCCCACTTATTCCCCATAGCTGAGGAAGTTGAGGCCGTGTCCTTTCCATTCTGAGCGACACAGCACTGCCCATACGTGGGTCATGGTCTGAACTGTGTGTGGATTATGATCCTCCGCAGGCATTGGTGTGCATTCCTGGGGCAGCCCACACGTGCCATAATCCCAGGTCCGTGGTCTTAGGGATAATCGGGTTTCAAACCTTGTGCTCAGCAGAGGGATTATCCCTGCTGCTGCTTGATGTGTTAAGGGCACCTGCCTCTGGGGTGGACTTACTCCTTCCGATGCTTCAGGGGCCACACGACCAGATACTTTGTCCTGTGTCTGAAGAAGAGTGACCAACGCAGAGCCCCTGGCCATAAGTGACGTGTGTGGTTTTTCTGGGTTTCTCTTTGGTGGTCAGAGGTCTGTTTGACTCCCGTGCTGGTCCTGGAGTCTTGTGGAAGGACTGATGGAGGAGGGGATGGGGTTACTCTGGTCTCTGGTCTTTGCCTGGGAGTCCAGGCTGTAGACAGCCATGGCCACTTAGCTGCGTTGTGTGGATTTGAGGTCATTTTGGAATCATTGGGTGGGTGGAACTCTCTTTTTTCTTATATCAGTGATTTTCACCTGGGGATATGTTAAAAGAAACACTAAAGTCCAGACTGCCTTATGTTTCTTGAATCCAGCTCTCTGGGGATTAATCCAATGTGGTGTATGTATATAGGTTTTTTAAGATTTTGTGTATTTGTTTGAGACACAGAGCACAAGCAGTGGGAGCAGCAGGCAGAGGAAGAGGGATAAGCAGACTCCCTGCTGAGCAGGGAGCCAAAGCAATGCGGTGGTGTAGGGGGTGCCCCCTCAATCCCAGGACCCCGGGATCATAACCTGAGCTGAAGGAAGACACTTGACCACCTGAGCCACCTAGGTCCCTGCAACGTGTGTGTGTGTGTGTGTGTGTGTGTGTGTGTGTGTGTGTGTTTAAACTCTCCAGGAGTTTCTGATGCCTTAAGAATCACTCTCACATCTCCGAAGGATGGCCCTTCTGGTCTCTAGGGTGGTGGTTCCCGCTTCCTGCTAGGAGGCTCACATGCCTGTTCCTGCTAGGGCAGGTGGCATTGTGTTGTAGGGGTGAGCCAGGCAGGTGGTCAGATGCCTCAGGCAGGTAGGGCTAGCCAGCAAGGAGGTGTGGAAAATATTTCAGGATTGGTTTTGTTCCTTATGAGAATAGCCACGGTGCCCAAGCATGGAGTATTGAAGACTGACCTGGAAAGCAGGAGGAGCTTTGATTCTCAGAGGGGACGTGTGTGCCTGGGGAGCTGTGCAGGCGATGCCTCAACAGCACTCCCTCCTCGTCTGTTCTGTGGCACTTCGGGCTCCCCAGCTCAGTGTGGTCTGGTGGTTCTGACTGGGCTGTGGGTTATTTCCCTGATTCCCTGAACCAAGCAGCACTGATAAATGAGCAGTGACACCCCCCCCCCCCCCCCCGTTACCGTTGAAACAGAAACACCCAACCGGCTCTTCCAGTGTGGCTCGCCTTTTCCCGGACAGGCATGCTTCTGCCCCACCCGGGGTGGGGCCTTGCACTCCGGGAGCACTGGATTAGTGGGGAAGGTCAGGAATCCCAGGGCACGTGTGCCTGTGAGTGTGAGAGTGCGCGAGAAAGAGGGATTGGGGTACGTGGGCAGAGGAGCCTCACCTGAAGGCCAGGAGTCCGAGGTCAGAGATTCCCTCGGTATTGAGGTCAGCGGCCAGGGTCCTTTCCTGTGATTGTGATCAGTGTAGGGGGTCCTTAAGTCGGCTCCCTTTTGTGGTTCATTCCTGCATGCTCATTGTCCCCAGAGCAGCCTATGAGAGGAGCGAGCAGCCCAGGTGGTGGCAGGGGTGGGTGGCTGGGTTTACTGAGGCTCTCTGCAAGGCCCGTGCTGGGTACAGATGGTGCCTGTTTATGCCTGCCTGTGGCTGAGTAGCCCATAGCCTGATGGTCTTACTCAGGCTCCTGCAGGGCAGACCTGGCTGATCTCAGCTCTCAGTGCTCCCGTGAGCCCTTGGTGAGGACGGTGAGCCAGGAACCCATGTTCATGGTGTCCACATCTTTGTGGCTCTGACAGCACTGTCCCCCCACCCCCCAGGAGTCAGGCAGGGGGGACTCTTGCACCTGCTGTGGCCCTGTGGGTGAAGTGATGCAGGAACACTGCCTGGTCCCTGTCTGTGGGAAGCTAACAGGTTTGGCTTGGGGCGCATCCTCCTCGTGGAAGTGACCTCAGTGGTCAGTAGGTGCCAGTGGATAGCAACTCAGTCCAATGGCAGGAGGCTCCAAGGACTGGGGTGTGTCCTTCAGTCCTTTCCGGCTTATCCCGCCTGGAGGATATCAAGCAGTTGTAGAGATGCCTCGTTGGAAAGACTGGAGGTGACTTGTGGAAGCAGTGCTCACTGTATTCGGTGGGCTACCGAGTAGAGGTGTCTCACTGGCAAACTGCGGATTCCTTGGTGTTTTTTTTTTTTTTTTTTTTTTTTTTTGAGAGAGCACGAGTCGAGGAGAGGGAGAGGGAGAAGCAGGCTCCTTGCTGAGCGGGGAGCCCAATGCGGGGCTCCATCCCAGGATCCCAGGATCTTGACCTGAGCTGAAGGCAGACACTTCACCGACTGAGCCACCCAAATGCTTCGCTTTGCTGATTCCTTAGCATCCTTAGCAGACTTGAGTATATGTCATGTTAATATTGCTTCGAAGTACCAGTGATATCATCCACTATTTAAAGACCTACTCTAGAGACTTTTGCAATGTGGTCCATTCATTTTTGGGGGGGTTTTTGCAAAGACCACCTATTCAGAATGCGGAGGGGCCCTGTGTACATGTGTCATGCTGGTGAAGCCACCAGACTTGGATTCTTTAAGCTTAATTCTCAGGCCAAATTTACCTTTGGCAAACATGTAAGGACCTGGTCCAACCTCCATGTAAGACGGGGCGATGGCAGTGGTTCGCCTTTAGGAGAGCACAGTGACCTGACATGCATTCTGTTGGGCTTTCTGTGAAGTGGCCGAGAGCCGAGGGGAGGCGTCCCAGGGGCCGTGGGGTGGGTGCTGCTAGGTGGGCCCACGGGGGTCTTGCATTTCTTGGTGAGGAGAGATGTCCTTGTCACCTGTGGTTTTGTTCCCGTTCCCCCCACCCCCCTGGGGGTCCCTTAAGGACACTGCTAAAGTTGGAGGTCGTAGTTGCGTCTTCTTGGCCTCTGGAGGGGCGGCTGGGCATCCACGTCAGACAAGAGTCCACCGGCAGCTGTGCGGGTTCATGCCTGGGCAGTTGCCTGTGGCCTGGCCCTCGCTCCTTCCCCGGTAGGTGGGTTGCAGCGAGGCTCTGAGAGCTGGAAGCACCTGTAATGCTGTAGAACGGTCACCTGAGTTCGGTGCTAGGTGTCCGTATTTTTCCCCAACTGTGCTTTCATTATTGTGTAGGCATTTGGTGCCCAGCACAGCACCACACAGCTTGTGTAGTTACGTTTTTCCCTTTTAAGTGAAAGTTTGTATTTTCTCATTTATTTTATGTATGTATTTTTAAAATACTCAATTTCTTTAGAGCATTTTGGGTTCAGAGCAAAGCTGAGAGGAAGCTCCAGAGATTTCCCAGCTGCCTTGCGCCATTCTCTCCCAGCCTCCTCTACTGTCAGCATCCGGCCCCAGAGGGCGCGCTTTCAGAAGCGATGAACCAGCGTTGACACACTGTCATCCTCCAGAGTCCACATTGTGTCAGGGGTCATCCTGGTGTTTTGTATTCATGGGTTCATGCGGGTGAAGACCTGTATCTGTCATCATGGTGTCACATGGAGGCTTTCAATGCCCTGAACAGACTCTGGGCTTCCTGTCCATCCCCCTCCCACCCCCTGCAGCCACCGGGTCCCTTTACTGTCTTCATACCTTCACCTTTTCTAGAATGTCCTGCAGCTGGACTCACACCGTCTGTATCCTCTTCAGACTAGCTTCTTATGCTTAGTTATGTGCATTTAAGTTTTTTTTTTTTTAAATAAAGACTTATTTGAGAGAGAGAGTGAGGGGAAAGGCAGAGGGGGAGGGAGAAGCAGACTCTGCTTTGAGTACGGAGTCCGACACAGGGCTCAATCCCACAACCCCGACATCACAACCTGAGCTGAAACCAAGAGCCAGCTGCCCACCTGACTTGAGCCCCCCAGGCACCTCGTGTTTAGGGTCCTTAACCCTTATGTCTTTTGGTGGTGCTGAGTAACGTACCGTTGTCTGGACGGACCACAGCTTGGTCATCCATCCACCTACTAGAGGGCATCTCAGTTGCTATAGAGTGGAGAGCAGGGCTCGGGGGCCAGGTGCAGAGTGGTTGTCAGAGGTTGTAAGCCCTGCATTGGCCATGTGCCAACCAACCAGCATCTCTAGGGCTTGAGGAGGCGGCAGCCCCAGGGGAGCCTGAGCGGGAGGATGTATGTGTCTACTCCCCAGACAGGAGTGGGCCTGAGCCTTGCTGCTGGTGCTGTCATGGGACTTCTTGCTGGGAGCCTGGTCCCAGCCCACCCAGCAGCCCCTTTGGGCAGGGGCCACATCCATGTTGGGGGTATCTCGGGGGAGAATCAGAAAATGAGCTTTGAGGGATGCCTGGGTGGCTCAGGTCCTGATCCTGGGTCTGGGGGTCGAGTCCCGTATCTGGTTCCCCCCGGGAGCCTGCTTCTCCCTCTGCCTGTGTCTCTGCTTTTCTTTCTGTATCTCTCATGAATAAATAAAATTGAAAAGAAAAGAAAAGAAAAAAGAAAATGAGCTTTGGGATGTAGACTTGCCTTTCCTCTGGGTGCAGTACCCTAGCAGTACCAGCACAATGTGTGTGGCCAGGGTGGGGCAGGCCATTGGATTAAGAGATTTCTGGCTCCTGCTGACAGAGGAATCTGTTAATGATTGTGAGAATTGTCACTATTTTTACTGCTTTCCCGACAGGCAGCTTGGCCTGGTGCCCAAAGGTGAGCTTGCAGTGCTTGCTGGGGCGACTCCGCCCTGTGTGTCTCCGGCACGCGTGCCTCAGTGGGGTGCTGGCAGGTGTGCACTGGGGCATGGACCACTCTGCTGGGGGTGGGGGCTGGCCTCCCGGCCTGTTGAAGTGGCCTGGACTGTAACAGGTGACTGCTTAGCCCTCTGAGGTCACGACTGTGGTGTCTTCTTGTCCCCTTAGATTTTTGTAGGGTCTGAGAGTCCTCTGAAGTTTATTGCAGAATATCGTGGTGGAAGTGAAGGAGAGGGTGTAAGATGACATTTTTCTTTCTTTCTTTCTTTCTTTCTTTCTTTCTTTCTTTCTTTCTTTCTTTCTTTCTTTCTTTCTTTCTTAAGACTATTTATTTATTCGTTCATTCATTCGTTCATTCATTCATTCATGATAGACACACAGAGAGAGGCAGAGACACAGGCAGAGGGAGAAGCAGGCTCCAGGCAGGGAGCCCGATGCGGGACTCGATCCCAGGTCTCCAGGATCAGGCCCTGGGCTGAAGGCGGCGCCAAACTACGGAGCCACGCCGGCTGCCCAGATGACATTTTTCTTGAAGAGAGCCTCAGGGACAGCCTCTCACCAGAAACGGTCTGGAGCACCTGCTTTAGAACTCAGAGGTTTTTATACTTAATTTCGTCATCATGTGTTGGAAGATGCACAATTAGCCTCATTTACTCTGTTCAAACAAGTATTTATTGAGTGTCCACTGTGTGCCAGGCAGGATTCAGGGTGCTGGGAATCCATCACTGGGGACCTGCCCTCTCCAGGCATCTGTCTAGTTTAATAGGAAGCAGGTACATACAGATGAATCTGTTTTTTTTTTTTTTTTTTTTTTTAAGATTTTATTTATTCATGAGAGACACAGAGGCAGAGACACAGGCAGAAGGAGATGCAGGCTCCTTGAAGGCAGATGCTCAACTGCTGAGACACCCAGGCATCCGTAGATGAATATATTCTAATAAAACGTCAGGTGATGGAACGGGTTATGACCATAGCAGGAGGAGGGATCTGGGCCGGATCTGGGGGTCTGTTAGGTGGGGGGTTGGGAAGACCTGTCTGCAGAGGGGACATTCACCAAGCACAGACCCTGGCTGGAGGGTTCAGGTGGAGAGAACAGGAATGTGAGGCCCTGAGACTGCTAGGCATGAGGAGGAGTGAGGGGGGCAGGTCGGGAGGGAATAAGGCCTGGAGGTGGCCGGGCCCATGGGAAAGGTCAGAGGCCTGGCGAGGGAGCGCTGTGAGAGCCCTGGGGCCACCTGGTTTGCTCATGCACAGCGCTGGACTGTGTGGAGAAGGGACTGTAGTGTAGGCGTGGGCAGAGCAGGAGAGGAGGTCCAGGGTGAGGGAGTGAGGGCTCTCATTGCAGAGCTGGGAGCCCGCAGAAGTCTTGGGATTCCGTCCAGTCATCTGTGTACCCCAGTGTGCTCCCTTGGGCTGAGGGTTGCCCACGGCCAGTCCCCTCTTGTGCTGTCACTCCTGTGGCTCTGCCGAGTGGCTCCTAGTCTTACGGGTGCTAGGTTGGTAGAGGTGTTGGGCACAAAGGTCAGGGCTTGATAACAGGCTTATGGCCCTGCTGGGAAGTGTGCAGAGGCCCCAGCCTGCCTCTCAGCCTCTGTGCTCAGGCCCAGAGCAAGGGATGCACCCTTGGGAGTCCCTCCCTGAATGGAGGTTTCCCAGCTGTCCTTTGGGTCTTTCCCAGCAGCAGAAACGTCCCGCCTTCAGGGAGCTTGTACCTGGAAGGGCTGTTCATGGGGCAGCATCTTGAGCTCCTGGGGCATGGGTACCACGTGGCTTCAACATCTGTGGTCTTTATGTGGAGAAAGATCCCAGTCCACATGGGTCTACAGGGGGAAGTGGTGGGGCAGTTGCAGGCCTCACCAAGGTGGCCAGTAGGTTCAAGATACATGCTGCCCTTCACTCGCACATGTTCTCTCAAGGCCAGCCAGGGCCAGAGAGGAAAGCTGAAAGCAGACAGGTGTCTGTCATGCCTTCCCAATGGGGTGATGGTGGCAGGTGGGTACTGAAAAGCTCTCGTCTCACTACACATAGAGTCTGGGTACACCTATGTGTAGCACGCAGATGTGTATCCGTGAGAGCAGGATTTCCTTTGGGGCTGGCAATTAGGAAAAACAGGTCTAAAAAAGCTTGTTAGTGGTCAGTAACGAAAGCAGGCTGGAAGCTGGGGCGAGGGGCTGTTGGTGTGTGCGGGGATGGGCTACATGCCTCTCATGGCTGGCCCCTAGGTTGTAAGGAAGAGATCTACGTTTAGGCAGATTTCAGAAGTAAAAGATACTCAGAAGACCAGGTCCTTTCAGTCTTTTTTTTTTTTTTTTAATTTTTATTTATTTATGATAGTCACACACACACACACACAGAGAGAGAGAGAGAGAGAGAGAGAGAGAGAGGCAGAGACACAGGCAGAGGGAGAAGCAGGCTCCATGCACCGGGAGCCCGACGTGGGATTCGATCCCGGGTCTCCAGGATCGCGCCCTGGGCCAAAGGCAGGCGCCAAACCGCTGCGCCACCCAGGGATCCCAGGTCCTTTCAGTCTTGCCCTCCAGGCCCTCTGGTCCAGGAGCCTTGGATGGACACACTGAGGGTGGCATGGTTCACATCATCCTTAGCCAGTGCCAGCCCCATGGGTGTCGGGCCTCCCTGCTGGACACGCTCACTGCTCCCAGCTGAGCGGGCTCCGGAGAGCCGGCTGCACAAGGAGCATGGAGCATCCCTGGTGCTTTTGAATCTTTCTGATTGTGACATTGAGAGAGTCAGAATAGCAGTGGCAGGTGGTGAAGCTCAAAGGCTGGGGGAGGTCAGCCCCTGGTCCTGGCCCCCCCAGCCTCAGGCTTTGTGGAAAGGTGGGCGGAAGTGGCTGAGCCTAGTGGAGGCGGAGGGCCTGCAGTGCAGCAGTTCAAGGCTTACCCGTTCCACCTGGACCTCCCTGGGCATCTGGAACAGAATGCTAGGGGCCAGCCAGCGCACCCCTAGTATCTCAACACAAGATAAGGTGAGCCACATGGTTGCCTACGCGACAGTGGCCCCATGGGGCGGTACAGTTGGCTGAGTGACATACGCAGGCAGGCAGGCAGGCGGCTTTGATGTGGCCCCTGTGTGTGTGTGTGGGGTCGAGCACATTACAGGAACAGGCAGCAGAGCATCGTCATCTCTTACCCAAGGTATTCTTGGAAATGCTCTTGCTCTGAGTGAGAATTAGGAAATGGTCTTCTATTTTAGGCTTCTTGGTGTGTATTACATGTTGTTGATTCGCTCACGATGGTCATGCGCTCCTGTGGGCCCCTTTACAAGGGTCATGTTGGCAGAAGAGAGACCGGCGGTGGTGCGGAGGGTGTGAGGAGGCGGGCTCTGAGCAGGCCGGCAAGCCTCACAGGGGAGCCAGGCCAGCTCCAACACTGGACAGTGGGCTGGGCTTTCTGGGCCGAGCGTTCTCGGTGCCAGTGATGGTGTAGTGTGGAGGAAGAGACAGAGGCCAGACCCAAGTCTGAGCTCCTGCAGGAGAAAAGAAGTCCAGGGCAGCAGATGTCCTTGGGAGGTCAGGTTTTGGGAGTAGCCTGTTTAGGAGAAGAAGTAGCTGTGACAGGCCCTGGACCGTGCCAGCAGGCCGTGGGACTCGGAGGAGGGGGGATGGGTACACAGCAGACCACCTGCCTGGCGTCTGTTTCAGAGCACAGTTTAGGATTCTGAGACCATCTGAGCCTTCCTGACGAACATGTCAGCATCCCGGGGGATGGGGGCAGTATCCTCTATCCCACGGCTGCTTGTACTGTATCCTGCTTTTTGTCCAGCTGTGTTGTCAGCCGGCTCATTTCCTAGCAGAAAAGGGGAAATGGTGTTCTCTGGGGTGGGACAGAAACTTACAGGGCCTCTTAGCTTCTCTCCTCCACCGGCCTCTAGTGGACTTTGTGTGTCTGGCTTTGGCTGTCCCTGAGCCACTAGCAGGGATGCGCATCTAGTGTCCTGTTGGGTGTGGTGTGTCTGCAGCCCGAGACAGAGAACCGCATGTCCCTGGGTGGGAAGGGATGCAGGATGGAGTGCATCCTCCATACCCACCTCCCCCCGGCAACAGCTGCATGCCCGCAGACTTGGGTAGGAGCATTGCTGTCCCCTACGCTGCCATAAGCCCAGTGGGGTCTTTCCCCTTGGAAAGCTCATGGTAGGGCCATGGAGTCTCTGGCCAGGGTGGGCTTCAGGTCCCAGTGGCCAGGATGTGGCCGAGGCAGTTCAAAGAGCCGGGGATCAGAGGCCCTGAAGCCTCTGGGAGGGGCTGTGGTTAGCACGGGGTGGTGAAAGCAGAACCTGAGCATGGGCATCCAGGGGCTCCCTGAGAAACCCACCTCTCGCTGTGCTTGGGCAAGATGGGAGGAGGTGGCTTCCTGGGAACGCGGGCTGCCCAGGTCCCTGCCCTCCGAGCAGCTCCCGGAGCGGACAGCGCATTGCGCCCGACTGCTCATTCCCAGCGGGCTGCTTTTCTCTTAGGTTGAATGAAGTGTGGAGAGGCTCTCGGCAGATGCTGTGCTCATTTCCTGTCTGCACGTTTCCTTTTCCCTGCAGGCCTCTGGCTGTACCTGGCAGGGAGCAGCCTGCCCTGTCTCACGTTGATTGGCTCTCCTAATTTTGGGTACAGGTCAGTTCACCGGGACCTGGAGGCCCAGATCGCCATAGTGACGGAGAGCCGGGCCCTGCAGCAGCAACTTCACCAGGTTGGTTGGGACAAGTGGGATTTGCCGGGGTGAGTGGGGGTGGCTGGGTGCTTGGCCCTGCCCACATCGCCGGGTCCCCTGAGGGCTCTCCGCCATCGTCTCCAGTGAGAAGGACCCCGAGTCCTCAGAAGCCTGCTGGTGGCTGGAAGGCTGGTCCTGAGAGGAGCCCCACAGGCCCGCCCTTAGAAGCTGCATGCCCTTTTGCTTTTGTCCTGCTGCGGCAGCCGCTCCTGCCCCACGGCCCCTGAGGGCTCCCTCTATGCGGGTCGCAAGCGCTCCTCTCTGTCTCACACCTCAACACCCCAGCTTCAGAGGGCCACAGGAGAGGTGGGGAAGCTGGGCTCACTCAGGCCCTGGGCCGCTGGCAGGAGTCTCCGCAGGAAGGCCGGCCAGGAGGCAGAACGGGCACTCAGGGCGCCAGTGTCTTTGACCAAAGAGACGGAAGGGGCAGATGTCAGGAAGCAGCTGGAGCACCGTGCAGAGGGGCTTCGTGGAGAACAGCGTAATGTCACAGGCGTGGGCAGCCCCCTTGCTACGTCGCTGAGCCGTAGAGTTGTGTGCACGCGTCACCTGGGTTCTGCCTCTCTCTCCACCTCGTCTCCCTTGCTAGTGCTCTGGCTTGGGGTTGGACACACAGGGGACGGTGCAGGGGGCCGGCCAGCGGCAGGGTCCCCTCGTGGTGTGTTTGTGGAGTTTGGAGGTGGGTGATTTGTGGGACGGGCAGAAACTTGTGGCTGCCTCTTCCCCCTGCCCCCTACCTGCTACCCCAGGGGACGGCGATTGGCCCAGCAGGTCCCCTTTTCCTTGGGGATTCCAGCATCTTGGAGTTTCTGTGGTGTTGTCCTCATGCTGGCAGTTGTAATAAGGCTTCTGTCCTTCTGTTCTCCTGAGTGTGGGAACTGGGGCCGCAGCGGAAACCTGACCTGCTCTGGCTGGCTTGGCCCGTTGGGGTGCACTGGCCATTGGGCGCAGGTGGCCGGTCCAGGAGCCTTCTGCTCCCCTTGGAAGACACAGGTCAGGCCTGTGCTCTCAGCCACTTGGAAGTGAGGAGGGCAGCCCTTTCTGGAGCTGGGGTCGGAGACCCTGGGCCCCATACTGCTGGCAGGCTAACGGCCTGGAGAAGCCGGGGAGAACCCTGTTTCCTCCATGGGGCAGCAGCTATCTCGGCCCTTCTTTGGTGGTGGAATATTTTACTGTCTGTTTAGAGAAAAACAGAAGGTTCCTGAGAACTGGTTAGTTCTTTTGTGGGGCTGTGTGTTTGGTGGCCTGTGGCAGCACCGCTGGACTCGGAAAACACACCGTTCTGTGCGCGTGAGAGTGGCCTTTCCGTGGAAGGGCCAGCTTCCCTCCTGAGTCACAGGAACACAGATAACGCTGCCGAGGACCAGACCTCAGAAGCCTCGGCTGTTGACTTTGTGAAGCTTTTATTCTCCAGTGTTGGGAATGACTGTTGCGAAACTGTGGGAGCCTTTGTTGCTGGACAAGGACATGGTAACTGCCTTGTCCCTGGGACCTGCCTTCTGCCGTCTGGGAATCCTGTCAGCGACCCAGTGGGGCCTTGGTGCCGGGAAGGCCTTCGCGACCAGGGGCCAGAGGAAGTGGCAGCGGTTGTGCTCTGGGTGGCCAGCGCGGAATCCGATCTGCTCAGCAGGTTTCTTGCGACGGTGAGGCTTCCAGAAAATGAGGAAGCCTTGCAGCTGAGGCTCCAGTTGGAGTCGCTGGTGCAAGAGGGTCAGGGCTGCAGCCCGGTGGGGTCTGCTGGACTTCTGTACCCGTTGCAGAGACGCCTCAGCCTGTGAGCCCCTGCCCTGGGGTTTGTAGCATTGTGGGTGAGAACTGGGCCAGGACTGGTTCCCCATGGATTGGGGTTTTGTGGGGGCAAGTCCCCCAGGCCTGTGCCCAGGGTCCTGGTACTGGCTCTCCCCGACTTCCCAAGTATGGGGATTGAACCCACATCCTGGATCTGGAGAGAAGCTGGGCCAGTTGCGGTCAGGAGCTGTTTTCCTAAATGACATATTTGGGATATTTTCCTTTTCTTCCCAAACCTGAATCCCAGGGGCTTTAGATTGTGGAAGGGTGCAGCCCTTCCATTCTTCAGAGCCATGCTGATTTTTGTGCTTTGGAAATGAAAAATGGCATTTCTAGGTAATTCCACCTATATGCTTAGATTGTCAGACCACAGCCCCCGGGCCCCCCAGCACTCCCACCAGGTGGCCCTGTGGTGCCTGATCCTGGGACTGCCTAGCCACACAACCCACCCACAGCCCAAAAAGTCCCTAGAACCCCGGCCACCTGTGTCCCTGCCCCGTTCTCCTCGGGATACAGGGAAGGGCCCTGTTCGTACTGCACTGGGCGCTGGGAATGGAGAGATATTTTTATCAGAATCCGAAGCCCCTCCCTTCACTCAGTACACACAATAAAAACTGAAAGCTTCCTGGTTTTGTTCAGAGAACACAGTTTACCACTTGTGACCTAAGAAAGACTCCCTTGAACAGCACTGTAACCTTGGTCAGCTGACTTCCCCCTCCAGCTCTGTCGTGGGGTCTGTGAGGAACCTTAAGTGTTTCTGGTAATTTAATTGAAAGCTTGGCTGAGTATTCGTTTGAAAGCATAAAGCTGGAGCGGAGTCTGTGGAGACGTCTGCACGCCTGGCCCCTAGGCCCTCAGCGGCTCCTCTTGTGAGGCACGTCCAGCCGGGGACTGAGGCTGTCGCCACTGCCATCGGGAGGCCCGAGGGTTTGAGCTGGCGGCCAGGAGTCCGCTCAGCTGGGAAGTGCCACGTGGACCCTGGCCCCAAGGGAGTGGCCAGGGGGTGAGCCTGAAAACCATGCAGGAGAAATGAAGTCCGGGCCCTGGGGCCGCCCAGCCCTGGACAGGAAAGCTGTGGATACTTCCCGTAGTGTTCTGCAAGGCCAGGTGTCTGCTGTCCCCTGTTCCTGCTGGGTGGTCCCTGCCCCCAGGGAAGAGCACACCCTGCTCCTGGGGCGGGACAGGGCGGTACCATCTCCGTGCCCCCCCCTCTGGTGCTCCTGGGCCCACCACCCCAGGCCGTTTCCCAGGCCATTCTGTTGGGTCTTCATAATGGTGTGGGATAGTCGGTATTTTCTGGACAAAGTGATGCAGAGATCCAGAGAGGGATCGCCCTCTCAGCCCTGTGTGGTGGGAACAAGTGGGATCACTTTCTGACTTCTTCATCAAATACCTTATAAATGGAAACACAGGACTTGTAGGGTGTTTGTTTAAAAGAGTATTTCCTCTCAAAGATTCTAAGCACAGTTTAAGAGAATATGAGTGTTTTTAAATGTAAACATTCATTGTAAAAATTAAGAAAAATTGGAAGACGCCTGTACCTCCATTCAGAGCCATCACTGAAGTCATCCTGAGGATTCCCTCTTGTTCTGTGTGACAGGGCATGACTTGTCTCTTCTTTCTTAATGAAATTAGGGTTGTATTCTCCGTGTCGTTTTTCTAGAACATGATTATCTTGTGGTGCAGGCTGGTTTGTCATACGGATTTATTTATTTAATTAGTTGTGGTGGACATTTAGGTGGTTTCCAGTTTTTCCCTGTTATAAATGTCGCTGTGATAGATAGCAGCACACAGAAGTCTTGAAAGCATAGCTTTTCATTCTGGGATAAATTCCTACAAGTGGAGCTTCTTTTTTTTTTTTTTTTTTTTGATTTTTTTAAAATTTTTATTTATTATTTATAATAGTCAGAGAGAGAGAGAGGCAGAGACACAGGCAGAGGGAGAAGCAGGCTCCATGTACCAGGAGCCTGACGTGGGATTCGATCCCGGGTCTCCAGGATCATGCCCTGGGCCAAAGGCAGGTGCCAAACCGCTGCGCCACCCAGGGATCCCCAACTGGAGCTTCTTGAGGCTTTGATACCTGTTGCCAAGTTGGTCTCTGGGAAGAAGCCGTGACCCCATCTCCAGCCGCAGAGTGCATGGGAACGCCTGGCTCCCTGGTCTGGCGGCTCGGGGTCACCCTGTGACAGAACGTTTTGCCAACTTGAGAAAAGAGCTACTCCCTCATTTCACGAATGTGTCTTTAAGTTGCATGACCTCATTTAGTGAGGGTGAACTTGTAAATCCTCTCTCTGCCAGCTCGACTTCCATTCCACGTCCCCTGTTCCATGCACATCTTGGTCTTAAAAGCATAGAGACATGAGCTTCTTAGCTTGCTGCTAGGGCAGGTTTGATGGGGTGGCTCGCAGGCCTGCCTCCCCTGCCTGGCTCCCTTGTGCCTCAGCTAGGCACCCAGGCACCCCAGTGCCCCGGCATCCCAGCACCAGGCACCACAACACCCCAGGGCCCAGGCATCTCAGTGCCCCAGCATCCTAAGCACCCCAGTGACTGGGCATCCCAGCACCCCAGTGACCGGGCATCCCAGCACCCAAGCACCCTGGCATCCCAGCACCCCAGGGCCTGGGTACTGCAGCACCCTGGCACCTTGTACCCGAGTGCCCCAGTGCCCGGGCTGGCTCTACGTGTGAATTGGTGGTGGACGGGCTGAGTCACCTGGCGCTGTGGGAGACCCTAATGCCTGTTTGTTTCTCTCCCTCAGGAGCAGGAGCAGCTCTACCTACGCTCAGGTGTGGTGTCTTCCTCCACCTTCGAGCAGCCGAGTCGGCAGGTGAAGTTGTGGGTGAAGATGGTGACTCCGCTGATTAAGAACTTCTTCTGAGGATGAACAGGTGCTGCCTTGTGAGGCCACATGTAGGTCAGGGGGCTTCCGTCCTAGCGGGGAGGGCAGTGTTCCCAGGACCCGGGAGCTCTGTTCCGCGGGTCACCATGGTTGTCATTGAAGTTTTCCAGGCCTGGAGTAGATGAGGCAGCACCGCGGCTTGGGCCGGCACCACAGAGCAGGGGGCTTAGGGCAGTGCGAGCAGGAGGGACACTCGGTGACAGGACACTGCCCTCCCGGGAGGAGCCTGCCACTGGGTGCCCGGAGCCTCTAGCTGTGGCCCACAGAGGCACGGAGCGGGGTGGCCCTGGGCTGCTGCTTGGCTGGGCCGTCGCCTGGAGGCCGGGCAGGGTGCGCCTGCCAGTGGAGGCGGTGCCTCCCCAGAGCGACCCTGCCCTCGCGCCCAGAGGGCCCCAGATGGGACCCACCTCCTGACTCCTGGGTGCGGGGGCTCTGAGGCAAGAGCACGGGGTGTGCGGCAGGGGCTTCCTTCCTTGGGTGCTGGTGCCAGGCTTCTCTCATTAAAACAGAATTGTATTTAATGTCATCTTTTAGTTTTCCCTCCATATTTTCATTACTTTTAATTTTATTCAGATCACGTATAGTTGTAGAGGAAGGCGATGCTAGACCCCTGACCCCGCAGCAGTCTCCTGCCTCTCTTGCCCCTCAGCAGCCTCCTTTGACTCTCTCACCTGTTTGCTCTGATCTTTACGTACTGGTCCGTATTTCTAGAGGATACGCGTATATCGGCACCCTCTCCCAGTATAAAGTCTCGTAAACCTCTCCTGCCGTCCACGTTATTCTGGTATCACACCTGACTGAAACCTTAGCCAGAGTCCCTTAGTGTCAACAAATACCCCAAACGTGTTCAAGGGTTCAATTGCCTTATAATATTTCTTATTTTATGAAAAATTTCCCACGTATTTGACTTGAGGTTCCAGATAAGGTCCAGACCTTGTGATGATATATGGTGACACGTCACCTAAGTCTCTTTTCATCTGTGGGATCCCCTCCTTTTTTTCCTTTGTGATTTTTTTTGTTGAAGAACAAACCTCTTGTTTATTGGATCTGCTTAAAACCTGGTTTGTGCCACCTTCTCACAGGAGGGCATCTTCAGAACACATAGCATGCTGCCCCACCGCCCTCTGTCTCCAGAAGCAGATTTCAAAACCTTCCCGCCAATCTCAATATCTCCAGGTGCTGAACCTTGCACAGAGAAAGATCTTCCTGAGAGAAGGCCTTTGGCCCCAGGGTATGGCTGGCCCATCCTTTGTCGGGAGAGAGATTGCTTTCCTCCCTGGCAGGCACATTCCCGGAAGCCACTTCACGTGGCTCACGTGGCTCCGTCCTGAGGGCTGTGGCTGCTGGTCCCCTTCAGGGCTCTGGAAGGTGTGGCCGGCCTGTCTGCACAGCCTGGCTGTGTGCACGGGGCCCTCCAGCATCTCCAGCCCCCCGCCAGGGCCAGCAGATCTGCAGGCTTCAATGGTTGGGAATTGGGTGGAGCGGTGGCCGTGTCTACACTGCTCTGGGGCAGCAGCACATCAGTTAACGCTGTTTGCCTTCAAACCAGTTATTAAATTGTCCTGTGGGACAATTAGGCTAGAGAAGCCAGAAGAATGTGCCAGGGCACCGGGTTTCTGTTTGGAGAGAGGCTTTCGGTAAACAGCGTTGACATTCTTGTAGACTCTGTGGGACCAGAGTCAACATTGTGCCATAGCCCAGCTTGAGCAATCGAGGCCTGTGCCCTCCATGCTCAGCTGCTCCCTTTGTCTCTGCTAACCACCTCCAGCCGGTCCTGGGCCCTCCCCACACGCGCTCTCCCCCAGCCCCGGCGGCCACCCAGGAGGCAGGGGCTCCACCCCCCACAGCACCCTGGGGCCCCCGTCACTGGATTGCAACCCAAAGGTGAATCACCTCTTGGAAAGTTGGGAGGTGCAGAAGAAATTGCTGTTTTATTTCAGGCTCTACAGGCAAAATTGGAAAGCCTTCCTGTTTTGTGGTTATTACCGGGGATTACAAGTGAGTTGCCTGCTGGCTGCGGGCAGGACGAGGGGGCAGGAGTGGCTCCGACGGGACGGACAGGGACGGACAGCAGCGACCCCTCCTGGCCAGCAGGGGGGCTGCCCAGGGCCCAGGGCAGGAACCCCGCCTTCCTGCTGGGCAGCCCCCAAGGCTGCTGGAGCCTGGGCTCCCTGAGGATTTGAGGGGTGTTTTTCCTTCTCTTTTTGTGAGCCCCACCAGATTGTTACTCTCACAGTTAGGTCTTGGGGCTTCAGTGAGACTACTTGGAAAACAGTTCTCACAAAACTTCAGGATCATATTAAACCTTAGCTGGAGGCGGGATGTTCCTGGAGGGCCCTGCGCTCTGTGTGTGAGCCTGAGAACACCAGGGATGTCAAGCTTCCCCTGGAGCTTGCGGGCCCTGCCGCCTGCCTTCCCTGTTCCCCCAGTTTCCTGGCTCATCACTCCCTTCCCTTGACTGTGCGCCACCACCCCGGCCAGTCCCCAACGGCAGCCCATTCACTTGGCTGAAATGGCCACAAGGAGGGCCCAAGGTGTCCCCTGGTCGTCCCAGGGCAGCCTGGGGACCAGCACCGTGGTGCAGCGGGCGGTGTGTGCTTGGGGCGCTTTTCCTCATCAAGTCGGGAATACAGGCGGAGGGGCTTGTCCAGGTGGCGTGGGGTGGGGGTGGGGGCGGCCCTCCCATCCCTGCTGCACTGCGTGGCCCCTGGGGAGGTCAGGACCCTCGGCCACAGTCGGGGTGTGGCAGGGGATCCCCCAACTAGGGATGTGGGGGCCATGGGGCAGGAGGAAGGGAAGGTGCCACGCCTCCTGAAAGGGAACTTATTGTGGACACAAGCCTGTGACCTCCCAAGGACACACGTTAAGGTCGTCCCAGGAACCAGGTTCGTTTTTCTGTGTGCACATGCTCAGAAAGTAGGTGTTTGAGTGGCAAAGTCACTTCTGGAGTGGTGTGTCAGGGACAGGGAGAGAGGAGGCTTGGTCTGAATCAAGAAAGGTTCTCTGTCTTTGGGGAAGGGCACCCATGGCTGCGGACCGCCCCGGCCCCTCCCCAGACCCTCCCGGCGGGCCTCTCCTTGTGGCATCAGGCCGGAGGCCGCGGCTGCTGAACCCACACCTCCGAGCTGCTTGTGGGAAAGGGTATGCCCGCCTGACCTCCGGGCTGCGGGGGCTGCGGGTTGGGCTCCTGGGGGGCCTCCCCGCCCCGGGCCCCTGATGGCTGCCAGGTACTGAGCCAGAGGCGGCTCCAGAGAATCAGACAAGCACAACTACGTGACTTCACTGTTTTAATCTGGGCCGCGCGCCCCCTCTTCCACACCGCCCCACCCTCTGGCCCGTCCACGTTGACGTGCTCTAAAGTGCCTGGCTTACTTAGGGGAACAAAAAGTAACCGTCAGTTCCTGTGAGAATAGGTAGCAGTGGCAAGTCTGAGTTTCTAACGTCATCTTGAAATTGTGGTTCGGACGTGGCCCGGGGACCCGGGGTGCCAGCTGCACTAGACCTGTAAGAGCAGGGCCACGGCCGCCAGGATCCATTTGGCTGCCTTCTCTTTGGTCTTGAGGTTAAAGGTCCAGACGTAGGTGGGGCCGCGGATGCGTGTTTTGTACACGGGACACTCATAGATGTTCTTGGTCTCCATGCGGTCCACAGGGATGGCTTTGATGAAGATGACGGGCATGGCTGGCGTCAGCTCCTTCAGCCTGGCTTCGGCGATGACTCCGGTCTGGGTGTCCCAGCGAGCTCCTGCAGGACGGCACGGCGAGGTCAGCGTGGCCATGGGGCCCTGCCAGCGGCGAGCCAGGGCCAGCTGGGGGGGGGGACGCCAGGGGCTGGACCTGCGCAGGAGCGGCTTGTGGGGGGGGGGCTGTGGGCAGAGGACCCGGAGAGGGTGCTGGGGCCCCACTGTGTGCCTCTGAGGGACAGCTCTGCCTCAAGCTCTCGGGGACACCGTGTACATGTGTGGTGTCTTCAGAACCTGTCCGTTAGCCTCCTCAGCCTCAGGGGCAGGAAGCGGTGGTTGCGGCTGAAAGTCACAGGAGGTGTGCATCGTCCAGCCTGTGTGCACGCGCAGCGCCCGCGAGCATATATGCACGTGCACACGGATCTTTGATTTGCCTTTAACCAGACTGCTATCGTTTTTACTCACCCTGTTAATGGTGTTTGTGTTTCCTGTCTGTCATTCCAAAATAAACACGGGGAGCGGCCTCTGCTGTGCTTGTCTCTGACGTGGGGACTGGGGAGCCCTGAGCGCTTGCTGGCTAAGCCCTGACACCCCCACAGGTAAGGGGTTGGCGTCAGTCCCTGAGTGGGACGGTTTGTGGTGGAAAAGCTGTCGCTCAGCTCAGCGGGTCTGAGGGAACAGGCCTCTGCAGGATGGGGGTGAGGGGCGGGAGTCCCCCTCCCCGCTACTGCTTGGCCGGGCCACGGTGGGGGTGTGGGGGGCAGGAGCGCTGGCGCCCCTAGACATCCGTCTGCCCCAGGCTTCCTGCTCCTGGAGCCCTCATCGCCCCGAGACAGGTGCTCACACCTGAGGACACACCTGCTGTTTCTGGCCAAGCAGAGCAACCTGGTTGCCCGGTGTGGCGTGTTCTGTCCCCAGACTGGGCACATTCTCTGAGTCGCGCCACCGCCTCCACCAGCGTCAAGCCTTGAGCTGACGCGCCCCTTCTGTGTGCTTCTCCCACCCGCCCCCTCAGCTTGTCCCTGTCCCCAGCCCAGCAGGTCAGGCTCTGGAGGCTTTCTCAGACCGGCACCGTCGTTACCTTCCATGAAGAGCCCGTACACATAGGAGCCCTCTCGGGGCGGTGCCGTCATGTCCTCCCGGTTCTTTTTGGTCACTTCCACAGACAGACACATCTTGTCCAGTGGCCACTCGTTCTTCCTGGCCATGGACTGCATGATGGCCGTGAGGAAGGACTGGGGGTTGAAGAAGCCGGCCAGCCACACGGTGGTGGGCAGGGCGAAGTCCGTCGTCCAGGCCTCGAGCTCCTGGTGGAAACGCGCCTCAGCAGAGCCTGGTACCCACCCGCTCCATGAATGAGGGGATGGGGAGGGGAGGGCCTCGAGAGGGCCTCACACTAGGGCACAAGGACTCGGGGGCCCAGAGGAGGCTGTGACCAAGCCGCTCCCCTGACGGGCGCCCCGGCGCTTCGGGCTCCGTCTGAGAGGGCCTGTCCGTGATGGAAACTGCTCCCGCCTCCGCCGCCCTTTCCTCCCTCCTGCAGGAAGCGCCTGCATTGCCGGGCGTCTGTGTGGCGTGGGCCAGCCCTTCCGGCCCTGCTCTGACAAAGGCCAGGCTGGTGGGGGCCTCTAGGCTTCTGGCGGGGACACACGCTCCCTCTTCACCACCGTGGTCCTGCCGGCCCGGGGGTTGCGGGGGGGCATCTGCTGTGACGCCTGGGGAGACTGTCCTTACCCTGATGCGGAGCAGCAGGTCTGCATACCAGGCCGCCAGGCCCATCATGGAGGGGTAGGCCCGGGCCACCCACGGGTCGGGCACGGTGTCGTAGAACAGCGCCATGGACAGGTCTTCCATGTCGGTCGTGATGGTCAGCTCTCCCTAAGAGACACGGAGGGGGCGCTGGGGGCCCAGGCAGTGCCCTGCGCCTGCTTTCTCCCACCCCGTCCACGCCGTCGGAGGTCGAGTCGAGAGGAGGCTGACAGAGCCTGGGGGTGCGCCCTCCAACCAGGGAACCCAGAGGGGGAGACAGTCCCACGGCGCCCAGGACCCAGCTGAGGTGGGGGGTCAGCTTGCAGCGGCCCGCTCGCCCCCTCCACCGTGTCCCTGGGTCCCGAGTGACCTGTGTGCTGTCACCTTCAGCCCCAGGCTTAGCTCCTTCAGTGAGCGGCGCATCTCGTTGGTCAGGATGTTCATTCTCTCGCACTCCTGGAAGGCCACCACCACATAGGGGGTCTTCTCGGCCGCCTTGGCCATGATCTCAGCCATGTTGAACATCTCCGGGACCTTCTCCAGGATCTCCTCCAGCACGGCTTTCACCTGGACATCAGTCCCCAAGAGGCTGTGTCACTGCCCGCACCTGCCCACCACCCAGACGTCCACGGCGAGGGCTCCCGGAGCAGAGGGCAGTGGAGTCACCTGAGAATCAGGGTCAGGGAGGTGCGGCCACGTGTCTGGCAAGAGGAGGGGATCTTGCCCAACAGGCTGTGACTATCCTGGTCCTGTCGCCAAGGCTGTGGGACTGAGGCCATGGCAGCCGCCATCCGCCCAGCCTGGCACCCTCAGACATTCCCGGGTGCACGGGTTTCAGTCCTTAGACCAAGAAAGGGTCCCGAGGCCTCCCAGCACTGAGGGTCTTTTTCGGTGAGCCCAGTACCCAGCTGGCTGCGAACTTGTCCAGAATGTCCTGACCTGCCTCAAGGTGTTGAGACCGCATGAGACCGCACAGGAACCCAGACCGTGAGGACGGATTAAAAGCTCTGCACTAGAGTTTTTCTGCTTGGACGAGCCCTCTGTGGTCTTCAGGCTCATGGGGAGGGACTGTTCTGATGGTCTAGGCTGTGGGGCTGACCCCGGTGTCTGGGGGTCCTGGGCCCCACCCTATGCCTGCCCCGGGCTGGGGATTAAGGCTCCTGCCTTTTCCTCTCGAGATACGCCGGTGCCCGCTCCTGAGTCGGTCTCTTTGGGCTGCATTTCCAGGACAGTACGGAACAGCTTCTCTGACGTGACTGTCAGGAAGCCAATCTCTGCATTGGGGTGCAGGCCGTACAGATAGGGACTCTCGGGGGGCAGGTTCTCGTCGATGTACTCGTGGTAGCCCTGCAAAGGGGCGGCCGGTGAGCAGGCTGCCGGTGTGGAGCTGTGCACGCGGAACCCGTGTCTACTGTCCTGAACCATTTCTGACCGGAGCGTCCCGTCCACGTCTTGCCCTCTGTTCGACCCCCACTAGTTCTCTAAGCCCCTCGCTGGCTGCCCCCCGGCCATGCGAAGGTCCCCACGCCTCCTCCCCAGAGGCTGTTCCGACCGCCTCTCATTTTGCTGGCCTCTTGCTCGGTTACCCATCCTCTGTGACGCCAGGCTGGCCCTGGAGCTGCAGGATGAGCTCCTGTCCCCGAGAGCCCCCCTCACCTTGTAATCCAGGTTGGGGGGGATCTGAAAGCCCGGGGCCAGCAGGATCTCGCCCTCCAGCATCTCTGCCCGGACATACTCTCCCAAGTACGTCCTGCAGAGCCGGCGGTCCCAGTCATCCGTGATGTGGCCGCCGTACATGATTTCTCCAAACAGGTAGCGGAGGTCGTCCCAGGGTACCTAAGGACGGACGGAAGTGGTTACAAGTGCCCCCACCCCTTTGGGGTCTAAGAACCCACGGTCAGCTGTCACCCCAGCTGCCGCCTGGCCCACTGTCCAAGGCTCGCCTTCCTCCCCTGTCCGCCAGCGTCCTACTCGGCAGCTGGAGCCTCCTTGGCGCTCTCCTGCCTCTGGCGCCTCTGGCTCCTCTGGCGAGGGCTGCCCCCTGCTCCCCTTCACCTGCAGCCTGGCCTCTGCTAGGACAGGGAGCGTGACCTCCAGGCCCACCCTGCAGCCCCCGTTAGCTCCCTTGCGTGGGCCTCCTGTCATCCCTGCTCGGAAGCGAGCAGTCACCCGTGACTCTGTGCCAGCCGCCTGGCCAAAGCCCTTTCACTCCACGGAGACTGGGTGTTGACGGTCGGCCACCATTTCTGTTGGCCGCGGAGTCCCGCCGGTCACACCTTCACGATGTCTCCATCCGGTGGGCCGATCTTCTGGTCCCGCTGAGCTTGCCTGGCTCCGCGTCTCCTTGCTTGTCGCCCGATTCCCAGCAGCCCCGTGCAGCTGCGTGCCTGCAGGGCCGTGTGGCATGGGCAGCATCGTGGGCGCCCGGAGCGCGGCCGCCTGACCCCGCGCCCAGCTGGGCCCTCGGCTCTCCACCACCGCCGTCTGAGGCCCGCTCATGGGCCGGGTGGGCCGCCCCGCGGGAGCCACACACGCAGTCACCCGTGGAATTTCAAATTTGGGAGCAGCCACGTAAGGGTGTTTCAACAGATGGTCGGCGTACAACGCATTAGTAAGGTATTTCTCTCTTCGTCTGCACCGAGCTCTCGCAGTCGGGCACGCAGCTTACGCAGTTTGGACGCTGTGCGTGCGTGGCTGGTCCTGCTCCTGCCCTGGGCGGTGCAGGCGGGTGGCCTCCTGATGCTATTTATTGAGGAATGAACTTGGGCATTTTAGCAGCTGCTTCATTTGGTCTCTTGAATTTTGCTCAAAATGTTAATATTCCCTAAATTGTCATTTTGTGACTTAAATTCTGTCCTCTGCCTGGTTGTCCTGGGTATGTGCTGAGCTGCTTTTTCTGCATTTTACCTGTTTGCTTCGGGGACGGCTCACTTCCTCGGAGAGGCGGGCTGGGCACAGGCCCCTCTGGCCCCTGGGGCCGCCCTTCCCTGCCTTCCCTACGGGGCGGGGGCCGTGGTGCTGACAGGCAGGTGCTGACGGAGTCCCGGAGCGCTCGTCAGGGACCGGGCAGCGCCCGCCCCCCCCCCCCCCCCCGAGAGTTGCCTGAGTCAGGTCTGTGCTTGGGTGTGGGGAGCTCTGGGCGACCCCTCAGTTGGAGGGACAGAACCGTGGGATGTGGACCATGTCCTCACAGGCAGTCACTTATGTGGTCGAGGCCGTGAACTCAGACGGAGGCAGGGTCCCTGCTTGCAGGACCCATGTGTGTCGTTTACTCCTGTCCTGCCGGTCGCTGAAGCTCACGTTCTCGAGCAGTTTCCCACCGACCTGGGCTTGTGTATGTGGACAATGGGTGAGCGTCTGAATAAATATCTTCAAAAAGCTCTAGCACGACTGTCCCACACAAATCTCCCCAGAAAAGTTTCTAACCACACTCCTTCACGGCTGCTCCCTGGCATCTGTTCCTCGGGGATGGGGGGAGTGGACCCCCCCACCTGCCCTCCGTCCTCCCACCTGCAGGTGGACACCAGCGCCCCTTCCCCGGGATAGCTGCCCGCTGGTCCTTCTGCCCTCCTGCCTCCTCTGGGGGGAACTGAGCCTGTGAACCATGTGCCGGGCTCAGAGTTGGGTGACGGCAGCATGCTAGGGGCCCAGGGAGCGGTGGGGTTGGTCCTCAGGGGTCGGCAGGCCTTCTCGGCCGCCTGCAGGGAGGGCCAGGGAGGGGTGGGTGGGCAGGGCTGTGCTCGCCGGCCCAGGTCTCTCTCGCCTCCTCCCAGCTCTTGAACTTTTTAGGGCAGCGCAGGAAACAGGTGGGTGTCCTGAGACCAGCAGCCCTGGGCCTGGCAGGGCACTTTCCTCACCTGGACCCCAAAACTTGAGGCCAGGTGTCCGGGAGGTCTCAGCTAGTGAGAGGCAGAGCTGGGCTTCAAGCCCAGGGCCCTGGCCCCCAGCACTGTTAGCGACCGTGGTGCTGCCTGCTCTCGCTGACTGGCCCTCCCGCCACCCGCCCCATCGGGTGTCACAGGCGCCGTGCCGCCGTCCTGTCACTGCGGATTCAGGGCCCAGTGAGGAGGAGCAGAGGCTCATGGGCCGCCCGGGGGGTCACAGTGGTGGGGCTGTGTCTGCCCCAGGCTCTCTGGGAGTCAGATTCCGAGAGGGACCGGGCAACAGTCGTTAAGTTAGCCTGCTGGAGGTCTTGGGGCCTCTTGCTTTTGGGTTTTCCTGGGCCTAGGACTCCTGTGTGCTTCCTAAGCACAAGGCGTTGTCGGGGGCGGACGCGTGGGCGGAGGACCCTGCCGGGCACAGGCACCCTACCTTGGTGTTGGCCTCCAGGTAGTTGTAGAGCACGTTGATGGAGATGGTGAGGTCCCCATTGTTGAACGGGTACGACCTGTTCCAGCCCTGAGCCCCAAACTTGCGCCTCTCGGCCACCACGGCATGGAAGTAGCACAGGGCGAAGAGGATGCACTTGAACTCAGTCTCCTTGCTGCACATCTCCAGGGTGTCCTGCGGGAGGGCACAGGCTGGGACCCGCGTCCCGCCCCTGCCAGCTGCCTTGCTGGGGGTGGGAGGGGCGAGGGGGCGGCCCCGGGGCAGGGGAGAGAATGCTCTCTGGTCCTGACTTATTTCAGAAAACGCAGTTCTATTGTTAAAATATTCCCAAGCACAGGACATCCCGGGATTTCTTAAACGAGAAGTGCTGTCCCTCGGCAGTGGTCAGCGCTCCTCACAGCGAGCACCGGACAGTAGCCCAGACTCTCTAGGAGCCGTGGCGAGCTGTGCGTTCTTGGCCAACGTGCTCCGTAACCAGATCTTTGTAGGTGTCCTCAGACGGGGTGGGTGTCTTCATTTAAGAGGTTGTAGACTCCACTTGGGACGTACCTGTGTGCACCAGAAGGTTCTGGTGCAGAACAGATCAGATGCCGAGAGAACGAAGGTAGATGCTAGGAGCTTGCAGGAGGGGCAGGGCCGCCCAGGGGACAGCGCGCAAGGTGGTGGTGTGACGGGGAGCGAGGCGTGGGCCTCGGGAGCTGCCCCCCTGAAGGAGGTGGGGGCCCACAGGGCACTGCCAGAGAGGAGCACCCCTGGGAGGAGGCACCACAGCCCCGTCCACAGCACTCCCCAGAGCCGGGCCCCTTCCTGCGGGGCTCCCACTAACCCAGGACCCGCACTGCATTTACCTGTGCGAACTCGCAGGTCCTGAGATGGATTAAAAATACGCACTTGTGTTTTTAAAGCTCTAACTCGAGCACATTTCACACTGCGTGCCTCAGTCTTCCAGGGACACGCGGACTCTGGCACGAGGGGTGTGCGTGCGTGCACTGCGGGCGGCACGGAGCGGCGAGGACCAGCGTGGAGCCGTCCTCAGGGTTCAGAGCCTGCCCCCGGCAGTGCGGGCCCCGAGGGTCTCTTTGTGACCCGAGGGCGCTCGGCCCGGGGGCCTCCCCAGGGACACGGGCCCAGAGGGGGAGGCCGCCTCACCTGGGTGAAGAGGTCCAGAGCCTTGTGCAGGTTCGCGTGCATGCCCGTGGGCGGCTCGTTGGTGATTTTGATGGCGTTTTCCAGGATGCCCTGGGGGATGATGTGGGACTCGGGGCTGGGGGCGGGCTCGGCGCTGATGAACACGCGGTAGTCCTCGTGGCTGCCCAGGCTGTAGCGCTCCACCTTCTTGTCCAGGGTGCCCAGCCACCGCGCCACCAGGTGGATGTTCTGTGGCCAAGGCTGGGGCTTAGTGCCCGCACGTCCCTCCCCTCCCCGGCAGGGCTCCGGGCAGTGCCCGCTGTCCGCCCCTCCCTGGGAGCGCTGCCGCCGAGCCACTGCAGCCTGGGAGTCAGTTCTGCTCAGTGAATCCCAGACCTCCAGCCTGCAGGCCTGTCCCCCGCACCTGCAGAATGACCCAGTGTCCCATCTCCGCAGCCATGTCCAGAGCGTCCTCGGCCACCACCTCCTGCCCCTGCCCCAGGGACACGTTGTGCAGTTTCCCGTTGTCTATGGTAAATCCCAGCTTTTTTCCTGAAGGAAAGGACAGAAGAGTGTGGGGCTGCTGACAGAGGCCGCGGCTCGGCCCTCCACCCGGGGGATCCCCCCTGCTGCTTTGTTTGGTATTGTCGTAAAAAACACGTAACATCAAATCTGCCAATTTAAAACCCATCTTAAAGTGTTCAGTTCAATGACATTTAACACGTGGACCATATTGGTTCCAGCACTTTCCCGTCACCCCAGCAGGATGCCCCGCCCCAGCGTCTCCCTGTGGCCCCTGGCCACCTGCTCTGTGTCTAAGGATTCACCTCTGGGTGTTCTAGATACACGGACCTGTGTACCGTGGGGCCTTCGTGTTTGGCTGGGATCCCTCTCAGCACAGTGTTTTCTGGTCTGCCCATGTGGCCGTGCGTGTGGGCACCTCATTCTGATGTCCGGGCACCGTCCCATCGCGTGGCTCTACCACGGTGGGATTAGCCACTCACCAGTTGATGGACATTGGCTTTTATCTGCCTTTCGGCTATTGTCAATGGACAGCCCTGTGAAGGACGCTCTTGAACACCTGTTTACGGGGCGCCTGGGGGGCTCAGAGGTTGAGCGTCTGCCTTCGGCTTAGGGCATGATCCTGCAATCCTGGGATCGAGTCCCGCATCAGGCTCCCCGCAGAGAGCCTGCTTCTCCCTCTGCCTGTCTCTCTCTCTGCCTCGCTCTCTGTGTCTCTCATGAATAAATGAATAAAATCTTAAAAAAAAAAAAAAAGTAACCCCTGTTTGCATTCTTGGAACGCTACCAGCTGTGGGATTGCTGGGTCACAAGGTGACGGCCTGCCTTCCACGCATGGCGCCCTCTCCCGGGCCCGCGGGCAACGCCGAGGACTCTGGTTTCTGCTTACCCCTCCTGTGCTCACCAGTTTCCCGGTTTCTGCCAAGAGCTGTCCTAGCGGGTGTGTAGGGCACCCCACTGGGGCTCTGAGGTGCACTCCCCGGCTAGCGGTGCTGTGGCCGCTCCTTTCTGAGCCCTGCCTGGCCGGCGACACTTACCCAGGGCTTCCACGTCCTTCAGGGGGTCAACGCCCGGGGAAAGGATGAAGAAGATCGGAGTAGAGGGGCTGCTCTCCTCGTAGGACTTGGAGAACTCGACGCTCCGACCCTCCACGAACTTGCTGCCCATCTTCTCCTCCACGAAGTTCCTGAGGGAGATGCGCTTGATTAGACCCGAAGGCAAGGGGGACACGGTGGGCTGGGACCCCAGGGGGAAGGGCCCTTTCCTTGATGGGCTTTCTTTTCTTTTACTTATTATATTTTTTAATATTTTATTTTTATTTTTTAAAGATTTATTAATTTTATTTTATTTTTATTTTTTTAAAGATTTTTATTTATTCTTAAGAGACACAGAAGAGCAGAGGGAGGCAGGTTCCCACAGGGAGCCTGATGCGGGACTCAATCCCAGGGTGGGTGATCATGCCCTGAGCCAAAGGCAGACATTCAACCACTGAGCCACCCAAGCGTCCCAAGATTTATTAATTTTAGAGAGAGGGAGATAGCCCACATGCAAGCGGGGGGGGGGGGGGGGCGGGGGAAGCTCAGCAAGAGAGGGAGAGAGAATCCCAAGCAGACTCCCCACTGAGTGCAGAGCCTGACGCAGGCCTCTCATGACCCTGAGATCGTGACCTGAGCCGAAATCAAGAGTCGCTTAACCAACTATGCCACCCAGGCTCCCCTTAAAGATTTTATTTCTAAGTAATCTCTACACGCAATGTGGGGCTCAGACTCACGCCGCCTGAGATCAAGTTACATGCTCGTCTGGCCAAGCCAGCCGTGTGCCCCTCTTGGTGGATTTTCTCAAGCAAAGCAAGTCTCAGGCCCGAAGGCCGTCTTTTCGGGGGCTTTCCTCTTTGCCAGGGAAGGGTGTGCGGGGGGAGCAGGTGCTTCCTGCCTCGGTGGTCTGTGCAGCGAGTGCCCTATGTCCCTGCTGGGCCCTGCGAGGCCTCCATGTGAGCAGGGGAGAGGCTCCCGGGTCACGTGGGAGGGAACAAGCCTCAAGGGGACCCCAACCCAGGGCATTCCAGGTGAGCACGCCCCACGCCAGGGGACCCCTGGGTCCTTGCAGCACATAGTGTGCCCTAGGTACACGTTTGCTGTTATATCATTCACGGTGGCTTTGGATTTCCTGGATTTTAAGCTGCGGCCCCTAGGGCATTAGCAAGGGAAAGCAGCCTTTCCTGACACTACAGAAAATGTCCGGGAGTGCGGTTTGGGGTCGCCCAGGCCCCTGCAAGCTCACTGAGGCTCTCGCAGTCTGGGGTACTTCCACTGGGGCATCCGTGTGCCTTCACCCATGTGGACTGAGAGGACGCACCACAGCGTGCTGGGGGCCCTGGCCCAGACCCCTGACCGCACTCCGCTCCCCCCGGGGGTGACTTCCCTGCCGTGGTGGCCAGGCGTCCTTCCTTTGGCCTTTCCCAAACTTTGTCCAGACTTCCTCCGGCATGAGGCTCCTCCCTCCACCTCCTGCTGCCCTGCCCGTGACCCACCACCAAACAGCAAAACAGACTCGTCTGCGAACAACTGGGGCATGGAAGTCAGGCCTCTGCGTCGTCAGAGGGGAGTTCCGTTAGGGATGCAGGCGTCTGGCGGGGCCGCTAGGACCAAGAAAAGGCTAAGATGCCACAGCGTGTCGGAGAACGGGCACTGGGCTTGGTTCCTTGTCTGCCTCGTCTGCCTTCCCGTGGTGTCCCTGTCCTCCCGAGGCGGCCCCGGGTCGGGAGAAGGGAAACCACGTCCAGTCCAGGAGAGGGTGGCGGGGACGCCTCAGACGTCACCCGCGGGGACCTGCAGTGTTGGGTGGTGTCGCTGTTCCCGGAATCCTTGGTGAAACGACAGCCCCGAAAGGTCGCAGTGATTAATTTTCCAATCGTGCAGGGGACTTCAGGGGCAGAGAAATTATTCCAGAAATCAGAACAATTCTCTTTGCAAATGAGCTGAATTTGGCCAAAAAGTTTACTTTAAATGTAGCCCCTGAGGGCATGAATGTCCTCGGACGCACGTGGCTTTGCCACAGTTTTCTCCCCGCTGCATCCTGAGGGACCCCGGGTGCCCACACTTTGCAAAGTATCTTGGCTCGGGGGAGTCCTGTTTACTGTCACTGCCCATCAGGCCAGTGGGAGGACGGGGCGGCGAGTGTCCGTGGGTGGGGTCCCCCCTCCGCCCCCAAGGCCCCCACACTCACTTGACGGCGTAGGTCATGCGGTCTGGGCGCATGCACCTCACCATGCACAGCTTCTGCAGGGCCGTCTTGTTCTTCCACTCCTTGGGGAAGATTTCCTTCTCCGGGGCTTCCGATTCCACCAGCTTCTTCCACCGCTTGGCAGACCCTTCGATGTCGCTGTCCAGGTTCTTGAACTCGTCCATCTCCGACAGAGCCTGGGGGCAGGCGGCCTTTCAGCTCCCCCCACGCCCCCTGCCCGGTGCTGGGAGAGGGTGGGCCGCCGGGCCTGGCCCTAAAATGAACTGCCGGCGCCACTGAGGGCCAGGACCGCGGGTGGAGGCTTTAGTGCAGGCAGGTGACCCCGCTGTCCTCCAGGGGGCTGGGGGACGGGGCCGCTCCCATTGCAGGGGCTTTCTGCCCCCACACGGAGGGCCCGAGGGTGCGCCCATATGGGAGGAACTACCTCAACACTTGCACTGCCCGGGGTCAGGAGGTGGGGGCGGTGGTGGCCCAGGGACCCCTGGACCCGCCCTGGGGCCTGTCGTGGCTCAGCCTCTGGGGCCGCGTGTGGGTCGGAATGGCCAGTGACCCTTGTGTTTGAACAGGAAAGTAGTTTCCCACTAGTGCAGGAGCCCTCTGGGGCCTCCCCAGTTCGCAGGGTGTGCGGCGGCGGTGGTAGCGCCTTGTGAACCTCCCCGGGGTGAGCACCGGGCCCCCCGCAGCAGGGGGAGCGTGCACAGCGTCGGGTCCCAACACCAACCTTGATGCCGCCCCATCCCTGGTGCTGCAGGAAGTCCACCGGCGACAGGACCCCCGCCTTGAAAGGGAACCGCAGGAGGAAGTCCAGCTCGACCGGGTTCAGCTCTTTCTTCATGGACAAGACCTGAGGGACCGTGGGGGCCGCTCAGCATCGTCCCACAACAGTGGGGAGGAGGGGCGGCCGACGGCCCCTGGCAGGAGCGAGGGGTGAGGCTGAGGCGCTCTCCCCCCTGACCCTGCGGGGGAAGCACTGTCCTGCCCCCTGGGTCCGGGCGAAACTTTGTATTCACCTTGGTTTGTCGCCGTGTTTTTAAATTGTGGTAAAATACGCAAGACCACTTAGGCTGTTAGCCCTATTAAAGTATGAAATTGTGGTAACTTCATGTGCACAGCCCTCACCGCTGTCTAGAACCAGAGCGTGTCCATCCCCCCAGAGGGAAGCCCCTGAGCAGCGCCCCCCGCCCCGCCCCCCGCCGCGGGCGCCCCGGGTCTGGCTCCGTCTGTCGATCTGCCTGTTGTGCCCGTTCCGTGTCCAGGGAATCCTACAGATGTGGCCTTGCCCGTCTGGCTCCTTCCACCCCGTGTCTCTGAGGTTCATCCACGCCCTGGCAGCTGTCAGAGCGGCAACGCTCCGTTGCGTGGAGAGACCACGTCTTGTTTATCCGCTTGTCCTCCAGTGGACGTTTGGGCCGTGTCCGCCTTGTGGCAGGTGTGAGCAGAGCTGCTGTGAACGTTCGCACACTAGTCTTTGGGGCACCTACATTTCCGGGGGGGTTTTCTGGGTCACGTTCTGTGTCGCCTCGTCACCCGTGTGCACCAGCTCTCTGGGCGTCCAGCAGGCCGGGTCTCGGCCCCTGGGAAGTGGCACGGCCGCTGCGTCCCAGGTGGACAGCAGGGGAGCCCGGGCGTCGTGCAAAGGCACCCACGCGGCAGAGCAAAGGCTTTCACCTGAGTCAGACCCCCGTTCCTTCTCTCTCTCTCTCTTTTTTTTTTTTGGTCAAAAGAAAAACATCTTTGAAAATCTAGGGGGGAACACCAAGGAGATGCCCTCTCAGCGGGGAGAGAACTCACAGAGGGGCTGCCATTCAGGGATTCACGGATAAAGGAAAACCCTGACCTGGATCCTGACTCGCAGTTTGAGTCTGGATGCAAACAGCCTCCCAGAAGTTGGTGTTTCCCCCCGTGCTTACAGGACAGAGTGAACCACACGGAGGGGCTGTTTCATCTACTTCATGGAACACAAATCTGAACTATTCCAGCTGGTCTGTATGAGCGAGAGGAATGTTTATTCCTTTGTACCTGTATCTCCTTAAGAATTAGCACTGGGCGTCCATGGTGGTTAACCACCGGCTGCCCACCAGGCAGGACGGGCACATAACAGGGTGATGTGTCTGTAAAATTCTCCGTAATGGGTCCCCCCCCTTCAGGGGCTCCCACTTAACACTGGCCTGATGGCAACTAAAGATTAGGGTGTGAGCACATCCCACAGCAGCGGTGGCGGCAGGAAGGGCATCACCTGGGAACCTGCCTCGTGGACGAGCCCTCCTACGCCGGGGCCGCGAGCTTAGAGCAGGGAGGCCAGACCCACCTGGAAGGCCACCTGGGCCAGGAAGATGAGCTTGTCCCGTTCGAAGAGCCCACGGGCCGTGTACATGTAGACGGAGTAGGTGATCTCGTCCGTCAGGTTCATCACCCGCTGCTTGACCTCCTTGGCGGGGGTGGTCTTCTGGATGGCCTTCTCGAACACCACGTTGAAGGCCTGGGGAGCGGCGTATGGAGGCTTGGGGGGCTGGACTGTGAGGCCGCCCAGGCTGCCCGCCAGGGTTCTAGTTTGTTTCTGTGGTCGGTGGGGGTCTGGGGCACCAGGGGAGGGGCCCCTCGCCGGGGTGCTGGCCCCAGGGCGGATCCCGTGCAGCCTGGACCCCACCTGTCCTCCCGATGGCCGGGGCTCTGTGGACACCAGGGGCCCGGGACCCGGAGCCGCACCTTGAGCGAGAACTGATAGATGGGGTTGATTTTGTTGAGGTCGTTCAGTATGAAGTACAGCAGGGAGGCCCTCTCGGCGGCTGGCCGGTAGTTCTCTCTGGCCTCGTTGATTTTAACCTCCGTGATTTTTGCCTCTTTCACCTTCAAACAAATGGGGCTTGAGTGGGACCAGCAGGTGGACGGCGCCGGTGGGCAGTGGGTTCGTCCCCTGTCTGTGGGATCGTCGGCTGGCAGGCGGTGTGCCACGCGGTGCCTGAGCCCCCCCGTTCCTGGTCTGGGCCCCAGGGGCTGGGGGGGTGCAGGCCCGGGAGGCGGGCTCTCACCTTCTCCTCGATCTCGCTGGCCGTGTGCTTGGTGGTCTCCAGATTCTCTACTAAGGCCGTGTCCCCCAGGAAGTTCCCCGATGCGGCCGACAGATGGGCCAGCAGGGAGTCTTCTAGCTCTTTCAGAACAATCTTGAATTCATTTTGGGACTTGGTGAGGTTTGCCTGCGGGCGGCACAGACAGCCGGGAGGGGGGTCAGGCGTCGGCCGCTCTGTGCCCCTGCCACAGCCCAGACCCAGCGGGGACGGGAGGAGCAGGGCCAGCCTCATACGAGTTGGCAGCCGTGTGGCCGGGGCGGGGGGACCGCCCTGAGCCCGTGTGTGCTGGTGGCCACGCATGGGGACCCGCCGCAAAGACCATGCCCGCGGGGCCGTCTGGGCACCACCGACTCCTCTTCCGTCAGGGAAGCGGCTGCTTGATTTGGAATTAGGTTTGGGAGGAAGTAGGTTTGGGGAAGAAGAGTGGCTCATTCCACTGCACACAACGTGATCGTGTGACAGGCTGGGGCACGGTCAGAGAGATGCGTCAGGGAAGTTCACAGCCACCCGAGTGGCCCGCCCTGGGCCACGTGGGGCTGACGTCAGGCCCCCGTACCTTCAGCTGCTCTAGATCCGGGCGCTCTTTGGCCACCACGGCCGCTAGGAGTTGGTCCTCGAGCCCATCCCTGGTGACCAGGAAGTTGATCAAGGTGCACTGGGCTTGCATCTCGGGCTTGTAGTGTGGGTTGAAGTACTTGGTGTGCAGGATGAGGCGGAACTTGGGGTGGTACTCCATCTCCTTGTCACCGATCTTAATGAACCTGGTCGGTAGGGGACGGAGGGAGGGGTTCGAGGGGCTCCGGCGGCAGCAGCACCAGCGCAGACCACCTCCCACCACCCCCGGGCCTCTCGCCGCCCTGAACCCTCCTCTGGTCCCCAGGAAGGGACGGTGTCTCTTCTCTTTCTGCTCTTCCTCTCTGGCCTGTGGCCGGGACCTTCTAGAAGGGGCACCTGTGCTCTCTCTGGCTGCTCAGTTCTGATCTTTATAGTCGCACGTGCCCAGCTCCAAGTGCACATCATACTCCCCTGGGAGCCGGGACAGAAACACCACCTGGGCCCCGCCGCAGAGCCACGGACGTCACAGACACTGACATCCTAGGTCACAACAGCTCTACGTTCTGGAAGCTCCCGGGAGAATCTGAAGGCAGCCAGGCCCAGACCCCGGTCCACTGGCACTGCGGTCCATCTCTCCTCTCTGCTCCCACTCTGCTCCCCCTCTTCCTGGCCAAGCTCACTTCTTGGGGCCTCTGTAACTTCACCCCTCGGACATCACCGCCCACGCCAAGCTCTTCTCCGAGGCGGAGATGTCAGAGTGTTCATTTTCGCCTGTTCTGGGCTCCTGCACACGCCCCTACTTTCACAGGGGGTCACAGCAGCTCTGATGCTTACGTTTTGAAAGTTGATTTGCTTCTCTTTTTATATTAGAAAAGCAATACGTGTTCAATGCATCAACCACTGAACGGATAAACAGGATGAGGCACATCTGTCCAGGGGACTGTGACTCAGAACCACGAGGTCCCGACACACAGGGGCACGGAGTGGCCTTGAACACACGGCCTGGGGAAAGCGGCCAGACGCAAGGGGGCACAGCTCGTGCGATTCCCTTGTACGGATGCAGAACAGGGAGATCCGTGGAGGCAGAGGGCACGCTGGCGAGTGCCAGGGGCTGGCAGCTGGGGGGCACGGCAGGGGCTGGCTGCCGTGGGCGGATCCTCGCACATCACAGTGAACGCACCAAGTACCACCGCATTGTTGGCCTTAAAACAGCTAATTTTATGCGATGTAGATTTCACTTGAATAAGAAAAAATAGTGCTACGGGCTCAAGATCTGGAAAATGCATAAAAATAGAAGGAGAGCTTGGCCATGAGGGCTGGCCGTCCGCAGGGGTCACTCGCACGGTGGCGGCTTTCCTGACCGGAGCGTGGCCCCACTATTTCCCATCTCTCCCCGGGCACTGGCGTTCCACCGAAGACCCTGCCGCCCACCAGGACAGCGGGAAGCTCCCCGCACCTCCCCCTTGCGCGGAGGCCACACCTGCCCCTGAGCGAGTTCACACGGGCCAAGCGGTGAAGGTGGAACGTGGCACTCACTTTCCCTTTTTAATGGTGTTCCTGCCCAGCAGCGGGTCCAGCACAGGGTCCACGGTTTCGCCGATGTTCTCGATGAGCAAGGTGTCCCCTTCAGAAATGGCCTGCTCGATGATGTCCAGGTAGCTGTGCGCATGATGTGGGGCCATGTAAGGACGCGGGCCCAGAGATGGCACCGCTGGGCGCCCAAGGAGGTGGCCCTCAGAGCCAGAAGGCACCAGAAGACAGGTGCCCAAGGGGCATCCGTGCACATCTCCCCTGGGGGCCTTCGGGAGGGCAGCCCCCTTACAGCTGTCGAGCCAGACATTTTCACACCCGTGTCTGGTCCCCAGGCCCCGGTGTACCAGGAAGGCAAAATGGGGTGGCCCTAGTGACCACTGTGATGAGGAAATGTGTCCCACTAGAGACGAGAAATGAGAAAATGACCAGCCTGAAGCCTCATGGTTGGCAGGGGCCATGTGGGACTCAAGCCTGGGTGATGTTCCGTCCCTGGAGCAGCAGGTACTGGGGGGGGGGGTTTGCGGAGAAGAGCCCTGGGGTTAATTCTTTACTGTTGGTGCTATTCCCCAAGACCAAATATCGCAAGACAAATCCACCTGTGGGCCAGGATCTGTACGTAAAGACGCACCTGCCCATCTGACCAGTGCGGACACCTCGGGTGTGTTTCTAAGCACAAGGGCCGGCCGGCCAGCAGCTAGCTTTGGAGCCCCCACCTCGCCCCGCCTGCCACCACGGCCCCCACCTCTTCTGCCCCAGGCGGATGGCTTTCAGTTCGCTGCCGTATTTGTTTTTGATCCACTTGATTCCTTGCAGCTGGGCGTCCACGATGAGGGGCCAGCGCTCCGTGTTGCACAGGATGGTGGCATTCTCGGTGGACATGCGGTCGCTGGGGAGGCCCTGGTTGTTCCAAGTGGCCACGTCGGCGTCATCCGTCATCAGGCTCAAGGGGTCCAGACCTTCTGTGATCGGGATGGGAACCTGCCAAGAGGAAGTGCTCGCTCTTAGAAGGGGTGAGGTGGCCTTGCTTACTGCCCCACGGGGAACAGCTCTCCAAGTGACGGGGCTCTGGTTGGACCACGGATGAGCCGCGTGGTCTGGAAGACCCGCACTTACAGCGAGCGCCCTGATGGAGCGTCTCGGAACCCACCAGGAGGGGCGTCAGCATTGGCCACACTGGGCCACAGCGCAAACCCGCCGCGGCCAGAGCATCAGTGAGGGTGACGTGTGGCTGGTCTGCCCCGCCGGGGACCTCCCTAGAGTTCCCGAGTGACGAATGCAACCGAACCTCTTACCTTTAACTTCTTTATATAAGGGATCCAGAATTTGTCCATCAGCTCATTTCGGTATTTCTTGGTGAAGTAGCCCACGTAGGAGACGAAGGCGGAAATCAGCAGGACGTCCCCGCACAGGGTGACCCCCTGGCTCTTGAAGTTCTTCACCGATTCAGCCCAGCGCACGTTTTCCGATGCCAGTCCCCCTACCAGCCTAATGTGACCACGTGGTCAGTGGGGGGAGGAGGAATGTTGGAGGGTCACTCACGCCCGAAGACAGGAAGCAGCTCCCACCTCCCAGTGTGATGAGCCTGGCATTTCAAACCCTTCCTTTGCTCAGTGCTTCAACACTGGACATGCTCGGGGGAAATTTTTGGGAATAACTGCTTTAGGGAAGCAAAACTAACACTTTCTGGGGGCAACTGGGGGCCAAGTGCCCCCTCCCCAGCCTTCTGCACTGACATCAATTCTGAGCTGACATGATTTGGACATTTCGCCCACATGCTACAGCTGCTGCCGGGACACCACTGAGCACAGGCTAACTGGCAAGTCTTGGCAGAGGCGGAGTCTGGATGGTGGCCACAGTGGCCACAGGACAATGTGGCATCCAGAGGGCACCTGGCCCCATGCGGAATGGGGACGGCAGGGTTGGCGTCCTGCTCCTCTGGCCACCTGCCTGAGAGCTGGCCCCTGACCCGAGATGCGACATCCCAGTCTGAGAGCATTGAGATATTTGTTGAAAGCACGGGTTGCCTGATTACGACCCCTGAGGTCTGTCCTTAGCATCACCCCCAGGAGCCCTTGCTTCCCAAAGACCAAAAGACCTCTTTGCTTTTCTTGGTGGGTATGTCAAGTCCCTCAAACCTACAATGGCATCTGCACTCTGCTGGAGGCCGTTGTCAGGTGGCCTGGGGATCTCCGAGGGTCCCTGGGTCTCACTGACTACCACCTGCCAACAGTTGCCAGCCCTCCGGGCAGGGGACTCTGTGCCAGGCTCCCAGGGCTCACTTTCAAAAGCAGGAAAAGAAAGCCCTGAAGCCTCGCTGCCCCTGGTGAGCACCCGAGGCGTCGGCTAGTCCAAATTGAGATGTGCACGTGGGTTTTGAGGACCCGGAGTGAAAACATGTGCGGACTGTCTCAGCGATCGTCCTCACAACGACTGCATGTCGAAATGATCCCATTTGGGGTTCAGCAAAATACATCCTCAAAATTGGTCTCATCTTTGTACTGTGCTAAGGTGGCAATGGGAAAACGTAAGGGGTGGGCGTGGCTCGAGCTGCCTTCCCGTTGGGACAGCGCGGCTCTGGAGGCCACGTGTGTAATCAGGGCGTAAAGGGCCGCGCAGGTGGAGGCCCTGGAAGGCCGTACAGACACCACGGTGCGGTGAGAACAAGCCCCCGTGGACGCTGCCTCCCGGGCGGGTCTGGGTTAGGGTGGGTTCTGTGATCCCAAAGGTCACGAGGTGCACAGAGGTCCTCTACCCAGGAGGTGGAGACACTGGCCGATCGTCAGTCAGTGGGTCTATCCTGTTCTGTGGGCCTGTCCCTTCCACGGGCACTGGCAAGACAAGAGGGTGGCCCGCGGGGCGGAGCGAGCTACCTGTTAGCCAGCGAGATCACCCTGTTGGTGGCGTCGGCCTCTTGCTGGCACTTGATCTTCTCTGCAGTTGCCTTTTCAAAGGCCGACGTGAGGTTGCTCAGGTTGGCATTGAGTTCCTGGGGGAACAGAATGGCCAGGAAATGGGGCGGTGGTGGCGTCCCAGGTCCCGACAGAGCACGCACAGCATGGAGCGGGGCCTCCCGGGTGGGCGATCTGGTCCCTGCAGCTGCGCTGGTCATTCACAGCGGCCACACTGTGCTGACCCCGCCCCGCAGGGCTCTGACCCCGGGGGGAGCCCCTTGGGTGCGGGGAGCACTCACGGCAATCTTGTTTTTGATCCGCGAGAGCTTCTCTTGCGCCTCTGCTAGCTCCGCGTTGGCCTCCTCCAGGGCCTGCCTCTTGGGGGCCACGTCGCAGTACACCTCGTAGAAGCGGACGATGTTGATGCACCAGGAGCAGAGGCCCGCGGCGGCCGTGGACTTGGAGCGGATGAACTCGGGGTCGAAGGTGGGGTTGCCTTGGTAGGGCCTGGAGAGGGAGCAGTGGGTGCTGGCGTGGGCCCTGGGCCCCAGGCCGTCCTGCGTCTACCCCTCCAGCCGTCAGGGCCGCGCTGGTACGCTCTCTGGCCGCCCGTCCCAAGCAGTTACGAGGGGAGCGCTGTGAATTGGGGTTTTGGGGGGGTGTCTCAAAGATGAAGAAAAGAGCGAGGCACGGTGTTCTGTCCCCAGAAGTTGGGGAGTGAGGGGATGGCCTGTGATCACATGAAGGAGGGAATTGCATTCCTCGTTCTCTGTTCTGGAGCTTTCTGTAGGTGGTCCCGTTTCATTCTCAGACCCCACCCGTCAGCAAGAAAACCCGGGTTCAGGGGGCTGGGGGCTCAGCGACTTGCCCTGAGTGCCACCTGAAGGAAGCTGTAGCCCTCGCGTCGGGGGCCGCGTGTCAGGCGCTGTTCTGAGAGTGTCCTGAATGGGGGCTCCTGGAGCCTGCTCCCCTTGGCATGTGTCATCACCCCATGGCACCGTGGGGCGACAGGCCCAGAGAGGCTGAGTGTCTCTCCCGACGTGACCCAGTAGGGAGGGGGCAGCGCTGGCAGACACACGGAGCCCGTGCCCTGGAGATCCCTGGACCCCCACAGCACCACCTCCACTCCCGGGGCGGACCGAGGGAAAATCCCCAGAGATGCACCCTAGACCCTTCCGGAAACCAGTATTTTTAGGCACAACAAACTGAACTGTCAATAGAAAGAATTTCGAATGCGTAATTCGAGGTAGTAACTGGTGAGTGGCCCAAATTAGGGCCGGCAGCCCGGCTCCTCGTCCCCTGGTTTACTTCACGCCTTGTTTAGGTTGATACTAAAGCGGGTTTGCACCCTTCAATGCACGTCAGACACGGGGGAGCCAGTGTGGTGGAGCCGGCCTGAATCCTCCAGAGGCCGCAGCGCTGCGGATGCGCCAGGCCACCTGCCGCCGAAGTAGCCGGAGAACGTGTCCTCTTGTTCCGGCGTTGGGTGAATGGCGGGAGCCCGACAGTCTCTGTATATGTACGGCGCCACTGCCACTGGCAGGGGCTAGCCCAGCACGTGGGCCCCTGGGTGGGAGGCCCGGGGACGTGTGTCTAGTCTTGTCCCACACCCACCCCACAGCTACAAGGCCAACCTGCTGCACACTGTCCCTCTGGATGTGGTGTTTACGGTGACAACAACGGAAAGAAAAAGATCACGCCTGATGGAGCCCAAGCCAGCGGAGGACACCCACTGCACATGTGCGTGCGTGCAGGTGTACTAAAGTGTTGTGTACATGGGTGTGTGTCATGTGTGCACGTGTACATACAGTGTGCATGAGTGTGCGCATCATGTGTGCACGTGAATCTACAGTGTGTGTGCATGGGTGCATGTGCATCATGTGTGCAGGTGTACGTACACTGTGCATGGGTGCATGTGCATCATGCGAGCATGTGTATGTACAGCGTGTGTGTACATGGCTGCATGTGTATACGTATATGTACAGCGTGTGTGTGTGTGTCATGCGTGCACATGTGCACAACTGCTCTTGCCTCTGGGGGCCTCTTCCCCGCTCCTGTGGCCCTGCAGCTGCTCTGCCCGCCTGGCATTCTGGGGCCGTGTGTAGGGTCGCTGACCCTCCCATGTCTCCTGTGGGGAAGGGGCTGCCTAGACTTGGGGCCACGGGCCTTCCCACCTGCTTTGGCTCCTTAGGTGGGGGTGGGGGAGGCAGTGGGTGATGAGACGCCCCGGGAGCCCACGCTTCACCCCGGCACCGGGACAACTCCCCAGCCGCCGCCTGCCGAGTCTGGGCCCCCACCTTGCCCACCTGCCCACCCTGATGAGCACAGGCTGCCTGGGGGAACGGGGACCATGCAGCACCGGCAAGAAGTGAAGTGAACCCCAGGCACGGCCCCGACTCACTTAAACGCTTTTAGGCAGGCCTCGGGGATGTGCTCCTTGTCGAACTTTTTCAGGGAGTCCAGGAAGGTGTCCACTTTGCCCATCATGATTTTCGCGGCTTTCCAGCTCTTGTCCTTGGGGATCTTGCCCCCAGGGGCGGTCAGGATCATGACGGCGGCCGTGACATTGACCACAGCGTCCGGGGGGGACCCAAAGGACTTCAGCTCCATCAGGTTGTTCTGTAAACGAAGGACAAGCAGCAGCTGTGAGGGGACAAGGCCCCACCGCGGGATTGGGAGGCCCCGTGACGACCGGGGATGCCGCCGAGACCATGGGGTCCCCGCGCCGGCTCCGCGGCTTTCTCCCCGCCCTGGCCAGTCCCGCTTCTTTCGTTTCCTTCCCTTACCTTGTTCAGCGTGTCGAGAGCTTCCTGCGCCGCCAGCAGGGCCGGCTCCGCCTTGGCCAGGTCCGTTTCGCAAGCCTTTTGTTTCTCTGTGACATTCTGGAAGGAAGCCACGAAGGAAAGTTCAGTGCAGGCGGGGGTGGGGACCGCGGCCGAGTGTGTGCACGTGTGCGTGAGTGTGCGTGTTAGGTGGCGCCCTGGGCACGAGGGAGCGCAGCCGGGAGTGAGGAGGGTGGCCTCCCCCCAGGCCCATGCATGAACTGTGCACATGCGTGTCCCCCGTGGCGGCAGCACTGCTGTGCCCCATGCCCCCCGTCAGCCTGCCAGGTCACGGGTCACCTCCTGGAGCCCACCTGTCTCCTCCCTGTCCCCTCGCCCCTGCCCCTCAGCTCTCAGGCTAGAAGGAGCCACACAGGGGCGTGGGTTCGGGATCCTGGAAGGGGGACATTGTTCCGTGGGCCTCAGCTTCCAGGACTGGAGGGAAACCCTGGGGCCACACGGGCCCTGCGCCGCAGGCTCCGAGGCCTTACTGTCTGTTGGTGCCCTTGTGTGATCTGTCTGGGATGGGACACTAGGGAGGTAGAGCTCGCCCTCCCCTTAGGGCCGAGACCCCCGCACGCACCCCCCGACGCACGCGCTCCTAGTCAGGAAGAGCCCCTCTGAGCCTCTGGAGGGCCTCGGTGCGATACGAGGCAGTGGGGGCTGGGGCTTTGCTGGCACGGAGGCGGGAGGTCAGGAGGGACAGGGGGTCTGCAAGGCACCTCCTGGAGGGTCCGTCCAGGCCCGGCCTTGAAGGCCCACATGGGGCGTGGCCGCAGGCCTGGGCACAGGAGGTGAGGTCTCTAACCCGGGGGCAGTCCCCGAGGGGCCATTTCCGGATGCCGGGGTTGGAGAGGGACGGGCGCCCGGACACTAAGGGCCACAGGAGTGGCAGATGGCAGGTCACGGCTTGGGGTGTGCTTGTGGGGCCTGGCTCGGATCCTGACGATGCCGCCCGCCTGTTGCCGACCTCCCTGGGCCTCGGTGGGTTGTGGGTGTGCGGGTTACGAGGAGGAATGGTGTGGGGCTTCTGCCGCCCTGCCTGGCCCATGTCCTCCTCCTCCTCTAGCACCTGGTGGCGGCCTTCGGGCCCCTCGTCCTCCAAACCACTTGCCACCAGGCCATGCTCCATCTCAGCAGATCGCAGGCAGTTACTGGATACTCTCCATTTACACACTCACGCGGGTGCACGGCTGGAGGCCTCAAGGGCATGCAGGGCGGGGGTTGGGGGGAGCCCCTCGGGCAGGCCAGGGGCCCCCGGGGACCAGTGACCCTGGCGGCTCTGGGGACGTCTGGTGCAGCGAGTCTGAGGCCCAGGACTCCCGCCCGAGGGGCTTCTCAGACCTTCCTGGCCCCCGGCATCTGGTTACAGGGCAGACCGTGGCCCGGAGCTGGGCTGGGGCCCGACCCTGCATTTCCTCCCAGCTCCTGGAGATGCCGCCTCCGTGGCCTGGGCAGCCCTCCTCTGAGCGGGGGGCCCGTGCTCGGGAGAGAAGCTCCCAGCCTTTGCCGGGGCCGGGAGCGGGCACCGAGCCTCGGGGAAGGCCGGCGGGGAGCGAGCTCGGCGCGCACCTTGTTGATGACTTCCACCTTGGCCTCTTCCTCGTCGGCAATGGCTTTCTCTTGGCTGACCTTCTCGGTTTCCACGCCCACCACGTGGATCAGCTTGTCCGCATTCTCATTTTTCTGCTTGAGCTCAGCCTCCTGAATTGCCAGCTTGGCCTTTAAATCATCCACCTGGGGGAGGAGATCCCGAGAGACGGGCAAGGGTGGGTCCTGGCCCCACGCACAGGCTGGGGGCAGCGCTGGGGGCGAGGGCCAGGCTGTCGTGGCTGTGCCACCCGGGGCCTGGCAGGCAGGAGGGAGCCTGGGGAAGGAGTGAGGGACAGGACAGGGTGGGACTTGCCGCCCTGTTCTTGGTTTCTCCCACAAGGAGGCCCCGGGGTCCCTGTCCTAGGACCATGTCTGGAAGGTTCCTCTGGGGGAAAGAAGTGTCCTGCTTGGGGATCCCTGGGTGGCGCAGCGGTTTGGCGCCTGCCTTTGGCCCAGGGCGCGATCCTGGAGACCCGGGATCGAGTCCCACGTCGGGCTCCCGGTGCATGGAGCCTGCTTCTCCCTCTGCCTATGTCTCTGCCTTGTCTCTGCCTTTCTCTCTCTCTGTGTGACTATCATAAATAAATAATTAAAAAAAAAAAAAAAAAGAAGTGTCCTGCTTGGCCGGGCTCCTCTCTGATCCCTCCTGAGCAAGCTGTCCGGGTGGGAGCCGTCCTGCTTGGCCCCTCCAAGGTCTGTCTTCCTGGAACACCCCCTGCCGTACTCCCCCCAGACCCCTACAGGGGTGACCTTGACCCATGCCACGCTGCCTGTGGCTCTGGTTCCAGGGGCTCGGCCTCTCTGGGGGCAGAGGCGGGTTTACGCCTCAGCAGGGGAGCAGGGGCTGTCGTCTGGGCTCCCCTGGGGACACCAGCGGTGGGCAGTGAAGGTCAAGGGGCCGGGCTGCACTAGAGAGGGCACCTAATAAAGCCGGCAGAAAACCTAAAAAAGAAAACAAAACCCAGAGGACGGCAAAAGCCTTTCCAAGTGGGCACCGCAGTGTGCAAGGTGTCTCAGGGCGTGTGGTCACAGATGCCCGTGACCTGATCCCACAAATCCCACTGCGCTTGGGCCCACGTAAAGCACCCAACAGAGTAACAGCACAGTTGCCAAAGCATTTTGAATCCATTTTTCATATTAAAACCCCCACGTTCTCCGGGGTTTGAGAATGGGAGCTTCTCCGAGGCGGGACTCCTGTTTCCCTCACTTGGGGGAAGGTCTGGAACCTGCAGGCGGAGCCGCCCTCCCTACCTGGGACGCCGTGCTCTGCAGCTTCATCAGCCCGTTCTCCAGCCTCTCGATCTTGGCCACCAGCTCCATTCTCTTCTTGGCCAGTAGGTTCTGGTACAGTTTGATCTGCTCCAGGAAGGTTTTGGGTGTGGTGTAGTTGTAGCGCCGCTCGGTGGCCAAGTACAGCTGGGACATCTCATTGACCGTTGTGTGCACGTAAGACATGAAGATGCTGATGGAGGTCTTGACCTCTGGCTGCAAAGGTGAGTCGGGGCGTTAGTCCCCTGTTCCCTTGGGGGAGCAATCCCACACCCCTTAGGGGCCCGGGGAGGAGGCGGCTGGGGACCCCGGGTTTTCAGCAAGGCCGACCTCCCTTTCCTCGCCGGGACCCTGGAGGGGAGGCACAGCCCCTCAGCCTTGGCCGTTCAACCTGCTTGAGGCTCAAGACGGCAGTGCCCTCAGGGGCTGTCGTGGGCGCTGACACCATCTCTTCGAGGGCTTGGCCAAGCACCAGGGACACGACACAGCTTTATCACTGGGACTACCTCTCCCCGACTCACACGCCTGCATCCCTGGGAGACTGCAGGGCCTGACCACGTGTTGGGGTGACCCGGGCAACCCCAACAGTGAGCATTCACTGTGTATTTCCTATGCTGGGTCCTTTCCCACACCAGGGTCACAGCCACCACCATCTGGGCCGCCCCACCTGCCTGAGTGCTCTGCCCCAGGAGCTGTCCGTGCAATACCCAACTGCAATTTGAGTCAACGTGGAAATGTGTTCACCCGATGCATGCTTCCCCTTCGGCATCTACTCTGTGGCCCTCCCTGGTGCCAGCAGTGGGGGCCGCTACCCCCGATCTTAGGAGGCCCCTGTCTTGGGGCTGGAAACCCATGCCTATGCCCCAGGGAAATGAGAGAAGTGCCCCCCGCATCCCCAGTAAAAGATGAGGAGGCTTAGATCACCCACCACCCCTGTCAGCAGGGGCAGGTCAGAGGTGAGGGAGCAGCCCCGGGGGGAGCCCTGCTGGAGCCCGAGACAGGAGTGAGCGCGGGCCTCTGGATGCCCTCAGAATAAATGCAGGCGCGCCTGTCAGCCCTGATCAGGGACTGTGTGTAAAGCCTGCGTTGCTCAATTTGTGGGCACCCTGGCGTCAGCTCTCCTGACCTGGCCCTGTGGGGCAGCGGCCGCAGGGGTGGGGCACTCCGAGCCAGTTGAAACCAGTGGCCCCTGGCACAGTAACACAGGGCCGTGAAGCCAACTACCAGCGGCTTGTCTTTGTTTATGATGTTGGTATTTGTTCACTGTGAATTATTTAGCGTTGATTTCAGTTTTTAAAAGTACTGCACGAGGACATCACGGATCTTGGTGACTGAGGTCACACCTCCTCTCCCCCCTCTTATAGTCCTCCAGGTCGTGGAGGCAGAGGGTGCGGGGTTTCCCTGTCCTGGGGGCAGACCCTCCTGGCTCTGCGCACCAGCACGGAGGGCGGCAGACGGGCCGGTGCCCAGTGACCCACCTGAATGCCCTCAGTTTCCTGGAGGAAGCGCGCGCTCACGGACACCAGGGCATCTTCCGGCCACTCGTGGAACCAGTCGATGGCCGTGCAGTTGACAACAGCAGGGAATTTCCTTGCCCGCACACGCAAGACGGAGCCCACGGGAGAGAAACACAGGATCACCTGGATGCGGGACAGGAGAGCGGCTTGTGGGGCCCGGGGTGCTGAGGGCTGAGCTCGGGAAGGGAAGCTCTCTGCTGTCTGCTTCCAGGTGTCTGCGGAGTCACCCCGGCTCCGGCCTTAACATGCAACTGGTGCACATTCCACTGACTTCACACCTCTTGTGGGGAATGGGGAAATGCAGACGGCGCCCCTGGCCTTCTGACGTGGCTCCGCGGCGGGGACAGCCGGGTGAAGGTCCGAGCGGGAAAGAGCACCATCGCTGGCAGTGGAGGGCCAAGGACACGGAGCCTCCTCCAGGTCCCTACGACCACGATGGTGACTAATCCCCAGACAGCCTGGGACCTCAGCCACAGGCGGTGCTGTGCACACGGGCCCTGGTGCCCATTTGTGGGACCGGGAATAGCCTCAGCCGCTGGGCCCCTCCTGGCTCTGCAGCCCCTTCCTCCGTGGTGTAGCAGGTGCCTCCTGGAGTGGCCATTCCACAGGAGAAGGGCCGTGCCGGGCCCTGGAGGAGGAGCCCAGCAGAGGCTGCATCCATCAGGGTCTCCCTCGGGGGCTCCTTCAGCCCCCAAACAATATCCATGGGTAGCCCCGCATAACCCAGACTGGGGACAAGAAGAGGGACCGTGCCGTGTCTGCATGGAGCAGGGGTAATGGTAGCCAGCAGGCCCTGGGAGAGCTATGGGGGGTGGACCCTCAGGGTCGGGGTCGGGGGCAGCATCTGGTCGGGGCAGCTGCCCCTACTGGACGCTGATGAGAAGGGAGGAAAGGATCCGAAGGGCCCTTGGCCCCACGGGTAGTTCAGCCCAGCGTCCCTTGGAAGGAACGTTGAAGGTCGAGGTGCACTTATAAATCTACTTAAAATCGTGCATGCGGGGTGTGTGTGTGCACAAACACCCGTCGGCGGGCGTCCATCGGGCAGTGCACCGTTTGCTCTGAAGGCCTAACATACGCAGACGGGAGCAGCCCCTGCCGCCGCCCCCAGGGGAAGGACCTGAGCCCTGCGGCGGCTGCTCCCCGGATGCTGTGAGACCAGGGCTCCTACCTTAAGCTGCCTGCGCACTTTCTCAATGAAGAACTTCCAGCACGTTTCCCGAGTGTCGGTCATGCCAAGGGACTTCACTTGGGGCCGCATGGAGGAGATAATGTTCTCCACCTCGTCATCCATAAACAGCCCCGGGATCTCCCCCGAGGCCAGCAGGTCATTGATGAGCACCAGGAACTGCTCCTCGGCCACCTGGGAGTCTGTCATCAGGAACACCGAGGGAACGTTCTTCACCGCCGTCTTTATGTACTGCGCGCTCAGGTCAACCTGGATCCAAGGGGGACACGGTCAGGGCCTGACGACCACCCTGGAAGGGACGTCTGGGGGTCATCTCTGTAAGACGTGTGCAGGGTCTATGTACAGGGACCTGAAACCTTGGGTGGGGAGCACCCGTGCTCACTGCAGCCCATGGGCGGGAGCAGCCCAGGGGCCCATCAACCGACAGACGGATGGACCAAACGTGGTCTGTCTGTATGATGGGTTATTGCTCAGGCACGAACGGGAGGGATCTCCTGACACCTGCTACAACATAGATGGGTCTGCAGCGATGCCAGGTGAGGTCAGTCCGTCCCCAAACGCCGGGAACTGCGGGATTCCACTTGGGTGAGGTCCCTGGAGCCGCCAGGGTCACAGAGATAGAATGTTTGGGGCGGGCGCCACGGGCTGGGGGCAGAGTGGGCTCGTGTTTCAGTCTGGGGACCGGGCGTGGTGGCGGCGGTGGTTATAAAACGGCGTGATGCAAGTAATGCCACCGACCTGTATGGTTACAACGGTAAAATTTTGTGCTGTGTTCGCTTTACTACCAAGGAAAGAAAAAGAAAGAAAGATAAAACCTCAGAGACCCTAAAAAAGGTCTCGAATCAATGCGCTCCAGGCTTGGGGCTCAAGGGTCAGGAGCTGGCGCTGGACAAGGACACAGGGACACTGCATAAGGCTTGTCCCGCCCCTAGTGGGACTTAAAGAAGCAGCTCCACAGGAATAACTGCACGGTCAGGGCTGGAAGAATGAATGAAGGGGAGCAGTAAAAAGGAACACACAGGAACATCACACAGCAGCACAAATAGTTGCTATTGTCCAAGGATACAGTCCAGGGTGCGTGTGCAGATCGTCTGGCGCTGCCCCAGGAGTCATGCGCCCGAGCCGAGGGTAATGGCTGATTTTCCGTACACCCCGTGGGCCCCTGTAATTGCTCACAGGCACCCCGAGGGGCTCAGTGCTGTTTGGCAGCAGCCCAGCAACCCGGCCTCTCTGTGCAGAGACGCGTCACCAAGGCCCCGTAGCTGGAGGTGACTGCGGTGGAAAGCCAGCCTCGGGTTCCGTATGTTTGACACGAGAACAAAAGCGAGGGGAAGCCCTGAGCTTAGAAGAGCCAGCGGCGCAGGTCGGCGGGGCCTGGGAGCTGACAAGGCAGGTGCTCCTGGTCTGGCGGTCCTGCTGCGGCCGTTGCACGTGGGCCCATCGCCACCCCCAAGGCCGTGGAGGAGGGCAGCGTGCCTGCGAGTCGCAAGTCCGCCCCTGGCAGGTTGTCAGGATGCTCCCGGGGGCGCGTCCCTCCTGTAGGTGGGGGTGGCCGGATGGGAAAGCTGCCAAGGTCCCCCAAGTTCAGGTTCCAAGTCTGATCAGACTGGCCGAGGTGCGCGAAGCTAATTTCGTAGCTGCCCAGGTCCGGGTGGAAGTTTCTGGAAAGACTGAAGGCCGTGAAGGCCTAGGAATAGGGATGAGAGGCCCGCTTGGGAAAATGGCCTGTGCTTGAGTCCTGGCCACTCCTCCTTCTGCAAAGTCTGCACCTGGCGCCTCTTCCATCGCCACCTGCAGGTGCTCCACTCGCTGCAGGCTTGGGCCCCCAGGAAGCCCACAGCTGCTCGTGGCCCTCATCCTGCTGCCCCTGGATTCCCACCCTATTGGGTTGCGGGGCCAGTACCTCCCACTCCCAGCACTTCCCAATCCCCAACACGTGCCCCGCTCCCCTAGATTCCTTGAGGGCCACAGGCGGAGCAGCGTCATTTGTCCTTCGTGACGCATTTCCTCCGGGCACTGGCCTCCTCCGGGCACTGGCATCTTGGCTGCCCTGGCCCCCAGCCCAGTTCTGATCCGTCCTCATTTCCTGCCCAGTGGAGGCACCACCCTGCCGGTCCCAGTTCCAGGCACAGACGTCACCGCCAGCTCCGAGAGCTCAGCTCCTGTGAGCCCCTTCCCCACCCGCGGTCGAGACGGAGGTCCAGGTGAATCTAGGGATCGGCAGTGACGGAGGAGCACACGTTCCCATCCCTGGTGGGGCCCCCTGAGCTGGCCCGGGGTCCCAGCCACGTCCTGCCTCCACACGCTCCCTCCTGCGCAGGCAGAGACCACGGGGCCACCCTAGACTCAGGTCCCTCCTTTGCCCGTCCCTACACCGTCCGGTCCCAGTCTTTGTGGGGTCACTGGGCTTTTGCCGCAGCTCCCCACAGGTCACCCCACGGCACTCTCCGTGGGCCTCAAGCCACTCTCTACTTGGTTCTGGGGCACTCCCAGGTCTTGGTCCTCTCTGCTTACTCGATGGCATATCATGTTCTGGGGACCGAGTCCAGGATTTTCCACGAGGTGCAGTGTCCCGCGGGGGTGCTTCCAGACCTCTTTCCTGCCGCATCTCTAACCTCCAGTGGGCGCCTGCAGCTTATGGTACAGGTGGACTGTAGAGCAAAGTCCCATCCCTAGCAGCACGGTGCAGGCCCCGCTAGCCCCGTCTCCTTCCTTACTTCCAGATCCACGGAAGCAGCGGCTTCATCAGGGTCAGGGACGGCTAGCGCGAGCCGGCTTGATGTGGGTGTTGAGAGGACAGGCCTCGGCGTGGCTCAGACTGAACGCCCACCGCTGGCCCTAAAGTCAGGAACCAGGGACAAAGTCCACACAGGGACAGAGCAAAGGGCAGGATGCCGTCATGAAAGTAACCCCATACAATGTGGTTACTGGTTAGTAAGACTAGAAACTTTCCGGAGAAAACCCAGTGAGATGATACAGCGCAGGTGCGACGGTCCTAATTGCCGGCGAGCGCACTGGGGGAACCCGGGTGAGCGGCCTGACTGGCTAGCGGACGGGATGGGGCAGCCGGTCAGGAGACCGCGTCTGGAGAACCGGGTAGGAAGAGCTTCCCTTAGTGCAGGGACTTAGAAAACACGCAGGCTAGTCCTCGGATAGAAAGAGCAGAGTCCGCTGGGGACAGTGACAACCAGAAGCCAGACGCTGATCCGAGGGGGCCGTCCCCGGCTTAGCCCGCCCGGCGCTGCCCTTCCCGGCGCCCGTGCCGGCCGGCCGCCTCCCCCACCGGGAGTCCAGGGCGCTGCGGCCTCGGGGCCCCGTGGGCTGGGGGGCTGCCGCCCGGTCCGGCACCGTCCGGACGCACAGAGCAGCCCCGGCACCAGCGCCGAGGGAGCCGCGCCCGCGTAATGCGCTCGAATCAATCTCAGTTCCAACCTGAAGCGCTGCGAGGATTGGGTCTGGGCTAATCGTGTTTGACGAGCACACAGTTCCCTGACAGAGCAAATTTTCGGGAAAAAGAAATCAATAAAAAGCCTCGGCGGCGTATCTTGGGGATGGGAGACCTGTTTACGCTAATGTTTATTTAATTAATTCAAAAAGCAGCCTTCCCGAATCCAAGTTTGTAGTCAGATACCCCGTAACAGCCCTGAATTATTTAATCTGGCCAACGGGGGATGACGCAGAACCACCCCCGTGACCGGGGCAGGAACCGGGTCTGTGCTGACTGTGCGGACCCTGACCCACAGGCCCTCTCACCTTTGCCACCGGGGCGTGGGCACCGGCCGACACGTGTCCCGGCCCTCGGCATGATGAGGAGCCTGCAGTGACATACGCTCTGTGTGCTGGACATGCGAGCCGTCCGTTTTCTCCCCCCGCCCCCCACCTCCCACCTCCAAGGGTGGCTTGTCAGAGAGCCACGTCTCACCTTGAGGTCCGGGATCCCGTAGCCCTTCTTGAGAGTGATCTGGAACACGTCCAGGGCGCTGATGTAGGCGGCCAGGCGAGAGAGGCTCTGCTTGCCGCTGCCGCCCACGCCCACCAGCAGGGCGTTCCCACGGGGGAACTCCAGGATGCGGTTGATCCTGCAGATGTGAGCCACCGCGTCTTCGAACAGCACCTGCAGAGGCCAGAGGGACACCTCAGCGCCCCGGCGCACCCGGACGCGGCTCCTCCCGCGGCACAGACTCTCCTCCCAGCCCGGCCGGTGTTCGCTGCGAGTCTCGCAGCCCCAGAACGCCAGCGAGGCGCTGGTGATGAGACACGACAGGAGACCGTGGCCCGGCCCCTTGCCCGGGCTGTGCGCTCAAACAGCGCTCACCAGGTTCATGACTGCGTTGACTTCATTGTAACTGTCCAGGACGTCCGCCAGCAGCTTGTTCAGGTGAGCCACGTCGGTTACCGAGAGGTATTTGGGCTCGCCGATCCCGTGAGAGAAGTGGCAAAACATATTTGGTTTGGCAAACAGGAGCTCATCACCAAGATCCTAGAAATAAGGGGCAAGGCACTTCTGTTGCTGGCCACCATGGGCATGCGCAGGTCATCAGTAGCAGCTCCGGTCCCTCGCCATCGTGCTCCCCACCTGCCCCCCAGGATGCCAGGCCAAGTCTTCATGGGCCCAGACCACTGCTGCCAGGGCTCTGCAAACCGTCGGCAGAAATCCCTAGTAGGACGGTCCCATCCCCATCACATCAGGAGGAAGAAATGAATCTGCTGAGGACGTCAGGACATACCGGCAGAGCACACTGACCCATACAGGCCTTTCTTTACCCCAAGTGCATGGAGGGGGGTCATCACATCCTGCCCTCCGAGGAGTCAATCCCTTCTCCCTCAGATGTGCATTCATGTGACAGAGTCATTTCTTGGGACCCAGTGGGTCCTTCCCATCCCCCCGTGAGGGCCCTTCCAAGAGTGCTGGCCTTATCATTGGCCCCAAATACCATCATTGCCGTGGAGTCTTTCTGGGCTCATTGGAGGGACTTGGTGGCTTGACTCACATCAAAGAATTTCTTGGTGGAAGCCATGGTGACTCTGCGCAACGTTTCCTGGTCTTTCTGGTCAACCATTTTGTCTCCATACACTCTTTCAGCTTCGTGCAGCCAGAGGCGGACTAGGTCAAGTGGTATTCTCAGGATCTCCGTGGTGGAGAACAAGAGTCCCTGCCCCAGACACAGGTGGTCAGCACCTTTAGCTGTGCTATGAAGGCCAGCCAAGTGCGGTTCACAGGTGAAGCAACAGAGTGGTCACTTGCCCAGACAGTGATCTGTCAAGCCAGGGAAGCCACTGAGGCCCAAGGCCATGCAAATCCTGGAGGCTTGGAGGGTGTGTCGTGGGGAGAGATATGGGGGGATTCTCACAAGACAGAGCAAGGTCTTGACTCTCTAACAGGGTGGATAGTGGAGAAGGGACAAGGGGGCACGGCCAGAGTGGGTTCCAAGCTGGGGCTCTGCAGCAGGTCTGCCTATGTCTAGTCCTGGCTTAGCCATTTACTGACCAAGTGCCCTGGGGACATTCAACACGTTCTTATTGAGGGCCTGCCATTTTCCAGACTCTCTCTGGGGCTCCAGGATCACAGCAACAAGGTAGGCTCTGTCTTCATGGAGTCCACATTCTAGTGGGAGATGCAGCCAGGCAATCAGAGTAACAAGGTAGTTATACATTGTGACGTGGGCCATGAATGATATAAAGGGAGGCAGTGAGATAGTGTAGGGGTGAAGAGGGACCTCTAGAGGACACGACATCTAATCCAGAGTCTTAGATTCTCCTTCTGTAACATGGGGATATAGGAGCACGTTACACGTATTTTTGGAGGAGAAAATGCGGGTGTAAGTGGCCAAACCTGGTGCCTGGCTCAGACTAAACAGTCAATAAATAAGAGAAAATATCATCACTGTCATTACCAATACCGTCATCATCATCACCATCACCACCACCCCCACATATTGCCATCATTATCACCATCACTCTCATCATCACCATCATCGTTAACACTGCCATCATCATCATCACCATCACCATCATCATTACCACCATCACCATCACTACCATCATAATTGTCACCATCACCACCATCACCATCCTCACCACCACCACCACCACCACCACCACCACCACCACGACCACCACCACCACCCATCATCACTATCCATCCATCATTTTGCTTTCCCTCCTGAGAGCAGCAGAGAGCACCTATGGAGCAGGGACGCTGGCCGTAACAGGCCTAGAAGAGCAGTACCTGGAAAATATTGGAGAGGTCCCTGAGGTTGAAGACATAGTGAAATTTAATGGCCGTGGGAAGAAATGTTGCAGTGACTTTCTGATGCAGCGCTGTTACAGGAAAGAGATACATCGATTCTCAGGTACTCTTAATGGCCTCAGGAAGTGCAGAGCTTAAGGTATAGTCTCTAAAGCAAATGGACTATGAAATAGCGACAATTTAAGTAAGAAATCTGCACGGCTGACAAGGGGAGAGGTTTGCTGCTCTACTGACGTGTAAATCATTTCTGTACACTGAATTTCCAACCCCCCCGCCTTCCCCTCGAGCAATTGGATTTCATAATATCTCCTGCTGAAACATAGCATCATTTAAAAATATTGATTTGAAAGTATAAATAAAATATTTACCAGGGGAAACTGTGAAGGAGCCATCACCATCAGCCCCATAAAGCAGTAGGGCTGTGCCGACAGGAGGGGGGGATGAGGCTGGTCAGCTTACCCAGGGCGGAGGCCACCAGTTGGCTGCTCATCCTCTGAACCACCATGGGGACTGAGCGAAAGGTCAGGTGCTGGGCCAGGATCGTGTTGTAGATGGTGGCGAGGGCCTCCTGGCCCGGGAAGCTCACAGCAAACACGCAGAAGTGGCGCTGCCCGGAACAAGCACAAACCCCCATCGGGCAGCCCGCGGGGACCAGCCCGTGGCCGGGGCTGCCTTCTTCGGGGAGCAGACTGTCCTCATCACCCAGTGTCTTGTGGGCAGGGTCGGAACGGACAGTTTCCCTTCCTTGTGCCTTATATATGGTAAAATCCCATTAAATATTGATCCCATCCCCAACAGCCAAATTTACACTTCATGATCTCAAGCAAAATTTTGGCGGAAGCCAAGGAGTGTCTCAGGGCGCGGCCCAGGTTTTATATTCTAGGTCCCTATCTGCTTAGGTACTTCAGAGGTGAGGTCCTGCCTGGGCGGGGTTGCAGGTGTAATACAGGATATCCCGTTAAATCGGAGTTTCCGATAAACAACAAATCGTTGCTTTCAGTATAATCATGTCCCAAATGTTGTACAAGACACGCTCATACTAGGCAAGTATTTGTGGTTTATCTGAAATGCAGATTTTACCGGATGCCTGCAGTTGCATTTGCTAAACCGGGCAGCCCTTCGGGTCCGAGGGAGGGCTGGCTGGCGTCTCGCTGCCCCGGGAATTCCCTGACGCACGCCGAGAGCTTAGGGATCTCTCCAGGGGACGTCGGCCTGCAGCCCCGACAACACCCCGGATCGATGCTTTTATCTTCTTGTGCCAAAGTGAGCCTCAAACCCACAGGGGCTGGATCCCCGGAGTTTGATTTGTGCCCACCTGGAGTCTGGGATCGATGGTGAAAGATCCGGAGGTGGGGTTCATGCAAGCCACGTACTGGCAGTTATGGATGTCCTTCAGCGTCAGCTTCTGCCTGTCGTACCTGCGAGGGAGACGGGCGCAGGGTTGTGCCACCAGCCTGCCGGAGCCATCGCGGGGCCCCCAGCCCCCCCAGTCATCTCTTGCCTGCGGTGACCCCGCAGAGAAACCTTCGATAAATATAGCTTATATGTGAAAACATCCACTTTTACTTCACGTTGTCGAGAAGGATTTTGCGACGGGAGGCCTCGGGGGGCTCCGAGAGCCGCGGTGCCGGCCCCCGGGACATGCTTCGAGGGCCGCGTCTGCCCGGGACCGTCACAACGAGCAGCGAAGGCAATTATCCGACAGGCCGAGCATGCCCTAGGACGGAGCTGCCCGGGGCTCGGGTGCATTGAAGGTTATAAAGCTCGTCCCGTGCGCTTCTTACCCCTCGGGGTCCCCCACCCCCCGTTAAGCACTTGGCCTGCTGGGAGCTGTCGCCTGTTCCTGTGGCTTCACAGGGATCCCCGACCCTCCGGATGCCGGGCCCCGTGAGTTTTAGGCGCCGCGGGTGCTCTCCCCGTCCTGCTGGCTCTGGGCCGTGCTCGCGCGTGGGGCGGCTTGTGGGCCGGTGCGAGCCAGGGTTGGGCCCCAGCCTCGCAGGCCATGACCCTCGGGGAGGGTGAGCGCCCCACGCCGCTCCTGGCCTGCTTAGGGCCGGCCCCTTGGCCTGGCTCCGTATGCCCCCCAGGGAGCGTCCTGGCACCCCGTTCCCGCCGAACAGGCCGTTGCTTCACTGCTGACCTTCCTGGCTCCCTATGGCCCGGAGCTCCGCAGGCCAGCGCGGCGTGGGGACGAGGCGGGGACACTCGCGCGTGCGCCCGATGTCCGGCTCTGCCCCCTGTTCACCCCTCCGTGCCTCTGGTTCTTGCCTCCAGCGCCCGATGATTTCTGACGGGAGTTCTTGGCTTCCTTTGGTCTCAAAACCCCAAGGTTTGGCCTGAGCCACGTTCCAGCTCATTACAGGACCCTTGTGTCAAGACACACTTATTTTGGGGGCACTTGGGGGGCTCAGTTGGTAAAGCGTCTGCCTTCAGCTCAGGTGGTGATCTCAGAGTCCTGGGATCGAGTCCCACATAGGGCTCCCTGCTCCGTGGGGAGTCTGCTTCTTCTCCCTCTGCCTCTGTTCCTCCCCCCACTTGTGCTTTCTGTCTCTATCTCAAACAAATAATAAGCCCTTTAAAAAAAAAAAGACACACTTATGTTAACTGTACTTCATGCTTCCTGATCTTTCCAAATCGCAGACGTAAACGTGCCACCCTCGGCTTCCTGCTGCCCATGGGACAGGGCTTCTCTGGCCAGCATGGGTTTTGGGGTCTGGCTGCAGCTGCCCTGCGCATCCTCTCCCTCTGGCTCTCACTCCACAGCCACACGGGGTCCTCCACGGGCCACGTTTCCTCCCCCCCAGGCCCTTTGCACGTGCCATTTGCTCTGCGCAGGCTGCTGTTCCTCCAGGGTCTGTCCACGACCTGTCCTGACCCCGCTTCTAGCTTTCAGTTGCTGGGCGGCCTCCCCCTGGGGCATGTCTCTGCCCCAGGCCGTGGACTCCTCTGGGACCACAGTGGGGGGGGGGTTCCCTCAGAGCTCCTCCTGCCTCTGCAGCACCTCTGTCTCCCCTGGCAGATGGACCCCAATGGGAGAGGGACCTGTGTGACCTCCCTGCATGGGAGCACTTGGCCACGGCTGCCAGGACAGGGCCTAGACCTCAGTGAAACGCCCTCACCCTGGCGGTCCTGCACCGTCCCTGTGGCCCCCACCCCGCCCACTTACCAGTGTCCGTGGTCCATGTGCTGCCGGATGAGCGTGTGGGGGGCCACGGTCCCGTACTTGTCCACCTCGGGCATGTTCATGTCGTCGATGAAGTAGATCAGCTTCCTGGTGCCTGGTGGACCGTAGTTCCTCCCGGATTTCTTCTCCAGCGGCTTCTCAAGAACCCCTAGAGGAAGGAGCCGCTTGGCTGTGGCCATGTCGGCTCCACTCTGGTGGGAGGTCCTGTGGGGCCCAGGGTCCCCAGCACCAGATGCAGTGGCCGAGGGAGGGGCCCTGGATGGGGCACCGGGGCTGGTGGGGCTTTGACCCCATCACCCCCAGGAGCAACGGAGTGAGCCATGGGGCATGGAGGGTCTGCGCCGAGGGCAGCGGACAAGCTCAGGGCCCCCTCAGATTGGCCAGGGTGCAGCTCCCCAGGGGGTGTGCCCAGGAACTCTGGGAACAGGGGTCCTGGCTACTACTCCCATCCTCCTACTTGTGGCAAAAGGCCAGTGCAGGGGTGTGGCAGGTGAGGAGGATCCTGGCCAGTCCCTGGGTCTTTGGTGGAAAGGGATAATGGGGAATGTGGGGGGGTGGCCATGTGGGGTGAGCACGATTAGAGGTGTCTATGCTGGGCCCTAAGGACCCACCCTGGTCCTTGACCTCACCCTGCACCCCTGCACCTGGCCCCAGCAGCTCTCTGCACCCCAGCCTGCCCCCGCCCCACCCCTGCTCCTGGCCAGGGCCCCAGCCTGCATCCCAGCTCCTGGCCCTGGCCCCACCCTGTACCCCAGCCTGCCCTCTACCCTGCACCCATGTTCCTGGCCCTGGCCTCATCCTACATCCCAGCCTGCTCCTCCCTGCACCCTAGCCTGCTCCTCAGCCTACACCCCTGAACCCAGCCTGCTCCTCACCCTGCACCCCTGCTCCCGGCCACAGCCCCCCCTGCACCCCAGCCTGCCCCCCGCCCCACCCCTGCTCCCGGCCCTGGCCCCACCCTGCAGCATGGCTGAGGTCGTGTAGAAGTTGAAGGGCACGGCCTGCACCAGGTAGTCGTCGGTGCTCAGGCTCTCCAGCTTGTCTCCCATCAGCACGGACTTGCCGGTGCCCGCATTCCCCACCAGCATCACCGGCCACGACTTCTCCATGAGCAGGTCCATGAAGTAGCGGATTCGGATGGTCTCTGTCGTGTGCACCAGCGAGGCCTGGAAGCGAAGGAGGAGCCTCTCATTCCAGCTTCCCGCCGACGTGCTCGCCGGGGCAGTCTGGTCCCTTGTCCTACTGTGGGCAGCTGTGGGCCCCTGGCCGTCCGTCGGGAGGCCCGAGCGGGGACGCTGAGTCCCGCTCCCGACTTGTCCGTAAACCGTCGCCCCCGCGCAGGTACCTGCAGCGGGATGTCAGGGTCCAGCGCGAAGGCCGGCACTTTTTCCGTCCACGGCAGGAACTTCTTCGTGTCGGGGTCTATGTAGTAATCAAAGATGGTTCCCTGCGACGGGAACTTGATCGTTTTAAATTCATTGATCCACCACTTGCTGAACTCGACTCGATAGTCCACGAGCTGTTGGGAGAACACAAACGTCGTCGCGAGGTCGCGGCGAGGGACACCCGAGCCCTCCCGTGGCAGCGGGCTCCCCGGCGGCCGGCCGCGCACCTGGTCCTGGAACAGGGCTCCCCCGAAGGCCCAGAAGCAGGCGAACACGAAGTAGAGCTCGTACAGCTCCTTGGGGGAGTCGGGCGGCGCGTTCCTCTCCGTGAGGAGGCACTCGAGCAGGTACAGGATCATCTGGGTGATCGTGATCTCCGGTATGGGCGTGATCTTCTTAAACCCAAAGCGCAACTTGTCCAGGCACGTGGGCAGGTACTTGTCGAAGAGGATCATCAGGTTGGCCTTTTCAGACTGCACCTTGCGCCGCTCAATCCAGCTGCTCACCACCCTGGGGAAGGCGGGGAGGCTCGGGGTGGTGGGTCTGCCCAGCATCCCTCCCCCGGGGAACAGCCCTGGTGTGTCTGATTCCGGCGCTCCCGCCCGGTGATGGGGCCGGATGCAGACCTACGAGACTGACGAGGGTGCCAGGGCCCTGGGGGCGGGCTCTTTCTCTGGCATTCTAGCTACAGGGGTGCCCTAAGCTTAGAACAACGGGAAACCACCTTTGCTGCCCCAAATGAAGCCAATACTGAGGGCAGCAGAGCTGGATACGGGGCAAGAGAAAGATCTCATGACATCATCTGGGTGGGAGGAGGAGAGAGGGGCTAGGAGGACAAGAGGAGGCAGAGAAAGGGAAAGGAACAGGGACCTCTCATGATATCATCTGAATCCTAGACCCAGCCAGGCCTGAAGCAGTCTCTGTGAATTGAGTCAACTCACTTTTCTTTTCTTCTTAAGTTTTACTTTGAGTTGAATTTGTCACATTCCATGGAAGAGCCCAAACTAATGCGACAGGCAGTCCTTGAGGAGCCATGCTGGAGCTGCCAGGCGCCCACCTGCCTCTGCAGTGGGCTGCCCACCATTCGGGTGGGCACGGCTCTCGCGTGGCCAAATCACTTAACACGCCCTCTCTAAGTGGGAGTGACAACGACTCCCATATCCAAGGACCACCTGGGCTGATTTTTAAAAATTTCATTTATTTATTCATGAGAGACAGAGAGAGAGAGAGAGGTAGAGACACAGGCAGAGGGAGAAGCAGGCTCCATGCAGGGAGCCCCATGTGGGACTCGATCTCAGGACTCTAGGATCACACCCTGGGCAGAAGGCAGGTGCTAAACCACTGAGCCACCCGGGCTGCCCTGGGCTGATGTTTTTAAAGCCCGCAGGAGGGAGCTGGGCCCACCCTGAGTGCTAAGTGCCTGCTAAAAGCACAAATAGTGTGTGGCTCCCTCGCAGGCCAGCCAGCCAGAGTGCCAGTTCCGGGACACCCCCCCCCCCCAAGCAGAAGCACGGGGGTAGCTCCCGTCCCCATCCCAGCCCCGAGGACCAGCCTCTCTGAGCTCCCGCCCTGGCGGCTCTGATCAGCACAGGGAATGGAGAGCTGACGCCTCTGCCCCCGCGCCCCGGACCATCCACGAGGACAGCACGGTCCTCTCCGCAGTCCGTGTGCTGCACCCCGAATACGGCAGGCTCTCCGAACGCAGCCCGGGTTGCGAACCTATACACAGACGCCGGTACCTGCCCTCTATTCTGAGGCTGTTTATGTCAAATTAAAAATTCTGCCGTGGTTGGAGTCATCCAGCTCCTGCAGCTGCGCACGCTGCCTTTGATGGGAAGTGCAAGCCCAGCGAGACGCACACTCAGAGGACAGAGGACGAGCCGGCCTGGCTCCTGCCCGGCCCCCAGAGGCAGCCTTGCTTCACTTCCAGCTCTGGGGTGTGCTCGGCCGTCTCCCGGCCTTGAGTCACTGCTGCCCCTGTGGGAGGGCTGCCTTTCTCCCGGGGGGCCCCTGTGCTGGTCCCCTACCCTCTCCACTTCTCCCCTCCTCGTCCCCAAACGGTGGCTCTCTCTCTTGGTCCTTCCTCCAGGGCCCCAAGAACCAGGGCCCCAAGAATTGGGGCCCCAAGGACCGTGGCCGGTGTAGAGCCTGCCTCCAGGCTCTCCTTCCCACCCCACTCCTGCCCCCTGAACCCCCCACAATTGCTCCTTGTTCCCATTGCCCTGTGTCAGCAGCTCCTGCCTCGCCTGCCCGCCCTGCAAACTCTCACATGTGGTATAGTGGGCAGGATGCTGGCGCCTGCAAGACATGTCCACCGGGACCTGTACGTGTGACCTTAGTTGGGACAGTGTCTTCGCAGACAGATGTAGTCAAGGTAAGGATCTCAAAATGAGATCATCCTGCATCAGGATGACTGTCCCTACAAGAAGGGCGTACTGAGGGGCACCTGGGTGGCTCAGCGGTTGAGCATCTGCCTTTAGCTCAGGGCATGATCCTGGAGTCCCGGGATCGAGTCCCACACCGGGCTCCCTGCGAGGAGTTTGCTTCTCCCTCTGCCTGTGTCTCTGCCTCTCTCTCTGTGTCTCTTATGAATAAATAAAATCTTAAAAAAAAAGAAGGGGGGACTGAGGAAAGACCTCGAGAGAACAGAGATGGCTGCAGTGATCGGGTGAGGCATCCAGAAGCCAAGGGACGCCAAGGATGGCCCGGAGCCACCAGAAGCCGGGACAGAGGCCTGGGACGCATTCTCCCTCGGGGCCTCTGGGAGGAACCAGCCCTGCCAACACTTTGATTGTGGGTCTTGGGCCCCCAGAATCAATGCCAAGTCTTCTGTTCCTCACATCCTCCCTTCCCCGCTGTCCCCCGTGGCCGCACATCGTCCAGCGCCTTGGGCAGCTCTACTCTTCACGCCAGGAGGGGCCCCTGTGCGGGCCCCGCAGCCCGGTCCACACCAGCCCCTACCTGCCAAGAGCATCCTCAGGCTTCATGCTCCATCCACAGAGACCCGACCAGCGCCCAGACCCCTGAACCTCCGGCTCTCGCCCCACCCGTGCCCTGGCAAGACTGGTCCTCGCCTGACATGCTCCCTGGACTTTTTGTCTTCCTGGAAAACCGCCTCCCACCAGGCATCAGCCCGACTTCACCCCTCTTGGGATGACTTCCTGTCTTGGCCTCAGGGTTCCCGGTGCGTGGTGCCACGTGGGAGTCACCGTGCATCACGGCACACAGTTACACGGCGCTGTCTCATGCTTCCGCTGCCCCGACCCGGTGCGTGGGCAAAGCCCTGCCCGCAGTGTGCACCGAATCAATGACTACGTGCCCGCGCAGGCAGCTCTGGACCACCCCCAGCCTCGTCTGTCTCTGCCAGTTTGGAACCCGACTCACGGGTTCCACCCTAGATCCGCAGGGTTGATGTAAAGAATGCCGGCCCTGGAGACGGTGGCCGGGGTGGCTGTCCTCAGGTGGCTGATCTCGAACACCAGCCTCATGGTGCGGTTTAGGGGGATGCGCTCATTGCTGGCCAGCGTGAGGACCTAGGAGGGAGGAGGCAGGCCTGTGGGTCTATGCGGCTCCGAATAAGGAGGAGGAAGACCGGGACCTGTGCACCTGTGCCCGCCACCAGCCAGCGCCCAGCCCACGTCCGCCCCCACCCACCCCCGGCCAGCACAAGAGGCTCCCACATGTGCGCGCCGTGTAGGCCGTCACTGTGATATTCACTTTGCTTTTAAGACCACGATCCTGCCCCTCCCTGGGAATTCCCGCTTCCATCTAAGTGAGAATCATTTTCTCAAGAAGCTTCTAGTTAATTCTGAGGGCTGTTTCTGCCTTCCCAGATATTAGATGTCCTGCCACGTCATGTCACATGCCAATCAGGCAAGGATGTTTTCCATATCTGCACTCTTCACCCACGCTGCCGCCCAAAAATATCTGAGATGGGGTGCGTGAGGCCCCGTGTCATATGATGCACACATCTCGTGACGGGGGACTTTCCCTTGTTCATAGCTTTTGATGCAGAGTTCCAGACAGTCCGTCACTCTTCAAGTCCCAGTCTGGGGCAGGTCCTGTCTGTGTGTGCAGCAGGTGGGGACGTGCAGCGCTTCCCATGAGCCCCCTGCCCTACGCTGGGCCATCACTATGGCTTCGGGGGTTAGCTCTGGAATCCAGGAGCCCTCGAACCTTGTTGTCATCCATGACGGTGTTCAGAGATTCAATCCACATAGGGTCTATGTCCCCATCCAGGACAATCCACTTGGGCCCATCATGAGTGATGTTGGCCAGGTCCCGCATTATGGTGGAGAAGAGGCCTGTGGGTGACAGGGATGGTGTGAGCAGGGCTGGTGCGAGTGAGCAGGGCTGGTGTGAGCAGGGCTGGTGTGAACGGGGCCGGTGTGAGCTAGGGGGCCGGTGTGAGCAGGGCCGGCGTGAGCCTCCTCCGCGCAGCCTGCCCCGCCGCAGCCCCGTTACCGTCTTTCCACTCCCTGGTGGCCGGGTTGATAATGCCAAAGAGCTCATCGCAGGTGACGGCCTTGGGGTCCAGGTCCACGGCCACCGGCTTCCTCTTCATGTTCTGATAGGTCTTGTTGAGAGACTTGAGGACCTGGAGGGGGTCGCCGTTCACGCGGGGCCCGGGGCCCGCTCCCGCACCCCCCCAGGGCACCATCCGCCTGAGCGCCCAAGGCCTCTCACGACCCGCGAGCAGAATTCCTGCCGCGGTCCCTTCTGCTTTGGTGACATGCAGGGGCGTCTGCGTTCCCCAAACTCTAACGCGTCAGGTGCCCTGGGGGCGACGCACCCCGACGCTCCTGTGTGTGGACACGGAGTGCGCGTGCCCGGGACCAGGGTAAGATGAGGGCAAATCCACCCTGGTCTCCTGAGCCGGGTGCAAGCCGGGCTCTTGGGGAGAATGTTGTCCTCCGCCCACAGATGAGGACTTCTAGGGACACTGAGGCCGTTCCACACGTACACATGCGTGTACAGACGTGAGAACACATACACAGCTACACGGTCCTTCGGAAGACCGGGTTCCTAGCCTCTGCCTGTTGAAAAGCTACTTGCTGTGCGCCCCCCGGTACCAGTCGTCAGAGGTGCTCTGGATCGCAGCCCGGCGCCCACACAGCGCCCACCCTGCGGGCGTCCACTCGGCGCTGGCTGCCTGGGCATCTTCCGACGGTAGAGATGCACCCCTAAGACTGGCCATGGCCTCTGCTTCTCACGCGCCCAGGTAATGGCAGGGGCCAGGAGGGGCCAGGAGGGTGGGGGTGGGGCAGGGGACAGGAGGGGACAGGAGGGGGGCGGGGCCGGCCACAGGGCCGAGGGGGGGGGGCTGGTGTCCAGGGGGGAGGAGCAGGAGGAGAGGAGAACCAGGAGCAGGGCCTCATCAGTGGGACCAGGGTCCCGGGGCTGGCTGCTCCCCACCCGCCGCCCCACCCCCGGGGGCAGGGAGGGGACAGAGGACAAGTCTCTAGTGGTCTCCAGGGCCTTCAGAGGGATGGGGGTGTGGACGAGAGGGGACGTGCCTGAGACTTGCCACTGCCCGCGTTCCCGATGACAAACACCGAGTGCCGCACTTGGAGCAGCTCCTCAAGCTGCACGACCTTCAGGACAAAGCTGTCTTCCGCCTGCAGCTTGAGCTCCACGATGCTCTGCTTGATGATCTGGGGGGGGGGCGCACACGGGAGGGGGTGCTGGGCACACGTGTCGGGGCCGGGCAGTGTCCGGGAGGGGGCTCACGGGAGGCATGGTGGGGGAGCGGTGGCCTCTGGGGTGGACGTGTCCCCCATGCTGCCGGTGACGCTGCTGAGCCTCTGTGCAGGGGATGGGTTCGCCGAAGGCCCCCGGCCCCCGGGACCCCGAGCCCCCCACCCCAGCGTCGAAAGAGGTGCAGGCCAGGGGTCGGTCTTTCGTGGCTTCGGGGCTGCCCGACGCGGCCCTCCCGGCCCAGGGCTGCACCCGCCGGGGACGTGCCCACCCGACCGAGGGCCCGGCTGGCCCTACCTTTTCAAAGTTCAGGTCGCGTTTCCGAGGCACGTCCAGGGCGGGGAAGAGGTCCCCGATCAGCCCCATGAACACCGGCAGGTCGTCGGTCACGATCTTGGGGATGTTGAAGTCTCTGAGCGCCCTCATGAGCACCTGGTCCTCGGCGCGGCTGGGGTCGCCTCTCTTCAGGGAGCCGGCCACCACCAGCACGGACTTGATGGCCCGCAGGCCCCAGTCGTAATGGTCCTGGGGAGGGCGGGGGGGCGCGCCGTGAGGCCTTCCCACGCGGGCTGCGGTGGAGGTGGGGGCCCAGCCGCGCACCCCGAGGGCACCCCCCCCGCCCGTCCCCCTGCAGGTGCGGACACCGCCCTCGGCGCACACCTGCTTGGACAGGAGCTCTTTGCACAGGGTATAGAGCGTGATGAACTTCCTGGCCAGCAGGCGGGCTTCCAGAAAGCCCTCGGCCACCAGCATGATCTCGCATATGAGCTCAAAGTCGGGGACGACCATGGCGCAGGGCCTGGGGGAGACAGCGGCTCTGTCTCGGGCTTCCCCCGCCCCCTCCCTCCATCCTGCCTCTCCTCAGCTGGGTGCACGCCTCCCCTGCCAGGAGGCCCACGGCGCCCGCATTCTGGGGGCACCGGCCGGTCCCCAGCACCCTGGGCCCTCTCCACCTCCTTTTGTTCCTCCTTGCCCTCTGCCCTCCTGCACCTGCTCTGCTCACTCTCCACCGATGGGCCCCCCTGCCCTCCACCCCCAGGGGCAGGAACCCCCCGACCCAGGAGCCTCGTGTCCCCCCGGCCTCCTCCCTGGCGCCCGGCTCGCTCAGGCTTAGCCTCCCCTCTGCCCACACACCTGAACAAGGCCTTTAGGTTTTCGGGCAACTCGGTGCGCCCCGCGTACCCGGGGTTCATGGTGATGAAGAGCCCCACGGTGGGGATGAGACTTATCATCTCTCCCAGGAAACTGAAAGTTTTTTTCTTGGCCCGAATTGCATCTTGGACACATTTCACCTAAATGGGGGCACACAGACGCGTCAGTGCGGGAATGACCAGCTTCCGCAGGCCGGACCTTCGTTGGTGGTGGAGCGTGTGGCTGCCTGGCACCTCTTTCTTTTCCATTAAACTTAATCTTGAGACAAGGTTGACTCGCGCGCAGTTTTAGGCAGTCACCGAGGGGAGGCCCCTGGGCCCCTGGCGTGCCCCCTGCCCGCGTCCCCTGGGAGCAACGTCCTGCACGACTGCAATGCAGTTTCACGGGCGGGACCGGGGTGCTGCCGTCACTGCCAGGACCCCTCAGGTCCCCTTCCATTGTCGTGCCCACTTCCCCTGCCCCCCACCCACCCCCACGGCCACTGCTCTGCCCCAAATTCCTGTAATTCTCCGCTTTGTGGATGCTGCTGTGGGGGGTCCTGCAGGACACCATGTGAGATGAGCCCCATCACCCAGCTGGAGGCCGGGGAGGGTCCCGCTCCTGCACCGGGAGGGCCGCGGGGAGCACCCCCGAGCCGCCCCCCGTATGTGTATGTCCGACCGTCTTCAAGAACTCGGGCACTGGGTGAATTCTGAATCTCGGGCTCCTTGGCCCAACTGGATCCTCCGCTCCCGCTGGGCGCTGCCAGCCTGCGGCCACCACTGGAGGGCGCCCCACGACCACGGTTAAAGCCCGCCCTGGGCGCAAAGTCTGCGTGTGAGCAGGATCCCCCCCTGCGGCAGGGGGCACGGGCTGTCCCCCACCCGAGACCAGGTCCCCCAAGCCCACGGGCATATCCCCTCCCTCCCTGTCCTCCCAGCACCGCTGTCTCATGCATCCTTCGCCGACACCTGTCGCAAGGATCTCCGTCCTTGCCCTGCGAGGAGGAGTAACGGTCCCGCGCCCGCAGCGGCGACATCCAGGCTGCGGCATCCGATTCCCCTGCGTGCCCGCCCAGCTCTGGGCCCCCCGAGGACAGGGCTGGGGTGGGGCTCTCACGTCTGTGCCACACCACCCCTCACGGCACGGCGCGCCGGGGACCGCAGACCACGGGACCCTACCTGCACGGCGATCACCGACAAGACTTCCACGGAGATTCGGTTAAACTCATCGAAGCAGCCCCAGGCTCCAGTCTGAGCCAGGCCCTTGTAGATGTTTCCACAGGACTAGGAAGGGTGAGATGGGAGGAAGGGGCTCGGAGGGCCGGCCGGGTCCCGCCAGGAGCCCCACCTGCCCCTTCGGCTGGGTCACAGTTCACGGTCTGCTGACCGAGGGTCAGGCCGGCGCCCACTCCCTGGGGGGTGTTCGTGCCGCCGGGGGCTGGCTGCCAGGAGGAGCCCAGCCTTGCCCCGGGACCCCTCTGGGTGGGGGCCTCCCTGGCCCCCGAGCTGGACGGTCGGACAAGTGCATTTGTGTAAAATTAGGAACTTTTCTCGTGCAAGCAGGGAGGGGCCTTCTCTCTAAGATGGGGGTGGGGTGGGCGTGCATGTGAGATTTCCTTCTAGACGTTTGTGTGGTCTCCAGTCCTCAGCTGGGCGATGAGGATTCTCCAGCGTCTCCATGGGGGAGTCCAGGTGGGTAAAGTCCTCCTGGGATGATTTTCTGAACATCAGAGGCTGGTGTGGTCTGTGGTCTTGACCCGGAGGAGGGGCAGCTGGCCCCACCTCAGCCTCAGGGGGCCTGGGCCATGGGGCTCACATGAGGGCGGGGAGGGGACGCGAGGCCTCCTGCAGGCCCGGGTTCCTGACCCCAGGCCCACCCCCCGCCCTCCCACGGAGGCTGCCCTGTGGACCCCAGGAGCCCCCGTGACACCACGCTGCACGGTCTCCAGGGGCCACCGGGGCCTGGCCTGTCCCCTGGCTCCCTCCGCAGCCTGCCTGGACTCGCTTGCACCCAGAAGCCCCACACCGGACACCACAGAGGTGTTTGTGCTCACTCTGTCCCTGGAGAGAGTGTGGAACGGGCGCTGGGAGGAGGCTACCTCCAAGGGCGGGACAGGACATTCGGGGCTGGGTTCGTGGACCCTGGGAGCTGCTTCTAGACACATTGTCACGTCCATGAGGCCCCAGCTTCCCGGGGGCCCCAGACCGCTGGCAGGGACATAGCCGCTCAGCCGGACCCCAGGGCGGACACCGGCTGCAAACTGATGCCTCCTGCCCCAGGTCACCTGGTGTCCAGGCGTCTAGAACACGCCACATACAGCACCCCTGCCCCCGGGTGGGGCGTACCTTGTAGTCCATCTGCTCTGAGCAGTTGAAGACGTACACCATGGTGCCCAGGGCCCTGCCCAGATCCTTGGTCGTCTCCGTCTTGCCCGTCCCGGCAGGGCCAGCGGGGGCTCCCCCCATGATCAGGTGCAGCGACTGGGTCAAGGTTATGTAGCACCTGCGAGGGGCCTCTGATTATCCCGTGTGCGCGGACCCCACGGCCACCCCTTCCCTTCCACGCGCGCTGCGTGGACATCACACCCACGGGGCGCCAGGGAGGCACGGGGGGGGCGGGCTGCGGGAGTACGTGAGGTGGATTCAGGAGACAGCACCCCCGCGGCGCCGGCCCCCAGAGAGGCTGAGCAACTCCCCACGACCACACCGCTAGTGTCGGGGTGACGCAAGAACATGGCACCGGGGCCGGGTGCCTGGCAGGGGCAGGGGGGAGTCTGGACGCGGGCCTCCCGACCCCCCTGGCCAAGGCGGCCGGCGCGTGCCCTCGCCTGTCTGTGAGCGGCGTGATGACCAGCCGCGGCGTGTTGCCCAGGTACTCGTACGAGTACTGGATTTGGGCATCACAGATGTTGGCAAAGCAGTGCCTCTTCTCTTCGTCCCAGCGGTGCCGGAGCTGGGACTGCCAGGTGAAGGCCTGCGCGCTCTCCACCTGCGGGCGGGGCGGGAGCGTGGGAGCCAGACCCGGGGCAGCCCTCCTCATCCGCCCTCCCGCCTGCCTGCTCACCAGGGCTGAGTCTTGGAGAGGGCCGGGGCCAGGGCCGGGGCCATGGCTGTCGCCAGGAACTCAGTCGCCTCCCAGGGGAGAGGCCCCCACGCGGGTTAGGGTCCCCCCCAACGCCAGATCCCGACCCGGTTCCCAGCCCTTCCCGGGGGCTCGTGCCTTGGCCGTGATCATTTTGGCGACCACGTCCCGGGCGTGCACGTCGATGGTGCAGATGGTCATGATCTTCATCCTGTCGCCCGCACTGAGGTTTCCGATGAGCAGGGTGATGAGCGCGTTTAGCTGGTTGATCTGAGGAGCAGCGGCACCTTGGCTGGGACGTCAGGTGCAGCAGGCGACACGCCCCCACCGCCCCCGCCCCCGCCCCCACCCCCACGCGGGACCCTGGAAGCTCAGGGCTGGGCAGGAAGACCCTCACCCTCTCGTTTACAAAAATGAGGCACACAACAGGTTCTCAGCATCCCCCAACGGGGGGGGGTGTGAGCTGCCGAGCCGCCCCCATGGGACACCTGGGAGCCTGTGGGGACGACAGCGTGTGGGAAAAGCTGCCACCACGGGAAGGTGGTGGGTGTGAAGCAAAACGGGATTTGAAAGCCACGTGGGTAGTTTGTATTTGCGTTTGGGTCAATGGTACATGCACACGGGTTAGAAGCCTACGTGACGGTGTGACAGTGGTCGTATCTGGGTGGTGGCATTACGCGTGACTTTTCCTTCCTTAGTATTTCCAGAGCGGTTGCCTTCGGGCAGAACCACCCGGGGGGCGGGGGGTGGGGGGGCGATTGCCAAGATCCGGCCGCTCTGGACCCTCGGACAGGAAGCGCCGCAACCCCAAGGCCCAGCGGCAGAGAGGAGGCCTCTGTGGGCCGAGCCCGCGACACGCGCCGCACCGCGCACCTGCTTCTTGTTGTAATCCTTGATGGCGTTCTCATAGCCTTCCTCCAGCCTCGCGAACGCCAGGCCCACCTCCGTGGTCCACCAGATCTGGGTGCACGTGAGCGCGACCTGAAACAGACAGGCGCCACCTCCCACGCGACAGTCCCCACCGGCGGCGCGTGGCTGCTCTCCGACGCGGCCGCCCCCGCCCAGCCCCGCACCTGCGCCGGGTAATCGAAGATCCACTGCTCCCTCGGCTTTTCCTCGTACGTCACGACGGCTTCCGGAATCTCGTGGCGCAGCGTGGCGCACATGCGGTCCAGCACGCGGTTCAGCCAGACTTCCACCTGGGGACGGGAGCCACACTGACGCCACCGGCCCCGAGCGCCGCCGTTTGCCCTCGCTGTCGTCCCCGGGGTCGAAGGGTCAGGGTTTTCGTGGAGCAGTAAGAGCCACCCACTGGAAAATGCGGTTGGGCAGCCGGGCGGTGGCCCTCACGACCTGTCCCGCCGGCGTTCACGTGTGCAGCGCTATAGTTCTAGGCGGACAAGGGAGGGGACCCAGAGAAAATTCTAGAAGAGAAGACAGGCTACGTCGGAGCCCCTGAGGCGCTGCTGACGTTGGGAGACGCGGCGTCTGTCCTCTCGAGTCCCCGGCGGGTTCTGGGCTGCTCCTCGGGTGCCTGGTGTCAGCATCCGGGACGGTCACGCGGGGACGAACTTGCAGACCAGCCGCCTTTGTATTTTAAAATACGAACCCTCAGCTAGTCACTACCGGTTGGGGGACAAGCCAAGCACGGTAACCGGCTTGGTTTTTCTTTTCAGCTGCGAACACAGTGCGGTGGCCTGCGGTGGCGTCTGCAGGGAGCTAAGCGCGGGGAGCGGGTCTCGACACACGGCGATGACGGGGCTCGTCCCGGCGCCCACCAGCCCCGTCCACGCAGAGCAAACCAGCCCGGAGCTCTCGGTGCCCACGCTTCTGAAGCTCGAGTTTTCTGCATGAGATTTTCCTTTTGTCCCCAGCTGACTTCTCTCCAAATTACATGTCGCTTAGGATAATGTCAACGTCGGGGCACCTGGGTGGCTCAGCGCTTGATCCTGGGTCCCGGGATCAAGTCCCCCATTGGGGTCCTCTCGGAGAACCCGCTTCTCCCTCTGCCTGTGTCTCTCATGAATAAATAGGTTAAAATCTTTTTTTTTTTTAAAGGATAAAAGGATAATGTCAAAGTCGATTTGGCTGCTGAGTTGGTGGTGAGATGGGGAGAGGTGTCGCGGGGATGGTGTCGGCGGCAGGAGGCAGCCTCACAGGCAGCTGGGGAAGGGACAGGGGCGGCGGCTTGGGGTGAGGAGACCTCTCTGGTAAGTCAGAGCCCTAAATAAAGCCCGTAATTCTGAACAGGGGTTAGAACTCGGTGGTTCCTTGGCAAGGGTGCAGCGGCCTCCGCCCCTCCCCTCCTTCTCTCTCCGTGCTTTTCTCAAGACTCGGCCCAGACCGCGCGGGTCACGCTGTGCTGGAAATTCTATACGGAAGCTGTCCAGGCGCTTGTCGGATCGAGGGACAGTCATGGGCTGGGGCGGCCGCGGCGACACCCCCGCCAGAGCACGAGTGGCTTCCTCCGACAGCCGCTGCGCGGTCGCCCACTGTCCGATCACCCTGGACGTGCCCCCGGCACTCACCTGCCCTGAGAGGTCACACTCCTGGTCGAAGTCCACATACTCGTCCTCCTTGCTGAACATCCCCAGGCCGAACTTGAGAGGCTTCTCCTCCTCGTCCAGGCGAAACTTGAGTTTACACAAGCTGTCGAAGAGCTTGGCCAGGTGGCGGCTCACCTGGGGAGGGGCGGGGGGGGGGGCGCCGGGTCTGTAACCCCGGGCTCAGAGGGGGCGTGCGGCTGGCTTTTCCTTGGGCGGTTTTAAGGGTCTTTCTGTCCCAGGCCCTGGGCCTGTTTCCCTGGGCCACCCCGTGCATCCCTCCTGGTGCGTCCTGCAAGTTTATGATTCAAATAAAATAGTGTCTTCCCTTCGCCTAGTTCGTTAACCCCTCTCTCTTTTCAGCAGAGCCTCCTCTTGGCTTCTGGGGCCCTGGATCTGTGGGTGCATCACCAAGCCCCTGGCATCTAACCCATTTTCCAGATGAGGAAAACGAGGCACGGAGGCTCTCTGTCATGGCGGGACCCCCGGTGGTTTCTGGCGTGGATGACCCTGTGGAGGTGGTACAGGGACATCCATGCACACGCCTCCCACCAGCCAGGGCTAGCCAGACATCTGCTCATCTGGGGGTGAGCACGGGGCCACCTGGCGGGGGGCCGGGGCGTCCTATCCTTCAAAATACCAGGGGCCACCTACCTCCACAGGGTCATTTCCATTGGAGAGGATGTCCAGGAGGTCAGCCGAGGAGACAAAGTAGAACCTCGGGAAAGCCAGTCTTTTGGTCTCTAAATACTCCGCCAAGGCCTTTTCGCACACAGCCAAGCTAGGAGGAGGGAGGAACCGAGGCTGTCCAGGCCTTCTGCAGCCCATCCTGCCTGCGCTGGGCGACAGCCCTGGAGGCACCTGTCTGTTGTTCACAGCCCCGGTTTAATTCAGACCTTCGAATCTGACACGCCGTGCGGGCATCCCTCTGAGGCTGGAGACACACTGTGTGGCCAGTGTGACACCTCGTGGCCCAGAGCACAAGCTCCCAGGGAGGAGAGTTTGCCCTGTCCTGGGTGGCGGGGGCTGATGGCTCAGGTCCCTGCTGCCAGGACCCATCTCACCTGGACAGGTGTGGGGACCCACCTTTTCTTCAGGTTCTCAAGTTTGTCGTAGAGACCGGGTTTGTTGGTGGCTTCTACCACGTTGGGCGTTTTCACCGCCTCTTCCATCAGGGCCTGGAAGGAGCCAGGCCCCCCAGGGTGTTAGTGGCCGTGTTTTCTCTGGCGTAGTAGCCATTTCTGAAAATGCCCAGGGGGAGGGAGAAGGCTCCGCTCACCTTGAACTCCAGGTCAATGTCGTCAAAGCGCTTGGAGTCCTCCGGTAGCTGGGCACGGATGTCTTCAGAACCGATGAAGATGCTCTCCAGGTGGCTCCAGGTCCTCTGGACCTCAAACCAGATGGAGATGACTGAGTCCGCCGTGGACAGCTTCTGCTGCCAGCTTGTCACCTCCTTCAGGAAGTGGGACAGGTACTTGGACATCATCAGGTTCTGCAGCTGCACCTGGTTGTCCTCCAGAGTCTCCACCAGCACCTCGTCTGACTTGAGCATCATGGTGCCCGTGCGTGGGTGTGGCTCATGCTCAAACTCCATGGTGGACCACGTGGCATCTAGGGCTTTCAGCACCTTTCGGGGGACACGGAAACTACGTCACTCGGCGTCTGGCATGAAGGGCTGAGAAGGACCCGGAATGAAGCCCTGCTTTCAGAAAACCAGAACATTCATACCAACACCATCGACAATTGCCAAAAGGTGGAAACGACCCAAATGTCCGTCAACAGATGAACAGAAAGAATGGACGGGTCATCAGAATACAGTTCGGCCATAAAAAGGAATGAAGTTCTGATTCAGGCTCCCACCTGGATGGACCTTGACGACATTACGCCGCATGAAGGAAGCCAGATAGGCAAGGCCATCTCTTGTGTGATTCCATTTATATGAAATGTCCAGAATCGGCAAGTCCGTAGGGACAGAAAAGGTTAGTGGGTGCCTGGAGGTGGGATGGGGATATATGGGAAGATGGCGGGTTTCTAGAGGGAATGGCTTGCCTTTTGAGTTGGTGAAAATGCTCTCACATTGAATAATTCTACCCTGTGATGGTCGCTCACATCTGTGAATATGCTAAAAGCCACTGAATTGGACACGTTAAATGAATGAACCATATGGTATGTGAATTACAGCTCAATCAGGCTGTTAAAAAAAAAAAAGCAGGGGGCGGGGGGGGGGGGTGGAGAAGAAAGCCAAAATGTGATGACTCACACTCACCAAACAGGTGAGGGGAGAGACTTGAATTGCAGAAGGAGCCCTCCCGTGTTTCCCTGCGTCCTGAGACTGCCCCAGCCGGTGGCGCATCATCCACCCTGATGGCCAGTCCTCCTGCCTTCCCTCCTTCAGCCTCTTCTCCAAAGTCACAAACAAGGGTGCCCCACGAGAGGAGAGAGTTTGGGGCGTTTTTAAATGTGCGAACGACTGCACACAGGGGACAGGGCCATAGCCAGGGGGGTATATTCCTTTTTTCAGTAATAAATTCTGGAACTACTTTACAAGATTTCTGTCATGGTTTAGTTACGAGAAAGTCCACTGATCTTTGTTTTTGCGTTAAGTGACCACCGGACCCTACAAGAAATGAGATGCTCATAGGTGCTGGGCTCATGGGTTCACTTCAGCATCATCCCATACAGAACACATTTGGGTGTCGATAAAAAAAAAACAAAACAGAAAACCTTTTCCATCCCAGACTCTTTCACAGCCTTGTCAACGATATTTCGGACCTCGTCCTCATATTTGTGAAGGTTCAGCTGCAGCAAATCTGCCAGCGTGGTCTCATCTGACATTTCAAATTTCACCTGGGGGAGACATAGGCATGTTCATGTAAGGTCATTTGTGCTGGACACTGTCTTTGTCCTTGGTGGAGAGGCCGGTTAGTGAGTAATCCGGGTCACAAGGGGGGCTCTGCGTCACCCTTTACTGGCTCCATGACTTGGGTGAGTTACTCCCCTAAGACTCGCCTTTCCTCCTGGTAACACTGTGTAATAGTAGAGCCCACCTGTAGTGGTTTGAAGTGTTTCTCCCAAATTCCTGTCCACCCAGACCTCAGACTGTGATCTTATTTGGAAATAGGGTCTTTAAAAAAAAAAAAAAAAGGAAATAGGGTCTTTGCAGATATTAAGGATCTTGAGATGAGCGCTCCTGGATCGTCTGCGTGCGCCCTAAATGACAGCAGTCCTTGTAAGAGAAGGGGGGGGGCGCACGGATTTGAAATGCAGAAAGCCATGTGGTCGCCGAGACAGCGTCTGGAGGGAAACTGCCACAAGCCAAGGGATGCCCGGGGCCACCACAGGCTGGAGGAGGCAGGGAAGGACTGTCCCCAGGAGCCTTCGGAGGGAGGGACCCCTGCCCACACCTTGATTTCAGACTTCCAGCCACAGAGCCATTAAAGAAAACACGTCTGTGGTTTAAGACCCGAGATCGTGGTTCTCTGTAGCGGCAGCCCCAGATGCTAATGCGCCCGCTCAGGAATTAACGCTCCCGACGCTGTGTTCATAGCGGGCACGGCTGACCAGGTGCTGGCATAGTGCCTCCCAGTCCTCACACCCCTTCCTCACTCCCTCGCCTATATTCTCGCTGTCACGTAGACGTTTCCGAGCACCGGTCCTGAGCCCCCGCGGAAACTGGCTTAACTAACTGATACAATCGAGCGTCTCTCAATCACACTGGGGAGAACACCTGCCCGGGTTTCACTAAGTCCTCGGCTGGGACACTTTAGTTGCTTCCTGATCACCAGCTGGGGGGGGGGGTCCTCTCCCGGGGCGCCCCGGTGGGACACATGGGTTGGCCAGCGGTCTGGAAAAGCTGTGGTCTCAGTACTCAGGACTGCAGACAGCCCTTCTGTTTGTCTTGTGTTCCTCTCTCCCAAGGTTCAAGCCACACTCCACATGCTCCTGAAGCCTCCTCTAAACCCTCAGGATCCCTGCCGAATACCCCACCGGGCATCCCGAACATGATCGCACGTGCTGCGCTTTCCTCTGCTTCCCTCCCTCTTTGTATCCTTGGCACCTGTGTGGGGCCTCTGCGCTGTTCAATAAAGTTTTGTTCAACGTTTACTGACGGTGGGGAGTGTTCCTATTTGCCTCCTAGGGCTGTTGATGCCAGGAACACCCCCCTCATTAGGGGATACTCCTGGGAAAATTTGGGCACTAGGGCTCTGTACCCCTGGGGTGCATGGGGGAGGCCAGGGGAGATGTTCATCCAAGCCAAAATTCCTGAACCCTACGGACAGTCCATCTACAACCGAAACTGGCTACATAATTTGTGAGGCCCAGTGCAAAATGAAAAAAATGGGGCTCTTTGTTAAAAAAAAAAAAAACTATTAAGGATTGGGCACCTGGGTGGCTCAGTCGGTTAAGCATCTGACTTTATTTTTTTTATTTTTTTTTTTAATTTTTTTTTGTTTTATTTATTTATGATAGGCACACAGTGAGAGAGAGAGAGGCAGAGACACAGGCAGAGGGAGAAGCAGGCTCCATGCACCGGGAGCCCGACGTGGGATTCGATCCCGGGTCTCCAGGATCGTGCCCTGGGCCAAAGGCAGGCACTAAACCGCTGCGCCACCCAGGGATCCCCAAGCATCTGACTTTAGCTCAGGTCCTGATCTCAGGGTCCTGGGATTAAGCCCCACATTGGACTCCCTGCTCAGTGGGGAGTCTGCTTCTCCCTCTGCCACCGCTCCCCCATGCTCAGGTTCTCTCTCAAATAAATAAAATCTTAAAAAATTATGAAGAATTTCCAGATGGCTACAGCAGAGCATTCTACCCAGCGTGGGGGCCTTATGGGCACTGCGCCCCAAGGGGCAGCCGCCCCAGCTCACAGGCGCCCGAAGCCAGCCTCGCCCGCACCCAGCTTCATCAGCCAAGGGCCAGCCCATCGCGGTACCTGGGTGGCCTGCATGAGCTGCTGCCAGTGGCGGTCCCGGATGGCGGGGTTCTGCAGCTCGCTCACGGCGCGCAGGGATGTGATCATGTTCTTTACGGTGTTGTCCAGCCCTATGAAGGCGTCCCAGCTCTTCATCTCCTTGTCCAGAGACCTCACGTCCTTGGCGAACTTCTTACAATCTATGTCCATCTGCTCCACGTTAATATTTTTCCACTGGGTGGTCTTCCAGTGATCGATGCTGGTGTTCACCTGAGGTGGAAACACTCACTGAGGGCCTGGGGGAGACATCCGTGTCACCTGACTGCCGCGGCTCCTGGCGGGTACAGGGAACCACTAACAGCGGGTGGTAGGGTGCATGGACACAAGCCAGGAAAGCCCGGCCGTAAAGCTACAACTCAGAAGCCAGCCGGTCAAATACGTTTTGGCCGACCCCGTGGAGGGCGCCACTACTGCTCACCAGCACCCAGGCCCCCCTACTCCTTGGTGAGGCCATGGGACCCGCCTCGACCAGGGAAACCAGAGTGATGCCTGGCACTTCGGGGCGGAAGCACGTAATTGCCAGTGCTTGACCCAGAGCTCTGCCCGCCTTGGCAGTCGTGGGAACGCGTGTGGCTCCACAGCCTGGAACGCAGAGGCACCCAAGGGCTGCGTGGAACCAGCGTGTGTGGACTTTGCATGAAAGAGAAATACGCTTCTGCTGTTAGCTACACGGAGGTTCTCTCAGGGCTGTTTGTCGGTGCGGAGTAGCCTCGCTCATACTGACTGATGGTGAGTTTTTCTACTAGAAAAAAACTCAAAGACACAGAATCTCCCCGGGAAGAGCCCTACGGACAGTGGAGACAGACGACCACAAAGCCTGCAGTCTTCCGTTTGGTGCGGGCTGAGAATGGACGTGGGCCTGGGATGGACGGGGTGAGATCGTTGGCGCAGGTGCTTGAGGCCCGAGGCCTGGGCTGGCCAAGCGTACTTGCTCCGTAAAGACAAAGAGGTGCGGGTGTTTACAGGACACCTGCCTTGAAGACGCTAAGACACGAAACCTTAACCGCCCCGTAGGCATTGAATCAGCGGCTCTTTTGGGGTTAAGCTTATTCTCTATCCTGTTATCATAAAAGTGTCCTGGGCAGTTTGTTTTGGAGGATCCTCCGTGAAATATTCCGGCGGTAAATGCTTACGGCTACACCTCCTGGGAAATGTGGGGGCTTTATTCCCTAGTCCGGGCGGACCGCTGTTTATCAAGGGGATGGGCAGCCCCCGTCCTCTCTGGCTTTGCCGACTGCGTCCCGGAATGTCCCTCCTACGCAAGAGACTCCAGTTCAGCTAATTGTGGGAAAGTCAGCGTCAAGAGGCTCCACTGTGTCCTCTCTCGTTAGGAGCGATTGTAACGGAGCCCGTGGCCCCAGGGACTGCGAGGCTCAGTGTGGCCAGAAGGAAGACGTTTTCAATATTTTACTGTGATTTACTGGAAAATAAGACGTGCGGGCAGCCTGGACGACCCCGTGAGAGCAGCTCTCCCCAGATTAGCTCACAGAGGAGAGCCGGTTCCGGACGAAGCCACGGTGGGCTTCTGTTGGGGGGCGGGGGTGGACAGAGATTCTGAAGTTCCTTCAAGAGAATAAGAGGGAAGAGCTAACATTTCTCCGAAAATGGGGGAGCCGGGAGGAGAGGCCGGCCGGAGCCAGCAGGTGTTCGTGCGCTACCCTGGCGTCCAAGAAGAGGGGGCGCCTCCGTCAGCTGCACTGCGGCGTCCTAGCGGCCGGGGGATGCTGGGAGCACCTCCTCTGGCCCACCCCGCCCACCCCGGGCCCGCCGTCCCCGCCGTGCCCCTCACCATGACGATCATGTCCCAGAGCTCCTTCAGCAGGCGGACCTCTTTGTGACAAGCCTTGAGCTGCCTGTAGTCTGGGACCGTGACTTCGAACAGGCTCCCGGACTTGCACAGGGCTTCCATGGTGCTCTCCATGGACGCGATGCTCTTTTGTTGCTGGAGGCAGGCGAGGGGGGCAGTCAAGAGCGGGGCTCGCGCTCAGTGCCGGAGCTGTGCCCCGACCCCGGGCACCGCCCAGGAGCAGCTGTCCTCCTGGCGGGGGACGCAGCAGCACCCTCTCCCTCCCGCCGTCGCCTGCCCCTGCATCCGGCTGCGTGGCCAGGCCCTCCGGCTTTGGGAGTTCAGGCACCAGAAGTGACTTTCACGGACCCTGCACCAATGCCCGATTTCCTCCTGAGAGGTTCGAGATCGCTCCATTCCCACCTCCTGGTTGTTTTTTTGTTTTTTTTTTTTTTTTACATTATTAAGCATTATGTAGGTGATGCATGATTGCGTTGAAAATGAGAACAGTCTAGATAAGAGGAGGGAAGCAAGGGTCACTCCGAAGCAGGTGAGTGGAGCAGGTGCTTCGGCGTGGAGCGGGTGAGTGTCTGCGTGGATGCGCAGGTGGCTCCCCGCGGGTGCGGGCAGCTCCCAGAGGCCTTTCCACGCACGGGCCTGATCATAAACAAGCTCACGCCGGGTCTCTTCAGAATCCAGCCCGGGGCCCAAGGGCTCCGGGGAGGCCGCTCACCCCCCAACTGGGCTCGGGGGTGCGATGTGAGATAACGACCCTGAAAAGCAGGGAGGGTCTTCGGAAACAGCGGCTTCAAAGCCATGCGGGGAGCGGAGGCCGGGGGGGGGCACGTGTGGGTGACCCCAAGGGCACCGGGGTCTTTGTGCTCCTCCGTCGGAGGCCGCGGGCCCGAGCCCGAGGGGCCGTCAGGCCCAGCCCATGGCACCTGCATGTTGGATGCTGGTTGTGGACATGGCAGCAGGAGCAGAGGGGGACCTGGCGGGGCTCGGCCACGGGCACACGGTGGCCAGGGAGGGAAGACGACAGGTGAGTGCCAAGCGGGGCATGACGGGGCCGGGGCGGGCCGAGGTACGGCGGGGGCCTCGCGGGCCGGGACGCCAGGGCTGGCGCGGACACCGGGCACTTGCAGGGCCCCAAGGCCAGGAACGGGAGCCTGGGGCAGGGCTGGGAGGGCGCCGCGCCCTTGGGTGACGCACCTTATTGAGGGACTTGTAGGGGTCGGGGTCCGTGAAGCTGAACGGGGCCTCTCGCCGGAACTTCTCCCTGAACTCGTGCTGCTTGAGCTGCCGGAGAAGTGCTGGGTCACCCCCGCCCTGGGATCCGGTGCGGCCACCCGGAGGGGCCCCCACCCCCGGGGCTGCGCTACCTCGAACTGCTGGCACTTCCGCCTCAGGATGTTGACCTCGTTGGCCTGCAGCGGCGCCACGTTCTGCTTCACCTGGATGGCCAGCTTCTTGGTGTTGGTCCACTGCTCCGGCAGCTCCTGCGGGGACGCACAGGGACCCTTCCCTTGTCCGTTCTGTTTTTTTTTTTTTTTTTTTAATTTTTATTTATTTATGATAGTCACAGAGAGAGAAAGAGAGAGAGGTAGAGACACAGGCAGAGAGAGAAGCAGGCTCCATGCACCGGGAGCCCGATGTGGGACTCGATCCCGAGTCTCCAGGATCGCGCCCTGGGCCAAAGGCAGGCGCCAAACCGCTGCGCCACCCAGGGATCCCCCTTGTCCGTTCTTTAACGAACTTTCTGTCATGAAGTATTACGACTCGCGGGGAGTCGCAAAAATAGCACACGGGGTCCCGTGTGGCCCCCCCAGCATCCCCGGGGCGGCGCCTTCTGTAGCTGCCGCTGGACCTCTGAACCGGGAAACCCGCCTCGGCACGTCTCTGTGAACCAGACGGCAAATTGTCCGTTTTCACCCTGTTTTAACCTGATTCCTGTGCACCTGTATGCGTGTGTTTGCGTATGTTAGATGTCCATGTTGTACACGCATGTTTGTGCAGCGTGCGCGTGCACATTAGTATGGTATGCACACATACCTGCACATGCATGTGTCGCGTGTGTATGATTGTAAGATGTTCACGTGCGTGTGCAGGTGTCTTATCGCACGTACACATTTGTGTGTGTGCATGCACACGTGCATACACGAGTAGCACACGCATGTACTTACACGTGCATGTTGTATGCATGTGCAGGTGTATCACACGTGCATGTTTGTGTGTGGGCATGCACACATGTGTACACGAGTAGCACGCACATATACTTGCACGTGCATGTGTCACATGCGTGTGATTGTAGTGTGTGCGGTGTCGTATGCATGTGCAGGTGTATCACATGTGCATGTTTGTGCGTGTGTGTGCATGCACATGCACGAGTAGTGTGCACACGTTTGCACTTGCATATGTCCATGTTGTGCGCATGTTAGAACACGTGCGTGTGCAGGTGTCGTCCTAGGTGATTTTATCCTGTGTGTAAGTCCCTGTCATCACGTCCACAGTCCACACACAGCGCAGCACTTGGCTGTAAGGAAACTGCCGCGCCTTGTCCATCTGCACCCGCCCTGGGCCCAGGTTCTAACCTGTTCCCCATTTCTATGATTTTGCCGTTTCAAGGATGGCTTTGACAATCAGATGAACTTTGGTTCTCTTTTTAAGTTCTCCACGTTTGAGCAGATATTGGACTTTTGATCATAAAATATTTTGAAGAAAAAGAATCCCAGGCCATGAATTCTTCTCCCACAAAAGATTCGTGTTTCCCTCTCCTCTACCATCAGCTAACCCTCTGTGGGCGGCGGTACCCCTCAAGGCCCATTTCACACCAGTCGCCCCTGGGCCGGGCCACATGCACTTCACATCCACGCCCTCCGCTGGTCCCTGGGCAGGGTGACAGGGCGGCCACCAGCTCCGTGACAGGCTGCAAACTCCGCTGTCTCCAAAGCAGGTCCCCAGGTTCGCCTCCCGCCCCTCTGCCCCCGCCCCACACCCCCGCCACCCCATCTGCCCCAGGGTCCCGGCCCAGATCCAGAGCAGGGCGGAGAGCAGAGAAAGGGGGTGGCGGGCGGGGGCTTCAGGACCCTGCGTTAGCTGTGACGGGCGGGCAAAGGCAGCCTGGAGCCCTCGTCCTGCCCAGCTTGCTTGGTCAGCCCGCCACTCGGACCTTCCGGTCGGGGAGTTCCCGCAGCAGCCGGCCCCTGCCCGGCCCAGGGCCTCCACTGACCCTGCTCTCTGTCCCGGTCCCCTGCACCCCGGGTGGGCCCGTCCTCGGGCCGTGGGGTGTGAAGGCCTTGGTAATCCAACAATTCAATGGTGGAGCCACCGGCTCGCCGTCCCTTCCTTTGCAGGAACCTGCACCCCTGCTGCGAGGGGGCCCCCAGCACTGGGCACCCCCTCTACCTCCCGGCACTGGGCTGCTTCCTGCCCCCCACCCTGGACCGCATCCCACTGTCCCCCAACCATGGGCTGCCTCCCCCAACCTTCCCTGGAAGTTTCCCTGGCACTGAGCTGACTTCCCTCCACCTTCCCTGGGTGTCCCCCTCCACCCTCCCACACTGGGCTACTCCCTTCTCCCCTGCCCCGCCTGCTCTGGATGGCATTCCCCTGCCTCCCAACACTAGGCTGCTCCCTTACCCCCACCCCCTGGACGGCAGCCTCCACCGTCCCCCAACACTGGGCTGCTCCCTTACCCCCCACCCCCTGGATGGCACCCCCATTGTCCCCCAACACTGGGCTGCTCCCCACCCCCTACCCCCTGGATGGCACCCCCCACCATCCCCCAACACTCGACTGCTCCCCGCCCCTGCCCTGGACGGTGTGGCGCCGGCCGCTGCCCACCTGCAGCTTCAGGTGTGTCTCCTCCGGGATCTCCTCCCCGTAGGTCTTAAGCAGCTCGATGGTTTGCTTCAGGGGCTCAAACATGTTGTCGGTGGCCGCCTGCCTCTCCTTGACCTTCATCAGATGCCCCATCACCTCCACGAGACCGTCGTAATCCCCCTCCTTGAGGGTCTTGGTTAAGCCCGTCCTGGTGACTTTCATGAAGGCTTCTAGGTCGGCCAGGCTGTGGAGCGAGAGGCCCTGGTGAGGGTGTCACCCTCCATGGTGGGGGCGCGTGGTGAGGCAGCCCTGGTCGGGGGAGGCGGCCGGCACGGGGGCTCCCCGGTTACGCTGCGAGCCCTGCTGAGCAAGGGAGAGCTCCCGTCCGCCTCAGGACACCTGCTCTTGACCCCCGCCCTATGCCCCAAGCTCCACCCACTGGCCTCCCCGCCGGCACTCCCCGGGGCCTGTGCCCCCACGGCCCCGACCGCACGGTCACTGGTCCACGGGCGGCGTGTCGGGCTGCCTTGCCACCGCCAGGACCCCAGGCACGGAGATGCTCGACGAGCAGGTGTCCCACTCACAGCCAGGTGACCCTTGCCCCCTGGGACCTACCCTCCATGCGGGGCGGGGAGCTGCCGGCCTCTACACCTGGCCTTCACCCCAGGCCCGCCCGGGAGGAGCGCCCCACCGACACCATGAAGGCCTGTTTCTCCGGCTCTCCTCAGCCGAGGTCAAGGTCAGGGCGGCGGCAGGAAGGGCCACGTCCCGGCACCCACCTGCTGATGACGTGGTTGCTCAGGTGTCGCTTGAACATGAAGCTCCAGCGCTTGATGGTGTTGAGGAGCACCTGCTTGAAGGGGCGGCAGTCGCACTGAAGCCAACCGTTGAACACCTTGGTGTTCTCACACCTGGACACTTCCTCGTACAGCTTCTCGTAGGAATTGATCTGGAAAACAGAGCCGCTGCTCACCGTCAGGCGGCGGGGACCCCCGCGCCCCAGCAGCCCATCCCCAGCTCCGGCAATCTGAAGAATAGGCCAGAAGCCCGAGGTGACCGCGGTCAGGGCGACGCCAGGGCATCTCACGTTCTGCCAGCCGCCCCCCACCCCGGGCGTCGTCTCCCTGTGGGTGGGTGGCTCCTGCTCATGGGCGCCTCTCCCCCCGTGCGTGGGGAGGGGGGCTGTGCGTGCGAGGTACTTGTTTTCTTGTGTCCTATCTGTCCGACACTCGGGCGCCTGGGGCCTTGCTGCCCCTGGTGGGACGGCCTCTCCCAGGGCTGGGAGAGAGACCCCCTCGGGGGCCTGCCTTTCATCCACAGACTAACCCCGAGCCTGCTCCCCAACCACCCTGTCCTAATCCCCCAGGGCCCGGGACCAGGCACCGAGGGGCCACCCCTACACCCAGGAGCCCACCGACAGGATTCCCACTAGCTGGTCCTTCCTTTCCTGTGGAAACCACAATGCGGGCTGTGGATCCCACCTTCCTGCCCCTCTGTCCCTCTGTCCCTCTGCCATCCCCCGAGGGAATGACCCTGGGCCATCCCCCGAGGCCCCGTGGGGACGTGGCATGCCCCCTCCTCCTGGACCCTGGGAGTCCCAAGCTCTCTCCCATGGCAGTCCCTTGCCCTGCTGGGAGGCGCCAGACCAGAATAATGATAAAACCCACATTTAAAAACCATGTCCCCAAGGTTTGAATCGAGCCCAGGGAGCACCCCCCGGCCCCCCGGGAAGCCCGCACACGCACCTGCTGCTGGAACTGGGTCAGGTTGGGCGGCGTCTTGGGGACGGCCTCTTGGGCGCGGTGGTCCAAGTCCTCGGGGGCGACCGCGCGCCCGTAGACCAGGAAGTGCTTCATGAACTCCTGGGGGTCGTCGGTCCAGAGGTAGGAGTACCGCTCGAAGGAGTCCTGGTACTCCTCGGCCTCCTTCATGGCGCTGATGACCAGGTTGGACATCTCCTCCCGCATCTCTATGAGGTCCGTCATGTCCTCCAGGTCTGCCTGCGAGGGGGCAGGGGAGAGGCACGCAGGTGAGCCAGCGTCTTGCCTGGGGAACCGGCTTCGACCCGAACTCTGCACCCCGGAGGGCGGCCCTCTGCCCCGCGGAGGCGCTGCTAACCTCTCAAGGTGGAAAACCGAGCCATTTGCCGCTTTGCCGGGCTCTCCCGTGAGATTATCTGGGAGGTGGCTTTGGCCCCGCCGACCCCGGGGTGGCTCACACACCACTCGCACACCGACTCGCTCGTGCGGGAGTAACTTAGCACCTGCTGTGAGCACGCAAAGGGGTGGGCACTGGCCACGTGGGGGGTGACGGTCCAGGCATGGGGCCAGACGTTCCTCAAACAGTCACCGACGCCGAGCTTTGCTTTAACGTGTAGCTGGCGGGAGGTCGGGGAGTGTTCCCCGAGGAACCATTGTCCTGGGAACCCCCGGACGGGTGGGCAAAGAGCAAGAGAAGCAGCAAAGCACATGCAAAGGCCCTGCGCTGGGAGGGAGCAGGTGCTCGAGGACCTCAGGGAAGCTGCTGTGAGCGGCTAGAGCAGGGAACAGGGAAGGCCTGATCTGGACAGAATCTTGAATTTCGAGCCACAGAAAACCCGACCCAAGTTGGCTTATGCAACAAGGCAACTCAATGACTCATGAAACTGGAGAGTCTCGAGGTGTGGGGGCGTGTGTGTTAATTATGGCTTTTATTTTCTATATCTTAAGCTGCCTTGACGTCTTAAAAGCTCGTGCTGGCTGGGGAGACCCTGCCCGTCTGGGGACTAGCCCATCCTGAAGGAGAGAAGGGCCCCGAAGGGCGCATACCCTTCACCTGCACACCAGCCTGCCCTGGGTCTACACCCCCACCCCACCTCCTTTATCAGACACTCCCAGCAGGTGACCCCGGAGCCCAGAGTCGCCGACATTGATGCCAACTGGCTAGTCCTCAGCTGTTTCCCCTGCTGGCCCTGCCTTTCTTGTGGATGCCCCCCCCCCCACCTCCGTGAAAGGCTCCGGCCTGGGCTTTCCCTTCACCGCACCCCTGCACCTGCCGTGACCCCTGCAGCCCTGCCCTGCTTGCCAGGCCTCTTGATCCTACGGGAGCAGCAGTAACTTCTCTCCCGATGGCACTGGCCTCTCCACACTGGCACCAGTCACCTCCGCAGATTAAGACCCCAAAGACACAAACTAGACTGGAGAAGGGGGCCGTGTGTGCAGGCTGGGGTACGGCCTGGTCAGTGGACCCTTCTCCTGCTTAGCTCTAACCTCCTCCACGTGTGTCTTCACCAGCAGGTGCATACCCTCGGAGCCCGCAGCAGGTGCAGGAGCTCCAGACGCCGGAGCACACCGGGTCCCACGTCCATCCCTGAGCTGATCTCCGGTGACAAGCTCTATTCTGGACCCTGGAACGCTTGGTCGAGGCACATCCCCTTTGTGTGGCCACGAAGTCCTCAAGCCATTGCCTTTGCCTGACGCCATCTGCCTGGAAATCCCTTCCCACCCTGTAAGACCCAAACTCAGCTCCTCTGGGAAGCGGTCCTTGACGCTGGGGCATATTTCCTCTGTGCACTCAGCTCATCACGTGCTTGCACAAACACACATGCACACACGTGTGCACATGTACCTTCTTCCCTGAGAGCACAGAGCCTCCTGCTGTAAGTACCGATTGCAAATAATTCATGCCTGTTATCACAAACCTCAAGCAGCGCAGAAGTGTTTGAAATAAAAACCCCTGGCACCCCCTTGTCCCTGCCGGCTCCCTCCTCACCCCCATCCTGCTTCCAGACGTGAGCGGTCCTCACGGTTAGGAGCGTATCTAGAGAAAGTCAGATTTCTGTTCGTTTCAATGAATGAAACCGTCTTCTAAACGTCGTTCTCTGACTTGATGGACACTCAACAGCCTGCCGCCAGCCCTTCCCACCCCTGCCTCGTCCAGATGCCCCCGGACGGATGGGCCAGAGGCTGCTGAACGCTCCCCTGCTGGATGGCACTTTGGTCCCTTCCAGTTTTTGTTTCACTCTTGCACAAACCGTGCTCTGGCACACACACGCCTCCTCAGGCCTCCCTTCAGGGGAGGCAGCCCTTCCTACGCCTTCCGCGTCCGAGGACCTGCTCTGTGTTTTGCTGAGGTTGTTTACTGCGTCCACGGTACCTGGACGCACAAGCCAGCGAAGGCCCGTTTGCCAAAATGCCCGCGTGCCGAGGGGACCACAGCGTTGAACTTGCAGAAGCAAGCGCGATGCCAGGGACGGGGGCTAAGAGCGCACCCTCGCCATCCGGCTGGGGCGGGGACGCGTCCACGGGAAAGAAAACCATGCCGACCGGGGAGTTGCCCCTCTGGGGAGGGGAACGCAGCCTGTCATCCTGGGGACCTCGTCACACGTCACACGCTCGGAACCATCAGCACGTAAAATGTAAATGACCGGGCGCCGCTGAGTTGGGAAGAAGCCGCAACAAGGGAGCCACCACCCGTGTCGCGCGGGCCCCGACTCACCTTGTAGCCCACCCGGCCCTTGGCCAGCCGGGGTATGAGCTTGGCTGCATTGTAGATGTCGTTGATCAGGCCCTCGATCAGCCTCAGGAAGCCATGGTCCGCGCCCACCTCCAGGGACGGATGGAAGACCAGCCCTTTCTCGCCCAGCTCCATGCAGACCTCAAACAGCGGCGCGACGCTCTCCTGAAACAGGCCGGCCCGGGGTCAACGCCCCGAGTTTGGTGGAACCCCTCCCGGGGCCCTGATGTCGTCTCGGGGGACCCCAGGGCCGCCCCATGCAAGCTTCAGGGAACCGCGCTCGTGCCGCAGGGCCCAGAGCAGGCCGGGCACTTGGCCCCCGGATTCCCCGGGTACGTGAAATGAGGATCATGGTTTTATAGAACTGAGCCCCGGGGTTGCTGTGAGGACTCAGCGCGTGGGAGGCGCGGGGGTGCCAGCCGGCTCACCCCCAGGCATGGGCAGCCCTGCCGTGTGCCGTGGGGTCACAGCTGCTCCGGAGAGCACCACCCTCACGTCCACGGTGCTAGGCGGCTCCCCCACGAGCGTCTTAGCCGCATGACTCATTGACAGGAAGACAATTTCACCGTAAAAGATGAAATAACCGGTCGATGACCGGTCTGGTTCCGTGTCTCCACTGACGAAGTTCTCGGAGGTGCCGGCGATGAGGACCGGGTTATATCAATCCCAGCTCGCCCTCGTGGTGGACGATGGCGGGTCACGGCTAGGTGCGTGGGCTCGACGGACAAGACCGGGTGCAGCCGGGTTGCACGCGAGACGATCCTGGAAGCTGAGAACGCGTCGGCCACCATGCAACAAGCCTCGGTGACAGAAGCGTGACGGAGTCAGCCTTCTCTCGTTATTTCCCATAGAACGTTGGGTGTCGGTGGACGTACACATGACAACATGCCAGGGAGGAACGTGTGGACGCGGTCATGGCACAGTACCGGGCTCAGTTACCAATTTGCACTCTTGCATTTGGAAAACGGACACTTCTCTTCATGAAGGAAGAAATTGATATTAATTTTTTCATGTTTCGTCGTGATCTTTTTAGTGTCTCTCTCTTATGTTTTATTTTCATGGCAAAATTGCCTTGCAGGCCAATTAGTTGAGCCCCTAAAATGGCTGGAGCTGGACAGGAAGCAGCCTGGCTTCCGCTGTGCTCCGGAAAGGACAAACGCTCACGTCCACGGGAGGATCCCATTCGTAAAGCAGGTGCTCACTGTAACCCTGTCTGTCCCTGGAGCCCCCTCGCGAGGCTGCGAGGCTGAGGGTGCCCGCCACATTTGTCAGGTGACCTGGGGGAGGTTAGCCCAACACACCGGTGATCCTCAAAGTATGGGCCGAGGCCCACAAGTGGCCATGAGATCCACTCCACAGCTGTTCATCTTCCAAACGTAGTCCCATGACGGCCCTGTGGGCGGGTGACTCAAGAACCCGCTGGTTTTCTCTGTGACCAAGGGATGGTGTTTCCTAGTGGCCAAGTGAATTGCTAACTGGTACAGAAGGTCAAAAAAAAAAAAAAAAAAAAAAGGAAGGTCAATGGTCACTAACTCAGATGACCAGCCTTTTCTAAAGCCTCTCACTCAGGGGTCTGCTCCTGCTGCTGGGCCACTTGCAGATATGGGGACTCTCCGGGATTTTTGGGAGAACGACATTTTGTCATCAGGACATCCGTCATGTTTTGATTGCGACCGATTAACTAGTAATGACTTAACTTGCTGACACTTCGCATCATTGTGGGCTGCTTGGTGAACCTTATAGTCGGTAGTAATGATGACTTTCATCCGCAGAATTTCGGGTCTGTGCTCATCTGGTGTCACGTGAGCTGGGCTCAGACATGAATCATCCATCCTCTGCAGCTTGTACAAGGGCATCCTGCTGTCCTCCCCACCATCCTTCCTGCGGGTGCGCTAGGTGGGATGGGGGACCTTTGATCTTCTCCTACTGGCAGTATTCAAAATCATTTGGGAATTATCGTAATGGGAAAGACACGGGGGGGGGGCAAGGATGAGGCCCCACCCCCATGGAAAATGCTGGAGAATGCCAGGATGAAATTAACCAGCACAGCCTCTTTGCTGACCACGCTGAACGCTTCCACGGACCCCTCGGAGGGCCGAGTAGGTTAGTAGCTGATGCTGCTGACGGGAGGGTACCCCTGCCCCATCTACTTGGGTAGCAAACACTGCCCCGGGTCAACAAGGTAGGACCGTTAGGTATCCTATGGCCTATTTATGGTACGGCAGATTTAAGGTGACCTGATGTCCTGAGTGCTGGGACCTAAAGAGGGTCCTGGGATACAGGACTTTCAGTTTCAAAGCCAAGGCAGGTAGTTCACCTTCTGCAGGTTCCAACGGCTGTTTATTTGTAACAGGATAGCCTGGTCTTTCATCAGGAAACTGTAAACTATAGATTCCAAGGGAGACCTTATAACACCGTTTTTATAGCACAAATCTATGAGTATCTTATACTTATAACTCACATCCAGGACCATGTTGTCTATGAAGTAATTCAGAGACTTGTGGATGAAATGGTCATACTCGTCCAGGACCATGCCGTCGACATAGTTGACATAGTCTTTCCAGGACTGGCTGGTCGTATCTGCTCTGAAGAGTTCAGCATTTTCCTGCAAATAGGACCACACGGCTGGCTGCCATTTCACGGGCTCACCCGTTCACTCTTTAACCAGCTCACTTGGCGACTCTGGGACGCTCTTGTCCCTGTTCACCTACTCCAGACACACACAACTGCTTTTTTGCGTCTCGAATATGCCAGATGTTTTCCTGCATTAGGCTCTTTGCATAGGCTTCTCCCTCCCATTCTGGCCACATCTAGCTTCTTCTAGGTTTCAGCCCAGATGTCACCTCCCCACAAAGGAAAGCCCTCCTTCACAACCTCCCATTCATCTCAGATTTGACTTCTGTCCCTGCTTCTCACCTGTATTCCCTCTAGCAATCCATTATTTGTGCCTACCATGGCATGGATGACAACCTTGACTGCCTTTATGTATGTGTGTCTAGTCTGTATCTCCTCTTGATGCCAAGCCATATGAGGATAGGGGTTGATTGTCCTTTCCACTATTGTGCCTTATGCATACAGCAGGATGCCTGGGACAAAGCAGGAGCGAGGGAATGGATGGATAGGTGGGTGGCATGATGAGTGGATGGATGGATGGATGGATGGATGGATGGGTGGATGGATGGATGAATGAATTTCTAGATAGGAGGACAGATGGATGGATGGGGGTGGATAGGTAGATGAATGGATAGATGTGTGGATGAAAGAATAGATGGAGGAATGGATAGATGGACAGATGGGTGAATGGATTTATGGATAGGAGGATAGATGGATGGATGAGTGGATAGATGTGTGGATGGACGTATGGATGGATGGATGGATATGTGGATGGGAGGATAGATAAATCTTTAAGACACTGAGTGCCATAGGGAACAAAACGATGAATATGACCCAGTTCACACCCTCAAGCAATTATGTTCTAAGAGGGGAAAGAAGACACAGACCTAAATAACTTCAGCGTAAGGTAGAAAGAAATGGTTCAAATGACTATCGTATGCATAGAAGACTCTGGCAACTATGACAACAAAGCCTTGTCTTGTCGGCTTGCTCGCCTCCACTTCTCCTAGGTTCCTGCCCGCTGCTGCCCTGGCTCTCCGCCTGTCTTGTTGCTGCGCTGTGAACCCTTCTCCTACCCTGGCCAACACCCATTTCCAACACATCTGAGAGTGTTGCAGATTAATTGGTTAATTCTTCCAAGTCATGTTTGCAGTTTAACATCTTAAACTTAAGGTCTTAGTGAGACCTTCTGGCACACAGCAGAGGGGAAAGGAAGAGGATCTGAGAACGAGAAAATATTTTGATCCAGTCAAGTCACCCCATTAGGGTAATGACCTTCCAAGCAATGGCTTGACCATGAGAACAGCCAACCATAGACCCTCCACCCAGTGGGGCCCACAGGCTGTCTGGGGTGACGATCCATCATTTAAGTCCCTATCCATGATTTTGTACCAAGCACTGGGAAACCCCCAGAAAACTGAAAATATCTTGAGCTCAAGGGAGAATTTTCTCTTTTTCAGGCCAGTGCAGAGCTCCACCTTTTACATTTGCCTCAGAAATAAGCTAACATGCGAGCTAGAAAGAAACGGCTGCCAAGTGAGGAAGGCATGAGAACCCCCACGCTGGCAGGAACCCAGGCAGTGCTTCCAGGGGCGCCCGGTGACCATCCTGCCTCCTCCCTCAGAACGAGGCAGCACGTCCCTCAGAGTGAGGCCCATGGCGGTTGAGGCTGTTGGCAGAAAGGGACAACCTATGTTCTCGGGAGTGCAACGTGTGTGCTCGCACCGCACCCTGATTTAAACGTGTTGGCACCCATGCACCACGTACACACGTTCGTTCCACGTTCCTCCTCACGCTCATGATGGGAGACCCTGAAGGACTCCGGGTACACACTCAGTGCCCGCCTCACACAGTGCTTCTCAGGGAAACAAGACGTGTTGACCTCGTACAAAGATGTCACTTGTCCGTACTGCTCTGTGCAGGGTAGGGGGTGCCGACCCCTTAGCACAGAGGAGGGCGGGACTCATTGCAAGAGGAATCTGGCTAACAAGTGTACGTTTAGGATAGTCTGCTTCTTGAAAATAAGACTCCCAGACTAGAGATCGTAGCCTTCTATGACCCTAACGTCATTCTTATGGCATCTCTGGCTCTCCCTCTTCTACCAAGAGTGAGTGGCCTGTCGGAGGCCCCTCTGGCTGAGTCCTCACCGCGACCATGGCTTGGATCTTCAGGCCAGCGTCCTTGACCGCAGTGTAGCGCTTGTTAGAATTGACGACCCTCCCCTCCAAGTCCAGCAGGGCTTCCTTCTTGTTGTCCTTCCTCTCAAACATCGGGTTGGCCGACCAGTCCTGTCAGGAAAAGGGGGGAGTGAGGAAAACACGGGGGGAGGAAAATGCCTGTGGTCTCCCGGCTTCGCCCCATGCTCGTCAGTATGAAAGTCCTTGTCCCTCGGAGAGGCCTGGGAGCCCCTGAGGGATTGCCAGGCACCTCCAAACCAGTCAGGGGCTCGGGGCAGCGAGGAGACCACTGGGAGGCTTTACCCAACTAGCCCAGAGGAGTCACCCTGGGGTCAGGGCTGTATGGGCAGAGCTGGGCCGAGCGTCCTTAGCTCCAAATAGCAGGTCCAGTGGGGATGAGTCCCTTTTGCGGGGGCAACTGACTTGTTGTTGGGGCAGGGAGGTGCGGGGAATGGGAATGGGGGGCTCTGGCCCTCCTGCAACTGGGAGTCCTGCTGCAAGGATGCTAGTCATCTATAATTATGATTTTGCTTTTACTCAATTATCCAATAATTAGATTTTTTTTTAATCTTAAATTTTCATCAGAGTGATACACATATGGCAATGAAACCCATAGCAGGTTCTGGACAAAACGTGTGGCCCCTTGGCCCCATCCCTCTCCATCCCACTGCCCTGTTCCCCAGTGGGAACTTCAGCTCTACCCCCGATAGCTGTCCGCAGTGCCCTAGAAGGTTTGTGGGACTCTGTGTTGGATTTAGCCACATCCAGACCATCTTGAGCCTCTGGTTGTGAACGACAGGGCTTAGCTCACCTGCCTCCCTCCTCTGCCCAGTATCTGATAATTATATATACCTATTTTTTTTTTTTAAATTACTTACTTCAGGTCTAAAGGACTGATTTGAATTGTCTTCTTTAAAAATTTCTTGATTTTCTCACTCAGCTAAGGAGCTACCTACGGTCTTGTTTTGCTGTTGACTTTTGGATGGAGTAACCCATGGGAGGGCCTGTGCCTGGGAGGGCCAGGGTTCCTCCAGACTTCACCCCTGCAGCCGAAGGCTGAGTGAGCTGGCCCGGCATCCACCCCTCGCCCTTCGGCCCTGCGGCAGCTTCTGAAAGGAGGTACGGAGGAGATGGCGAGGGGCCAGGGCCGAGAGGCCGGCGTGATTACACTCCCCGTACCTGGGATTGATGTGGGAGGTGGTCAGGGCCAGCCAGACAAGGGCACGAGGGTGAGGCCCCCACAATGGGATTAGTGTCCTTACAGGAAAAGGCAGAGACTAAACTCTGTCTCCACCACGTGAGGCCACAGTGAGAAGGTGAGCATCCGCAAGCCAGGAAGCGGCCCTCGCCGTGAGCCCGCCTCTGGAGCTGGGAGCCGTCTAAGCCTGCGGCGTCAGGTGGCAGCAGCCAGGCACACCAGGACAGCGAGCCCGGGCCCTGGCCTCCCCTCCTTCAGGGCGTCTTTGCTGCTCTGACGCGGAGGGCGAGCCACGTCAGCACGCATGGCTAGCCCCAGCGGCCTGAGCCCGTGGCAGCGTCACTCCTCCCGTCCTCGTGGGCCCCGTGGCGAACGTGGAGACCGTGAGTTCCCGACGGGGATACGCGCGAGCGAGTGAACGAGTGCAGAAGGTGCCCACTCACGAACTGGGCAAATACGGCCCATTTCACACCTAACCAGGTCCAGGGGACAGTGACAGGAGGGGGCTCACATCTGGACACAGCACGGTGGCGTTTCTGAGCCCTGAGGGCAATGAGAAACTTGACGCCGTGTCTCCAGAGAGAGCAGGGGCGCCCACGGGACAGCCACTCCGCCCCTTGCCTTGTCAACGTGAGGCTACAAGACGGGGACCGTGATGGCTGATTGTGTCCCTCAGATTCCCAGGGGGAGGCCCTGACCCCCAGCACCAAGGCCTGTATTTGGAGATGGGTTTTTAAAGAGGCGATTGAATTAAAATGGGGTCACTAGGGCGGGCCCAAAGCCAATCTTGTGGGTGCCCTTATAAGGAGAGGAGCTCAGGACACAGACGCGTACAGAGGATGTACGTCTGTCCACATGAGGACACGGGGAGGAGACGGCCGTCTGCGAGCCCCGGAGAGAGGCGTCCGGAGAACTAGCCCGGAAGGCTCCCCCTATCTCGGAGGTCCAGCCTCCAGGACTGTGAGCAGATACAGCTCTGTTGTTTTAGCGTCCGGGTTGGTGGGCTTCGTCGGGGCAGCCCGAGCTCACTAGAGATGTTTCTAGACCATCGAAAGGAAAGGACCATATCCAGACATCCTTCGCCTGGGCGGGATGGCTGTCAGCGAGGTGAAGTCAAGACACACAAGCAAGGACCCAGACAGTATGTCATCAATGCACACTTCCTGCCTGCAGACACATCCTGGGGAGATGTTCTATTCAAATGACATCCGAATCAGGAAAAATAAACAGTGAGGGGCAATGATCCTTGCCTACGGTTTACGGAATACACCTGAGTGGACGGCGGTGAGGTGAGCGTGAGCCACAATGCAGAAAAGGGGGCTCACACTGTGACAAGGCAGAGGAGGTTCGAACCCAATGACGGCCTGAGTCGGAAACGTGAGAATCTCCCGGCTCAGAGGTTGGCGGGGCGGAGAGGGGGTGGGGTGCAAGGCCGCGTGACCTGAGGTCCCACGGGGGGTGCCGCGGTGGGCGTTGTCATTATTTCACCTTGATATCGTGATATCGTGATGGAGAAACACAGCCTACACGTGGCTGTTTCGAACAAAAAGTGGAGCCACATAGTAGACCTTGAAAACTAACGAAGCGGGGAGAGTTAAAACTCGCCCTGGGACGTGTTCCGGGGACGCCTCTGCGCATCAGGGCCTTGATGACAGACCGTGGGGAGGCTAGTGTAGGGCATCCCCCCCCCCAAAACCCCGTTTTCTGGATTGGACTTGAGTGGAAGTCGCCTCGGTGCTTCACAGAGCGGGGCTGAGCCTCCGTACACCCGCCCGCCCCTTGCTCCCGGTGCCCGCCTGGCACAGAGGGGACCCCGCGAGCACTCTTGCTGAGCTCAACAGAATGGAGCAGAACTGACCTCTGCGGGCCGGCCCGGGACTTCGCTGCCCTGGACCACCTCTACATGGCCGTGTGGTCCAGAGCCTCAGACAGCAAGTTCCCGCTGCCTTTGGCCCTTCCTATGAGCTTCTCCGCGTGGTCCCTTTACCCAGGGACCCTCTCCTGGGCCTCGGATTAAGCCCCGCTCGGTGCCTTGCCGCTTACTCACTTTCATGGCCTGAGAAATCCCATCTATATTTTGCTTTGCTTTTTGTATCCTGTTCTGCAAGTTGTGGAGGATTTCTCGCATCTCTTGAATATATTCTAACACACCTAAAATGTAAACATAAAGGTGGTGGTGAGATGAGCGTGAGCCACAATGCAGAAAAGGGAGGTTCACACTGTGACAAACCAGAGGAGCTCTGAACCCAATGACGGCCTGAGTCGGAAACGGTAAGAATCTCCCGGCTCAGAGGTTGGCGGGGCGGAGAGGGGGGTGGTGCAAGGCGGCGTGACCTGAGGTCCCACGGGGGTGCCGCGGTGGGCAGTAACTGCTGGGGCGTTGTCGTTACTTAAACCTTGATATATGGGTGGAGGAACGCAGCCTACAAAGGTCTTACAGAAGGAACCATTCAGTAAGAGGAACACTTCTCCTGCGCTGGCTGAGTGCTCATCGTGACACGAGGGCGCTGGGAAAACACGTCTCCCGCTCATCGAGAGCTCCCTGGATGCCACGTTGAGGAGCAACGCCCATGGTGTGTCTTTGGAAGCAGGACTGGCCTCTCCCCATACAGGTGGGTCATTCGTTCCACCCGGGGACCCTGCACCCCATGCGCCCCTGCCCCTCCCACCGCCAGCAGAGGCCCTGGTGGCACTTGAGCGTAGTGACTAGTCTGGGCCGAAGCGGCTGGAAAGAGGGGTGCCCTTGGGCGGCGGTGAGAAGAAGCACAGGCTTCTCTGCGCACAAAGTCCAGGCCGACCCTGGCTTCAGGGAGGTGGACAGTCCACGTTCTCATGGAGACAGTAGAGGCAGGACATGGCTGCAGAGGGCCAAAAGGACGGCACAAGGCAGGTCGCAGGGGAGAGCCCTGGTGGTGGTGCCCACTGAGGTGGGTCCAGGGGTGAAGGAGGTTGGGGAGAGGGGTCTGCTGCCTCACGGGCACACGTCTTTCTGCTTCTCTGACGTCTACCCTGGGACCGCCCTCCGTACCTGCGTGGGGAACCACCGCGAAGCCCCAGGCCCCACAAGCTCCCCGTGGAGCCTTTGGGACCCTGAGAGATCCCCCAAGGGGACTTTGCCGGATTCCTTTCCTAAGTGACACAGATGGTCTCCTTGGGACAAGGGCAAGCAGGTGGAACTATCCTTTGGCCTTAAACATAACCCCGCTGCAGTCAAAGCGGCAGAAGCAGCCACTCGCGAGGGTCAGAGGACAGACGCTGGACGGGTTGGACCCCCCACCCGCCCTCCCCACCCTCCCAAGGGGAGCCTACAGGTGAGACGAATGTGGCTTTGGTACCTTCGCTGTTCCAGAAGAGCGTGGTTTCAGCACGCGATAATTTGACATCGGTTGCTTCCAGTTCTGACTTTATTAGTGGGAGCTCCACATCCGTCAACGTGGTCTTTATCTGAAACACAAAGGCCGGGCTTCAAGGCCTCTGTTCCAAATCCCACCAGATTTAAAACGGTCTCACGGTAAGGGTCTTATCACTCGGTGCCAACCAAACCAATTACAATTAGTGTCATTTAATGGGGAATTACGTAGAGATCAAATTCCAGGCGATTTCAACTTGTAAGACTATTTTTGTCACCAAGGATTTACGCATACACGTAACTCTTCGTTACCCACGGTACGGGGCAGAGACGGAAGGAAAGGTGATAACGGGACGACCAGGGAGTGCACAATCCCAAACTGTTTTTATCTGGCTTAGAATCCTATAAAGAAACAGACGCAGGTAAACTGGAGCACGCCTGGGCTCAGAATCTCTCCTTGGTCACGAATCCAAAATGTGCATTTTGGTTACCTACAGGAGATGCGGGGTCTGCAGGGAAGCTGTTCGAGTCGTGAGCAGATCGGAGCGACAGAACAGGGTCTACAGTCTTGATACGGTCCTACCCTGCTCTAAGAAATTAGTTTAGGGATCCCTGGGTGGCGCAGCGGTTTGGCGCCTGCCTTTGGCCCAGGGCGCGATCCTGGAGACCCGGGATCGAATCCACGTCGGGCTCCTGGTGCATGGAGCCTGCTTCTCCCTCTGCCTGTGTCTCTGCCTCTCTGTCTCTCTCTGTAACTATCATAAACAAATAAAAAAATTTAAAAAAAATTTAAATCACAAGCACCATTTAAGTTCTGGAATCTCCATCTGGAAAATTTTTGAAATTTTATTTATTTATTCATGAGAAGCAGAGAGCGAGGCAGAGACACGGGCAGAGGGAGAAGCAGGCTCCAAGCAGGGAGCCTGATGCGGGACTCGATCCCGGGACCCCAGGATCACGCCCTGGGCTGAAGGTAGATGCTCAACCCGCTGAGCCACCCGGGAGTCCCTCTATTTAGCGATATTTTAGTTTTGCATAACTTTTCGAGGACACTCCTACTCTCGAAAGTGAGGGATACATGTAGAACTAGATGCCCGCCACCTGGCATACCTTCCACACACCTGGTGCTTCCACGGGGAGCCCTGCGGACCTCTGCCCTCAAGTGTTTCCGGTGGTTTGCCCTCCAAGTGGGTGGTCCAGGGCAGAGAAATAAAGCTTAAGAGCTTGTCGCCAGGAGCAACCGGACAGAAATAAGAGAAGGCATCCGCGGGGATCACGGAGCGAGTGAACGTGGAGTGTCGGTTCTTCTCATCGGAGCTTAGATACTAAACCGCGGTCTCCCCCGTCCTTGGTACCCTTGCCTGGAGACGGTGTGTCAGGCGAGACCGTTTCATGACGCGCCTCTTTGGTACGTTTAGGAACTAACTCCTGGGAATGGAGTCGCGGGGGGAGCCCTTTCGACAGAACCTAGGGAGCTGGGCGAGGGGGCTGAGCCCCTGGTGGCGCGCGGAGACGGCAGGTGCGTCCGGGGCCAGCCCGGCCGGGAGCGCTCGCCCACGAACGACGCGGACGCTCGGGGACTCGGGGAGCCCACTCATTCATTGCCTATTCCCCCCCCCGCCCCCCGTGACGGCCCAGATGAGTAGTTGAATGTCACTGTCGCGCTGTAATGGCCCGAGTAACCGAAGCTCGCGGTGAGGAGATTCACGCCGTAACCTGTGCGTCCTGTGTGCCTTGTACCGGCCGAGGTTGTGAACTCACATCTTCAGGGCACTGTCCGCGGGGAGCACACGCGGGTGCTCCCACGGACCCCGCAGTGCATTCCTCGAGGCACCACGGCTCCCCCCCTGCTCCGACGCTGTGAGACGTGAGCGAGCCCCGTTGCACTACTTTCCCCTGGCTCGCCGCCGCCGGGAGCCTGATGCTCTGGGAGGAGCCCGTGGACACTCGTCGCAGCGCCGCGGCTGGGAGGTGCTCTGGGGCGGGCGGACGCCAAACCCTCGGAGTCTGAAGACAGTTGCTCCCAGAGAAGCCAAGTCGAGGAAATGCGCTTATGGCAGACAATGGTGTTTTGTAGTTGGCCGCGCAGATGACAGAGATTAAAATTTTATCTTGAAAAAATGAAATGAATGAAAACGAGGTGACCGTAGTTTCTACTGAACACATTTTGGGGGCGTGACGACCGTACCTTAATTGGTGGCACGGGGTAAGGAACAGATCCCGGCTCGATTCTTTGCCGGGTGTGGCGGTGGCGGGAGCCGGGTGGCCGCGATGATCTCTGGCAAACCTAACGTGATGGCGCCTCGCCTTCGGCTTTTCCAGCATGTTCTTGAAGGAGGTCCCTTCTGCCAAGGGCAGGGACTTGCTCGGGCTCCCCAGGGCCTCGCTCGCAATCCTTTGGTGATGTTCCCACTTGGCGGCATCAGATGTTGGCGGCACCAGATTCCTGGGCCCCGTCAGACACAGCTACTGGCCGCCATCCCGTCCACGACGTGTTGGGTAAGCAAGGCCTGGGTCCCAGAAGCACCTTTGGATTCACACCTTCCTGCTGTTTCCTGCTGTCACGGGAGGAAGGTGCGCGGCATGCTGTGCTCCAGTGACCGCCAGCCCAGAGGGCACCGAGCAGGGGGGCGGGCAGGGCGGCGGGTGGAGGAGCTCCCCTCCTCGGCCCCTCCTGCTGGGGCCCCTAGGAGACAGGCCAGGGGAGGCCACAGAGGCCCGGCCCTGTGGCTCAAGGGAAGAGGCCCCCAGGTCAGGAACCCGGGAGCAGAAGCATCTCTGGGACAGATCTGAGACGCGGAGCAGAAAAACGAAACATTCCTGGTCCCGGACGATTGTTTCGGGGGATCTGGGGAGCACCAGGCTGGATGCAGGTGGGGGGCGCGGGCAGGCTGGCTGCAAGAACCATCGGCCTGCTGGAGCTGGCGCAGGTCTCCTGAGGGGGTGCAGAACCTCCACAGACAGGAAAGCCTGGGACATGCGCGCGTCCAGAGGACCCACGGGGACGGGACCAGGCACGTCCACGTCCAGGCTCCTCCTCTGTGGGGGGGGGGCTCTCTGGCCGCCGGCTGCGCTCCCCGCTCCCTTCCTGCTGCAGCCTGTGCCTCTGTCCTTCCCTGTTCTTCCGCCTCCTGTGGCTCCCACGTGAAGGAGGCTGGCACCCAATTCCAGTTCCCAAGGAGAGGGACTCTTGCTGGCCCTTTCCCGGATGAGGTGGACGTGGTGGGCCCAAGGGCTCCCTGAAGACATCCGCACCCGAACCCCCAGGATGTGCAGCCAGGCAAAAGAGAGTTTTCGGGTGTGATTCGGCTGAAGACCTTGGCGCGGGGAGCTCATCCTGGATTATCGGGGGGAGAGGGGGTGGCAGTGCAATCACAAGGTCCTGAGAAGAGGGAGGCAGACACTGGGGGTGTCGGGGGGGTGGTCATCCCAAGGCGGAGCTGGGGGAGCAGTGACCTCGAGGAGGTGGGAAAAACAAGGAAGCAGAGTAGCCCAGTGGAGCGCCCGGGAGGAAGCAGCCCTGCTGACACGTCGGCGACTTTAGCAGACGGAAACAGATCTTGGCCTTCCGACCTCCGGAACTGGCAGAGAGTAAAGGCGCGCTGTCCGCTGTCCGCTGTCCGCTGTCCGCTGTCCGAAGCCCCTCAGCCCGCGGCCGGTCGTGGCAGCGGCCCCAGGGAACTCGCGCGGAGCCCACGTCCACCCTAATCCGCCGTGGCTTGGGCGGGAGTTAAGGTCCTGTGGCACCGACGGCACAAGAGGGAGCTGCGGGTGGGGTCTGCATGGAAGGGGGTGCCTGCGGCGGCCCGCGGTGGCCCCAGTCCGCTCAGCTCCCAGGGGTTCTCGTGCCAGGAAGGGGGTGCTCCGGACAGATGGCCCCGGTGCCAGGAGCGCGTGTCCCCCAGTCAGTTGCTCTTACTCAGAACCAGCTTCTTCACGATCCCCTGGGCCAGGTCCCCAGATCTAACTGAAAAGGAATTCTTTTTTTTTTCTTTTTTTTTTTTTTTTTAAAGCCTGTTCAAATGCCCAGCGTGGAGCCTGATGTGGGGCTTGAACTCACGACCCCGAGATCGAGACCCGAGCCGAGATCAAGAGTTGGATGCCCGACTGACTGAGCCACCGGGCACCCCCGAAAGGAACCTCGATCCGCAGAGCTGACGGGGACTTGGCCCCGCCCCAGGCCCTGCCCCAGGCCCCGACCCAGCCTACCTCAGGGGGCGGCTCTCTCACTGCAGCCCCTCACCGCGTGCCGCCGGGACATTTGTAACCCCGGCCGGGTTCCAGGAGATGCCCACCCTGCTACACGTGAGTGGCGTAATAGAGTGACCGATGTCACCCTGAGCAAAATACATTTAGGAGACGAAGGCCCCTCTAAGCAGTCACGGAGCCAGAACAGGAGCCGAAGTCCACCGGAAGCTTCCAGCATCGGCTGTGCTGAGTTGTCACCAGCTTTGCCGCCGCCGTGTGCAGCAGTAGTGGAGTGGCTCGCGCCACATCCCCGACGTGCAAGCGCGCTCCCTGTCCTGCCCTCGGAGGTCCTACGCTCTGAACAAAACACAAAACTTGGCAAAGGAGACAAAAAACTACATCAGCTCACCTCATTGTACCAGCCAACGATGAGTTCCAGGTTGCCCACAAACTTCCGGAAGGTTTCGTGCTGTGAGAACAGATTCTCGGCGCTGGCCGGAATCTCTTTCTGCTGCTGGAAGCCCAGGTACTTGACTTCTCTCAGAACCGCCACCAGCTAAGGCCAATCAAGACGACAGAGGAGGTGAGGGCGTGCCCCCAGTGGCATGGCACTTAGCGACGCAAGCCAAGGCCGTCACTCCCTGCTCGCTCCCCGTCCTGGGCACACGCTCTCCTCTTGGCATCCAGGACACCAGGCCCTCCCAGGCGCCGCCATCAGGCTTGCTTGACCCTGTAGGGATGTGCATGCCCGAGAGTCGCAGGGTGTCATCCCTCTGGCTCTACTGTCGCCTCAGTGGCCTCACCCCCCCCCACCCCGCCCATGGCTGTAAGAACCACCTACGCGTGGCAGACACCCAGACCCCAACCCAGACCTCTCTCCCGACCCGCAGACTCCCGAATCCGCCTGCCCGCTCAGTGCCTCCATTTGGATGTCCACGTGGCGTCTCGAGCCCGCCGTGGCCAGAGCAGAGCAGTGGGGCCCGAGGCCGGCTCTGCAGGCCACCCCCGGCTGACGGCAGGTCCGTCCTCCCAGTCGCGCAGCCCGGAAATGCTGGGGCTGGTCCCGTCTTCCTCGAAGACTCTATTTCCAACCCACCCAGAGTCTCACAGGCTCTGTGATCGAAATCCAGGAGCCCTCACACCCCCGTCGCTGCCACGCTGGCCCCGGGCCACCACCTTCTTTCTCATGGCCTCTCCCCTGAACTACGGCAGAAGGCCTGGCTGGTCTTCCCACGCCGCGCCCCCCCGCACCCCACCCCGGCCGGCCGCCCCCAGCCTGTTCACACGCAGCACCTGGAGGGACCCCCTCTGCTCCCGAACCTGCCACGGCGGCCGCGTCACTGAGCGTTTATACACCCGGGGCCCTTCCGTGGCCCTGGACGCTCTCAGTGGGGCCGTCCTTCCCCCTCCACCCCTCTCCCCTCCCACCCCAATGCTCTGCTCACCCCACTCCCACCCAGGCCCCTGCCCGTCCTACAGCCCACCGCCCCCGCCGCCCTCAAAGGCCTTTCCTCCAGCGTGCTGGCCGCCACCTCCCTGACCTCCGGGGAGTCTCGGCTCTGTGGATGCTCCTCAAGCCTGCCCCGCCCGACTCACCATCGCCTCCCAGAGTTAGGCACCTTCCCGCTGTTACACTCCTACACTCCTCTGTGCTCCCTCCCGCCCCCCTCCTCCCACCTTCCTGTGCTTCCCCCCTACCCCCCTTCCTTTCCTTCTCCTCCCCGGCCTCCTCCTCTTCCAGCAAGACGTAGGCTCCAGGACAGAGATCTTTGTCTGTCTGGTTCACTAATTTATTCCAAGCACATACACAAAGTAGGTGCTAAGTATTTGTTGAATTTTTTCTTAAAAAATAATGAATTTTAGGGGAGGAGGAGGTTTCAGAGGAAACCTGCAGTGTCACCGCGGGGGGGTTCAGAGCGGGGCAGACACATCCTTGCAGGAACCCGGGCCACCCCACCTCTGTCCTGGGTGCTCTGGCTCGGCCACCCAGGGCTCAGCCCTGGGACACAGGACGCATGCCCCGCAGCCCGCTGGGAGTTCCGTCCACCGCCCTGACTTGACCAGAGGGCCCATCTGTTCAGATCCTGCAAAGACCTTTCTTTGCGTGCTCCTGTCAATCCTCAAGTCGACGTTTCCTCTTGGGATCCGTGAAAGGCAGCCACGCTTTCAGGGAGCGTAGTCACCGGGGCTGCTTTCAGGGATGCTCCTGTCTCGTGTGTGAAATACCTCCTGGACGTGCTTTCAGCCTTAAGGACCAAAGCTGCAGCTAAATACGTCACAGACACCAGCCCCCACAAGCCCGTGCTTTGGGGGAAGGGGACCAGCCTCAGCGGCAACGGCGGGCTCTGGGCTTCTCCCGCCCGCCGCCCGCCACCTGCCGTGGGACCCTGGTCCCCGCTTGGCCCTTGACACGGACGCCTCCGGGGCTCAGTGGCGGGACGGCACCCACCGCTTTGCTGAAGTTGACTTGGATGAGGTTGGTGGCGGGGTCCCGCTGTATCAGGGGCTGCCCCAGGTTGAAGTGGCAATCCTGGTCCACGCCTGCCACCCACTGCTGGTAGGTCTTCTCCCGGTAGCGCCTCAGCAGCTCTATCATCTCGTCGTACTTCTGGTAGATCAGCTTGGCCTCCGAGCTTGACATGACCCTGGAATCGGACGGGGTGCTGAGGGGCACGCCTCTGTCGGGGCCTCTTCAAGCGCCCTACGTGTGCCCAGGCAGCCAGCGTTGTTTCCTCGGGGCTGGGAGGACCATGGCCCTCGACCTGCAGCAGCTGGGCCAGGAAGCCAAGCCATCACCTCTGTAGCCACAGGTCCCAAGGGGCCAGAACTCGGTTGCTGACTGCCAGCTTCCATCCCAGCTTAGGAGCAGCCGGAGAGAGCCAAGTAGGGGCCCAGCCCAACCACACAGGCTCCCCCCCTTCCAGCCCCCAGGCCAGCAGCGTCCAGTCAGGGCGCACCCCACCTCTGCCTGCCTTCCAGTCTCTGCCAGACGCAGTGACAGTGACAGTGGCCGCACCCCCCACCTGCCATGGCGAGCCCTGACGAAATAGCCAGTGTCCGCCCTCATTCGGGGGGTCTCTGTTACCATCCAGCAGGCTGACCGGCCAGGGCAGGGCGAGCAGCTCCTTACTGGCCGCGCTCGCTGAGAAGGCACCCAGAGGACGAGGCACACCGGACAGGGTCTCTTTGGGGATCCTGCTTTGGGAAGGACAGCCTTGGCCGACGTCAAGTGTGGGACTGGCCCTCCCGCCCTCGGGGAGTCAGGAGAGACCCTGCTCGGCTCCCGCAGCCTCAGGGGCACACTGCCCACGGGTGGCACCGCGACTCACGGGTGTTCTATGTACTTCAAGTCCCTCCTGGGCGCCTCCAGCCTCTCCTGCAGCTCCAGGCTCCACTTGAGCTGCCCGGCCACTGGCGGCATGTTTTTGTGGATCGGGGGGATGTTGCCGTCCGCAGAGGCCGCAAGCTGCGTGTCATACAAGGTCTTGGCGTTGTCCAGCTCGGTGTCAAACAGCTCCAGCATGACCGAGTACCTGGGCACCACCTCCGCAAGGATCAGGGGCCGCTCCAGGAGGCCCCCACACATATGCAGGAGCTGAGGAGAAACAAGGGACGCGCCTTCGCCAAGGTCCCACCTCCTGCCCCATCCCCAGGGTCACTCCAACTTCGTGGCTGCGGGCATGCACGCGGCCAAACTTGAGGAGCGGGAACACCTGCCCCGTCAGGACGAAGAGCCTCTAGGCCGCCGTGATTCTCATGTTGACATGTGCCGAGTCCCCAGATGCCTGGCTGCACCCCAGCACCACAAACTAGGTCCGAGGTCTGGAAACATTCTAGGCCCAGGAGAGGGGTCAGGCTGAGCAAGGTGCAGGGGAGGCGGGGACGGGGGCCCAGGTGACATGTGCCGACATAACGCCATCCCCGAGGACCAGAGGAAATCACAGAGGGAGCTGGGGAAGGTGTATAGGGCACGTCCCCAGGGGCTTGAGCCCAGGTTACCTGGGTCCCCGGGGAGTAGGACAGCCCGTGTCCCCTGTCACGCGTCCTTTCTGGGATTGGAAAGGCTGGGCCTGCAGACCTGCTGGCTGGATGCCACTGCCCTGAATTAATCCAGGAGGCGTCACAGCACATTTCTGAAAGCAGTGACCGCGGCCCAGTACCTCTGCAGGGAGCTGGCTCATCACCCCCGCAGTCTACATACGGTAAACAGTGGGAATCGTTTAAAAAATAAAAAAGCTTAGTAGAAGAGAGGAAGACACTTTGGGCGTTTCGGTTAGGGTCCCGGCTGGAATCAGAGGGAGAGTTTCCTAGAAGGTCACCGCTCCAGGTCGGGGTGCAGGGAAGCCTAGGAGCAGTGTAGGCCTGAGGCTGGGCCTGACGGGGTGAGAACCTGCAGAGAGAGTTCTGGAAGCTCCACAGCGGCCTGAGGTCATCCAAGACCCAGGCGAATGACAGCCGCCCTCCAGGCGAACGGGGATCAGTAATGCTCAGGCCACACCTGTCACAGCCCTGGTGCCTGGGGGCCCTGGACCTGGGTCTCAGATTTGCCCCAGTTTTTGGTCTGAGGGATACAACGTCCCCAAAATGGCCTTTTGGGGTAAGATTGGGACACAGCTGCAGGAAAAAATGACATCTGCAGGTCCCCGAAAGCCAGACGGGGCAGCTGGCCCGCTGGGGGAACCTGAACCGGGCGCTCCGAGCTCACCTCCACAGGGCGTGCGGGGGGCAGGTGCCGCTTGGGAGAAAAAGGTGCGTCTTGTTGGTCCCTGAGCCTCCCTACTTGTCTTCCTGTTCCCCTCCCGCCTCCTCTCCTTTTCTCATTTACATAGTTTTTGGCTCCTGGGAAGGAAGCTAATTTTATTTTCCGCCAGGAGATCATGCGGAAAATTGCTCTAGAACATTCCTGGCTGCGTGTGAATCCCCGACAGTGAGAAACGGGGGCCTCATCATCGGGGCAGCTCGGGAACTTGCAGGGAATCCAGGGGGGCTGGGAGGAGGGAGCCCCAGGGCCCGTCCTCATCAGGGCGAGCGGTCGCCAAGTGGGAGAGAAACGACAAAGCCGCGCATTTGGAGGGGACACGGTTGACAGGCACGGTTTTCTCCCTCAGTTTCCTTTCTGTTTTGTTTTGTTTCTCTTTTCAATCTAGCAAAAGCACAAAGTTAAAATTTAGGGAAGAACCTTTCCCTTTTACATGCAAAAGCCGGACTGAGGCCGTAACAGGAGAGGGGATGAGCTCGAGAGAAGGGAGAGGATGGAACCAGCACCTCTGCCCCCCCCCCAAGCTCCTGGTGGGTGGACTCCAGGCTCAGCCCTGCAGGTGCCTGGGTGGGTGGGGGGTCTTCCTCCCGGTCACCCTGCCCCTCGGCATGATGACGCCCCCCCCACTCTTCCTCACGAAGGGGACAGGACAGCCCAGCTCCCCTCCCCTGGAGGGACCGCAACACAAAGTCACAGTCCACGGGGGTGGGGGGAGGCATGGAGGCGCCCCCCTAATAGGGGGTGAGACGCACTATCCTAACCACACTGTCCTAACGGCCCGGCTCGCCTGCTCAGTTGGCTCCAGCACTGGTTTGGGAGACCCCATCACCGGGGAGGCCTGGCTGGAAACCTGTGTTCAGGGACCCTTCGGCCCTCGGGTCGCCCTTGGAGATCAGTGACCTCAGTCCAAGTCTGCTCCTCTCGCCTGGAGCCAGTTCCCTCCACGGGAAAGCTCCAAAGCACCTAGTGCGGGCTCGGCTCGGAGTGCACGCGGGTCAAGGGCCTGTCCTCGGGGCGCTCACGCTCCAGCTGGGAAGGCAATGAGCGCGCAGAGATCAACACACACGGATAAGCGGGGGGCCGGGCAGGGAGGCGCGGATGGGGGGCCTCGCCCGCAGAGGCGGCCTGAGGCAGCTACCTAGGGGGAAGGGCGTTCCGGAGACGGGAACGGCGTTGGGGTGCTCTGTTGACTCGCATCCACTGATGCTCCGCTTGGAGCGCCAACTCAATCCAAGACTTAATCGCTCTTCACATGGCGGAGTTCCAAATTCCGTCGCATTTGCATTTTTTAAAAGCCAATGTCTAAAATTTGGCAAAGGAACGTCCTGGCACCTGCGTCAGGGGATCCAGAAGGCCCACCAGCACCCCGAGCTGCCCGGGGCCAACCCGACTGCCTTCCCGCCTGGCCACCCTCGGGGGTGGTTTGGGGTCCCGGCTCCTCTGCTCACTAGCTAACCGTGTGACCCCGGGCAGGTTTCTTGATTTGTTGGGGCTGGTAAAAACGGGACGGGTAACGCCGGTACCGAGTTTAGCAAAGTGCATGGGACCCAAGATCCTGTAATAATTATCGGGTGTCTCCTGTGGGCACGGAGCTCCCTGCAGCAACCCAGACGCTTGCTAAGCGAAGGGAGGAGGCAGGGTGTCCTAGTCGACAAACACGCCTAACGATAGGCGGAAATAGAACAGCTACCCGTGTATTCACCCATTTACGTGCCCAATCCCAGTTCTCCAGGTGAGCTTAGATCAATCTGCAGAGACTCCCCGCTCCGTCGTTTGTGGGGGCAGGCAGGCCACGTGGATGCGGGAAGAAGGGGGCAGGGACACCATGGAGTGGTGGGGACGGGGGCACACGGGCCTACTCACATTCTGTCCACAGGGGCTAATGGCTCCTCCCCTTCAGCCGCTTGTTACTACAAGGGACTGTGTGTCCAATGGGGTCGGATCTATTTTTCCAAGAGGAGGTGAAAAATCTGTACTTTTATGTGAACTTTCTCAATTTTTACATGTCGGTGGCTTCATTTTTAAAAAAATTAGGGACACCTGCATGGCTCAGTCGGTGAAGCATCTGCCTTCGGCTCAGGTCATGATCCTGGGGTCCTGGGATGGAGCCCCGATCACATCAGGCTCCCTGCTCAGCGGGGAGCCTGCTTCTCCATCTCCCTCTGCTGCTCCCCCCGCTTATGCTCTCTCTCTCTCTCTCTCTCTCTCAAAAATATAGATAAGATCTTCAAAAAAATTTTAAAAGTGCCACGTGAGAGTAGGCGAGTCTGTAGAGACGAGAGTAGATTAATGGTTGCCTAAGATGGGGCTGGAAGGAAGTCCTGAGGGGTCTCTGCACAGCCCATGCCTCAGTCTATGACGCTGACAAATGGGCACAATTGCCCACGTGCTGAGCTGTCTGATGAGACTCAGATGCACACAAAACCCTGGAAAGTCCAACAGCCGTCAGGTCCAACTTCAGAGCGCTGCTATTTTGAGTAGGGGCAGGGTGCAAATTTACTATGCTCATCGTGTTTTTTCCCGTTTATTATTTAAATTAGCTGGCTTCCCTTGTGGTCATTTGTCATGGCAGCAACAGGAAACCAGCCCAGAAGCGCACATGCAGTCAGCACCTCCGGTGGCGCCAACCAGCAGTGGGGGTGGGAGCGCCCAGCTCCTCACAATCCCAACGGGCTCGGTTGGTGGCAGTCACCACCTTGCTGTTTTACCAGGGACTTTTCTGGTTGCTCTCAAGGTCAGACTTAGTCGTACTCGTGTTTTGGCCGTTTGTGTTTCTCCCCTGAATTGATATTCTCTAGGGGTTTTTAACACTTCCCAACTGTCTATTTTTTTGATCCTTTTTTAGTAGCATCATCTCCTAGGTGTAAAAGTGCTGTACGCTTAACGCTCACAACTCGGATGTGGTAGGAAAGTACACAGGAGGCAGACCAGTCCCAGCCAGCACCCTGCTGCCCAGCGGTTAATGCCGCCGCGCTGCTCATGGGGTCTCGCATGTTGAAGAGGGGGTGAATTCAGTGTAGTGGGTCAAAAAGTGCGTGTGCTTTATTTTTGCGGCAACTTTGTCTCTAACCCTGGGTCCTTTTAAGCAGTGGGAAAGCTGAATCGAGTAAGACTGGACACCTTCACTTAGTGAGAACCAGGAAAGTAACTCATCCTCATGGCCTTTTCTTATTTTACGACGACACGGCGGTGAAACCCGAGAGGAGCTGCCTGGGTGTTCCCCACGGCCAGCTCTGAGACTGAGAGAGGCTCCCGCGCCCCTTTGGGTCGGCTCCTCATCTGCAGAGGACGGCGCATCACTAGGTCAGCCCGAGGTGGGCTCTGCTGCAACAGATCGCAGCCCGCGGGCCCCTGCCCGCACCTACCTTTGCACAGGACTCGATAGAGCTACAGTCGTCAAACCCTTGGCAAAAGATGGTGGCCAGCCGCCTATCCAGGTCTTGGATTTTGGTCTCAAAATCAGCATAATCGTCATCAAAACTCTGAAAGCGAATTAAAACGTCAAGCCGGTGGTCAGCATGCAAAGCAGGCGAAGTGCTCATTCTGACCCTGACCCTAACCCCAACCCTTGACCCCGCTGGCAGGTTTGGGGGCTCCCTCTGAGGATGGAGCTCATTGTCGTGGGGACACCTCTAGGTGAAATTTCGGTGACGTCTTTAGAACGTGACCAACACTCCCTCCATGTACCTCCCGACTCCTGGAGCATCCACCGTGGATCCAGACGAGGCCGCGCCCGACTTACCGAATCTCCCGGGTCTAAGGGGTCGTATTTGCACTCGGCAAAGACCTTCACCAGCTCAAAGACTTCGTCGTAAATCTGAATGACCATGCTTCCGAGGATGTTCCCCCTCACGCCTCCAAGCTCAATCTTCTCCAACTTCAGAAACTCAATGGCTGTTTTATAAAGATCCTGGTGGAGGAAAAACACCCCAGTGATCTTCATCACTGAACAGCGGACCGGTCACGGATCTAGCTCTGACCCCAGCACGGAGGAGCCAGGGAGCAAGAAGCCGTGGGGGCACGTGGCAGTGGGGAGGGGGGGACCCTCTGTTTATTTCTGTCCTCTGAAGTCCTTCCTGGAACTCAGAGGGGACGGAAGGAAGTGCCCCGTGAGTCATCTCCGAGCTGTGAACGCGGAGCAGAAGGGAGAGATGAGGTCGCTCCTGTCCGGAAGCAGTTGGAAAGGCCCGTGGAGGCTTCTGGTGCTCTGATTAAGCCCCAAATCCTCTGCTTCTCGGAAGACCATCCGCACGTGGAGCCCGTCCTGACGGTGATCTGAACAGATGCCCTCACGCAGGGGATGCCCGACGGATGCGCACATGCAAATCCCACTTCCTTGGAGGAGGGGCTCTCGTCTCATCTCCTCCTGGAGGCTTTTCCAACTAATTCTGGCCCTTGGTGGTGCTCTCCTTTCTGGAACTCTCCTCTGCCCTTTGTCTTAGCATTTAGTCACACCCGGTTCCATCACATTACTTCCCGCGTCTGTGCGAGGCCTGACTCCCAAAGGCCCCTTGAGGACCCCAGCTGGTCTCGGGACACCGGGCCCGGCCCCGTTAGATGCAAGATGCTCACGTGGTGCTCACGTCCCTCCCCTAAGCCCGGTGCTGGGGTTGGGGCCATCTTCCCCAAATGTCCTCCCCAAAGCAGACCCAACAAAAGGCAGCAGCGTGGCGGTGCCCTGAGCTCGGGCTCTTGCCTGCCAGGAGGAGGGCTTCGTGTTCCTGGCTACATCCCGGGCTCTGGAAAGCCCCCTTCCCAGGAAGCTCCTCCCCCTTCAGCACCTGTACTGTAGGAGCCTGGTCTGGGGCCGGGGGCCTCTGGGCATGAAGAACACCCCGTGGTGCAAATCTGCAGTCCTCAGGGGGTCTTCCTCGTGGCCAGAGGCTGGGGATGGGGGGAGACCCGGAGGGCCCGCCCAAAGCCGCTGCTAGGTGGTGGCCGTTGGCAAAACCAACCCTCCGGGATTCTGGGTGATTTTTCCCTTTTGAATGGTGTGAATAGTATGTGCACAAACACAAACAACCACAGGGGCCGGACCATATGGAAGATTACAGACAAAAAGCCAAACTTTCTTGCCCTGCCCACGTCTTTACGCCTCAGCTCTTCTCCCCGGAGGCAGCCGTCTTGAACCAATTAAAACTGTTCCTGGGTTCTGTGTCTGCTCCATGTATCTGACGGTGCTTCTGCAGGGTCTGGCCCTGCCCGCACTTGTCCTGACGAGCCCGCTAACCCTCTCCCTTGGCCTCCCGGCTTCCCGACCTCGTCCATGCCCCCTGTCATCAGCCTGCGTGTAGACACCGGCGTGGGATGGTGGACAAGCAACCAAAATGGGCCACTTCTGCTCTTGGCTAATGGCCGGTCCCTGACTCGGTTTCCCCACAGTGAGGGTGCTTGGGTGTGGCTTTCATCCTCCCCACCAGGAGACTGTTTGTGGACGTGGGATGAGTCGGGGAGACGCAGCTCTGCTGAGGTCAGGGCAGCCTCAACCACATTTCCCCTTTACCTCAATGGTCTGGATGCGATGAAAGAAGGAATTCATTCTGGAAAATGCCAGAGAAGAAGGGAATTCCCAGGGCACGGGCTCCTTGTCCTGTCCAGAGACAGAGAGGAGGCCGCGCTTGCCCCACACATTCCCTCGGAGGCCTGGGGAGCCCACGCCCTCTCGCCCTCGAACTTGCTCTAGAGTCAGGCTGGACCTTGAAGAAAAGCTTCATGTTGGCGCAGCAGAAATCGTAGGTGTGGTACAGCTCCTTCAGGATGCGCACGGACAGGGAGATGCCGCTCAGAACCTCCTCCGTCTCTCCCTGCAAGCCTTTCAGCACCTCGTCTGGGCTCAGGAAAGTGCGCGTCTGGGCAGAGGAGAGCACATTCCATAGTCCCCACGAGCCCTCCGGGTGACGTGCAGCCCGCAGGCCCCGGCAGCTCACAGACAGCCCGCTGTGGGCCCGCGTCCCTCCAGTCCCCTGCTGCCGACCCCTGGGCCCCCAGCACGGCTGCAGCAGAAACAGATTTCGGTCCCGGATGACTGGAGGGTGACTGGGAGGTGACTGGGGGGCCTCCAGGGGCCGAGGCCTCCGGTCCTGCCGCGCAGGGCCCTTCCACGCCTGCACGCAGGCAGCCCAGACGCCAGCACTGGAGGCCGGGGAGGGCGTGCTTGTGCAAGCAAGGAAGGGCGTCTGTGCTGGGGGAGCCCCGCGGCGTGTCGGTGTAGGAGCAGAGAAATCCCACCACCCTGGCCGAGTCCTGGGGTCCTGGGCCTCGGTGGGCAGCGCCCCCCCATCCTTTCCTCCTCCCTCCCGGCGGGGGCTGCTTGGGCTGATGCTGCCCAGGTCACGAGAGAGCCCTGGGTGGCCTCCAGGAGGGCCCAAGCCTGGGCCCAAGCCTAGCCCCAGCCTCTAAACCCCGCTGCCAACATCTTTGCCTGTTTTTAAAGCACCCAGGAGGGGGCGCCTGGGTGGCGTTGTCGGCGACGCGGCCGGCACTTGATGGCAGCTCAGGTCAGGATCTCAGGGTCCTGGGATCCCCCCATGGGCCCCCTGCTCTGCGGGATTTCTTTCCCTCCGCTTCTCCCCTGCTCGAGAGCACACACACACTCTCTCTCTCTCAAATCAATAAACCCAAACTGCCCAGGAAGCCAGTCGGGAGGAGCAGGCGGCGGGGCTGGGGCAAGGCTACCATCTCGATGATCTGGTTGCAGAACTCCTGCAGGATGACGATGATCCTGGAGGGCGTGTTGTAGTGCTCCGAGGTGGCCCAGATGAAGCAGATGGTGTGCAGCACCTTCGCGATGAAGGTCGGGAGCTGCGGAGAGACGGGCCAGCCTGCGGCGTCTCTGCCGGCTGTGCTGCCCGGGCTCTGGGAAGAGGCACCCCCGCCCCCCCCTCCCCCGCCGGGGCACCTGCCCGCCCCTCACAGGGGCCTTCCTCAGGCCAACACACCACCGCGAAGTCGGCTTGCTCCATCTCCTCCAGCAGGATCCGCAGAGGCTTCAGATACAGAACAATGTCGTTGGCCTCCTTCAGCCCTGCAGAGCGAGAGCGTCGTGACAGCGGCTCTGTGATCGTGGGGCACCTGTTCCCTCAGGACCCAGGACCCCCCCCCCCCCCCGCCAACCAGAGGAAGCTGCTGTGGGGAGGCGCCCCAGCCCCTCGCTGAAGGCACCCGCCGCTTCCCGCCTCACCGTCCGTGACGTTCATGTACACATTTTGCAGGGCCGGCCAGTAGCAGCTTTTGGCTTTTTCCAGGATCTCAACTATTTTGTTCACTTTGGGCCTGTTCAGCTGAGAAACAGAGAACAGGAACGGACATAAGCCTCCCATAGAAGCTCGGAGTCGCTACCCAAAGGCACGCGACCCCACAGCTGCTGGAGCCGAGGACTTGGCCCGGGCTATCCGGGTCCCCTCAGGGATCCTGGGGGTCCGCACAGAGGGGTTGAGGGGTCACGAATTCGCCTGGCTAGGACGCGGGCCCCCTGGCTGCTGAGCAGTAGAGGCCCGGCCACCCCCGTGGAGAGGAGGCGTCACCTGCTCGTGGATGCACTTGAGATTCATCAGTCGGGCATCCCAGAACTCAAACTCGACCTGGGGCAGGGGGTGTAGCCCGTCCAGCAGGGCCTGGGCCGAGTCTTTGCTCAGCACGTCCCGGATCTGGTGGGACCAGTCGATGATGATGGTTTCGATGGCGTGCAGCAGCGAGTTGTCCAGAGAAGAGGGGATCCTGCGCAGCAGAAGGTCGGGCAAGATGCTCTGGGTGGGGATCGTGCCTCCTCAGGGCCCCCCCGACAACAGCACCCAAGCAACCTCCAGCAGCACCGCATCTGGCCTCGCGCCCCACGCTCCTCACTCGCAGCCACCTGGGGAGGCTGGAAGAGTGCCCCCGATCTCCCAGCTAAGAGAAGCGCCGCGGAGCAAGGATGAGACCAAGTGTGGAACATAATCCATGCTCAATGTGGCTTCCCTGGCCGTCCTTATTGGAGGCACACAAGGCTGTGTTGGGGGCCGAGTGGAGGACTCTCAGCGGAGGATCTGCCTGCACAATGAGCCCCCCAATAGCGGTCACCCTCTGATGTGTGCAAGTGGAACACGCTGTCACCCTGCAGCAGCTCCAAGAGCCTCACACACCAGCCAGTTGCAAATGGTGGTCCGGCAGGCGCGAGGGGACGTCCCAGGGCCTCTGAGGTGACTCAACCTCTATTTAGAATCACAGTCTCCACCTGCTGAAAACCCCTTCTGCACCCCTGAGCACCCACATCCTAAGTCGGGACATCCCCTTTCCTGGCTGTGTGATGCCGGGGGCAGCGTGACACCCTACACATGGCACATCAGGCCCAGACTGGTACCCAGTGTACTGGGTGAGGGGCTCCGGGCTCCCTCCTGTCCTGCCCCTGTGCCTTTGACCTCAGACTCTGCACAATCTCATGGTACCACCTGTCCTCCCGTGTTTCATCCCCGGGGCACAGGGGTCAGCGGCTCCTCCGGCCGGCCTGTTGCCGGGGCTCGGCAGATACCTCTCCATGGACTCCAGCGTGCCGTCCAGACTCCCCAGGTGCTCCGGGATGGGCAGCAGGGTCTTCCCCTTGATCTTGCCCCCCATCACAAACATCTCATTCTTCAGCTTGTGGACCTGCTTCACAATGTCTTCCGAGACCACGCGGGGCCATCCACTCAAGTTTTCGCTTTGGTTTAACAGAGAGTAGAGCACCTGAAAGGGAATGGCTCTGTACTTGTGCCCATGCCCCCTCCTACCTGGTGGCTCCCGGGGGGAATAGGGAGACCTCGGTGCCTGGAACCTGGGGACACCGAGTCCACGCCAGGAGGGGGCATGGCTGGTCGAGGAGCGCAGACTCAGCATGACGGCCCAGCAGCAAAGTCATCCCCAAGAACAGAGCCCCAGCTCTCCCAGCAGTGGCTCACAACGCTTGCTGCTGCCCGGCGGGGGCCGGGGGCGCTGTTAGGGGCGGAGCTGGGCCGCCTACTTGTGCATGTTGAAGACCCAACCCCAGCACCTCTGCGTGTGGCTGTCTTTGGAGATGGGCCTTCTAAGAGGTGATTAAGTTAAAACGAAGTCCCATGGGTGGGCCCAAATCCAATGTGACTGGTGGCCTTATGAGAAGAGATCTGGACGCAGCTGCCATCCCTGCCTGGGGTGACCACGGGGACAAGGCAGGACAAACGGCACCGCATCAGACTGCACCCTGTTCTTTCTCTTTCTTTACTCAAAGTCTCAGAATTGGGAAGCGCATCTCCTGGTACTCAAGTGGTCCACACCCTGGGACCCTGTGGGCCGCACCCAGTGCATCTGTGGTCCCAACGATATCGAGGGAGGACCAGGTGCTAGTTGTGGCCTCTCGGCCCTTGGGTGCACAGCACCGCCTGGAGGTCTGTCCCCACACCAGGGCGGGCAGGGCCCGGGCTCCTGCATTTCTGACAGGCTCCCAGGGAGGTTGACGCTGTGGCCCGGGGGCCACCCTCTGAGCAGTAGGGCTCTCGGCCACTCACCACAAGTATGAGAAACAGACACTGTCCCTCCAGAGCTCTCGGCCCCCAGCCCAGCGCAGGCCCGCTTGGCACCCACCTCCTCCACGGTGGCGATCAGCTGGTCCACGGGTGCGGGGCCGATGTCCCCGTACAGGAGACGGTCCTTGTAGTTATCCTTGCTGATGTTCTCTGGTCCCTTCTTGATGAAGTAAACCCCTTTGGACTTGAGGGCGGCGGGGAAGCCCAGGCAGGGTATGATCACGCCGGCGGGACTGAGCGTCAACACCAGAACCAGGACGTCCGGCTTCTCAAAGAACTCGGTGAATAAGACCATGTTCTCTTCGGCTCCGATCAGCTTGCTCCACTTGTCGGGCTTGAACCTCAGAATGAGGGAGGCTACTCCCTCCAAATACTCTAACCTGACGTCCGGCGTGATGGTCATCGCGGCGCCTCCTTACGCTGCCCGCCGGGTGCCCGAGACGCTGGCGCAGTGCTGTTTCTGGAGACACGTGGAGCCTCTGTCCTGGCCAAGGGGGAGGAAAGTCCCCTCGCGAACGTGCACCCGGCAGCTGTGCGGGGCCTGTGGCGGGGGGGGCAGAGGGGTCCCGTCGGTCCGTCCCACTGCACAGCCGCCCCCCGCCCTGCCGGCGGGCTGTCGCCATGGCGCAGGGCCACATAGCGGCAGCGTGTGCCCGTGTCCATCGTGACCAGGAAGCTAAAGCTGGGAAGGGCAGAGATGGGCGCTGGGGACAAGCGAGGGCGGGAGATGACGGGCCGGTCCGCAGGTGCTGGGGCGGGGGAGGCCCGATGAGACAAAGGAAGGGTCAGGTTGGAGGGTCCCGGGGCAGACGCCACACCCCTCGGTCCGGGTGGAGCTCGGCACGCGGCGGCCGTGCAGGGAAGCGTGAAGGTCATTACGTGCTAGGCCCGCCCTAACCCCGGCCATAGTGTACCCCAACTTTTGCCCAGCCCTTTGGCCTCCCCCGCCTGACCCGCCCCCCCACCGTATGCTCAGGAAGGGATCCAGCTGCAGATCCCCACAGACCCTTGGAAGCTGCTCACACGCCCACCTGCAGGGGCAGAGCTAACAGGAGAGCCGGTGGGGGGGAGGTGGGGGGGGCTTAAAAACACCTTCAAGTCCTGAAGGACCAGGACTAGGGTGGGGCCGTGAGGCATACTGAGGGCACAACATTCAAGGGATCAAGAGAAGGGATCCCTGGGTGGCGCAGCGGTTTGGCGCCTGCCTTTGGCCCAGGGCGCGATCCTGGAGACCCGGGATCGAATCCCACATCGGGCTCCCGGTGCATGGAGCCTGCTTCTCCCTCTGCCTGTGTCTCTGCCTCTCTCTCTCTGTGACTATCATAAATAAATAAAAATTTAAAAAAATTAAAAAAAAAAAAGGATCAAGAGAAACGACATTTCAGTATTTTTGACAAGATCAGCGCAAGCCAAGTCATGGTGAACAGAGCGCCAGAATTCCAAGTGAGCAGCCCAGTGGGGAGGGTGGGCGTGGGGGGAGGCAGGCGGGAGAGCTCTGGGGTCGGACCCCCCCCACCCGGCTGCATGAAGTTAGGCCTGATGCTGGTTTAACACAACCTCGGGGACGTGCGGCCCTAGGTTTCGGGGGTCCTGGCTGACCGGGCGCCCAGCAGCTACGTCCACCCCCGGCCCAGGCTCCTGGGGCACTTCTGCTGCGGCCCCGCGGCAGATCCCCGCTTTTGCTTTGACCAAAGCCACCGCAGTGAGGATGGTTACAGGACGCAGCTCCCGAAAACACTCCTGCTATGGAAGAGGCGGTAGGTCATCCCGCCACCACGCTGCGGCCAAAGCACTGGACGGCGGCGGCGGCTGTCATCACATGGGCTGGATCGGCTCCGAGCGCAGGGCCCTCCGCGAGGGGACTCGGGGGACTGGTGGACAACAAGCTGCGGGAAGTTCCGGGGGCCGGCGAGCCACACCTGTCTGGGTGGCACATCCATGGACAGAGGGGGGGCACGCGGGTGCTGAGGCGCAGAGGAAGGGCGATGTGTATTTTGGGGGGAAGGCCAGGAGGTCCCTGGTTCCACGTGGTGTTTTGCGAGGAAGGCAACCACAGCCACGGGGGCCCTTGGTGCACAGGACGGATCCCCGGGGGGAGGCCCTACACGGGGCCCTCACAACCTGGCAGGGAGAAGCCGGGACAGGGGGCTTCCAGGCCTGGAGCGGCTGGTGGGGGGGCACCAGGACGGCAGGGAGGGAGCCGGGCCCACCGGCCCAGACCCCTGATGGCTCGAGCAGGGGACAGGGCAGCTCCTGGGGTGGGTGTTGGGTCTTGGCCCCCCAGGGCCTGGGGGCCGTCCCTGTGCTCCAGAGCCCCCCCGGGCTTCGCCCCCGAGCACCCGAGCACCGTCAAAGCCTCACCAGCTGAGCAGGTGGCTGCTCCGGGCGTAGGCAGGGCCGACTGACGGGCAGCTCTTTCCCAGACCAGAAAGGAAATGGCTTCCTATCCTGGAGGGGCTCCAACTGCCGCGGAACTTCTGCAGGTCTCCTCTGCACCTGGGGCTTCTAGAACCTTCTCCTGGGACCTGAGAGAGCACTGGCGGTGCAGCAAAGAGTGAGCCTCCATGGCCCACCATGGTGGGGAGGCTCTTGGATGTCATATTTTTTGAACGCAGTTGAACCTTCTTTGCTTTTGACCTGGAGCATTGAGTCAGGGGTAGGCAGGGCTAGGTAGGGAGAGAGAGGTAGGGGGCTAGGTGGTCAGGCTCTTGGAAACCCCAAAACGCGGAGGCGTAACAGAACCAGGGATAAGGGGATCCCTGGGTGGCTCAGTGGTTTAGCACCTGCCTTTGACCCAGGGCGCGATCCTGGAGTCCTGGGATCGAGTCCTGCGTCAGGCTCCCGGGGTGGAGCGTGCTTCTCCCTCTGCCTGTGTCTCTGCCTCTCTCTCTCTGTCTATCATAAATAAATAAATAAAACCTTAAAAAAAAAAAAAAAGAACCAGGGATAAGGGACGTCAGAGGTGGGGACCTTTTGATGACAGTCACGTGTGACCAATAAGGAATAACCAGACCCAGAAAAAGAAGTAAGGCATCAAAGATGTGATCACTAGTCCTCACACGATGGTGTAGAGAAGTTGAAAAGATTTAGGTTTCCCGGTTAGATTTCAATAAAAGCCCAACCCTACAAAACCCTCAGTGGCAACCCTGCCGGGACCCCTCCCACTCCCGAGAGCTCTTTCTGTATCTTGGCTTCATGAAACTCTATCGCTTTCCTCACTCTCCTCGCTCCGTGAGATTCATCCTTCCACCTTCTGAGACGAGAACCTCGCTCTCCCCGTTCATGTGGGTGCTGGGACCCGGGACCCCTCCCACTGAAGGGTGAGTGGAAGCAGACTCTCCTGTTCTTCCCAGAGAGATGGCTCTCCCTTGGGTGACCTCTTCTTTTAACAAACAGCAAAACCGGGCACCTGTCGGCCAATTAAAGGCAAATAGTGCGGCCGCCAGTGTTAAGGCTCAGGTGATAGACTTCTGGAGAAAGGTTTGGGCAATCCCCCTTCCTCAAAAGGAGGTAGTGTTGGGGCCTAACCCTACCCGGTTCTGCTTCCTGTTCATTGGTCTTTCTTTCTTTCTTTCTTTCTTTCTTCTTTCTTTCTTTCTTCTTTCTTTCTTTCTTTTTTCCTTCTTCTTTCTTTCTTTCTTCTTTCTTTCTTTCTTTCTTTCTTTCTTTCTTTCTTCTGATTTTTAAAGATTTTATTTATTCGTGAGAGACACAGAGAGAGGCAGAGACATGGGCAGAGGGAGGCAGGACTCGATCCCAGGACCCCAAGAGCTGAAAGCAGACACTCAACCACTGAGCCACCCATCATTGGCTTTTCTTTTTTTTTTCTTTTTTTTTTTCATTGGCTTTTCTTAAATGACTTTCTACTCCTGCAAGTCCACTCCCAGTTCCTGCAACCCTTACCATACTGGGATTTAAATCTATCATCTTAAAAATAATAATAATAAAATTAAGATAAATAAATAAATAAATAAATAAATAAATAATAAATCTATCGTCTTACTGAGTCCTTGATATCTGTCTGGCCTCTTCTAGAATGTCTTTCTTCTCCTTTCTTGCCTTCTCCTGGATTACATAATTTTTATTATTTCATCCCCTCTCATTCGGAGACATCATAACATGCATCCTGACTCTCCCCACTATAATATTCACTGCAACCCGATAATGGAATTCAGAAAACCATTTCCATTTACAATAACATCAAAATAATTCTGCTTACGATTCCATTACAAGAGCATCAGAAAGAATAAAATACTTAGGATTAAGTTTCATTTTATTTTTTAAAGAGATTGTATTTATTTGACAGAGAGAGTGAGCGAGAGAGCGAGCGCATGAGCAGAGGGAGCGGCAGGGAGAGAAGCGGGATCCTCGGGATCCTCACTGAGCAGGGATGGATCACAGGACCCCGGGATCATGACCTGAGCCGAAGGCAGATGCCTAATCGACTGAACCACCCAGGTGCCCCAAGGATTAAATTTGTAAAAGGAAGGACTTAAAAGCTGAAGACCACAAAACATCACTGACACTAAATACCTGGGTGGATGAAAGGCATCCCGCGTTCAGGGCTGGGGAGACTTAATCTCGTTAAGATGACAATTATCCCCCAGCTGATCCATCATCGCTCTAGACTCAACATAAGCCCTGTCGAAAACCCCAGCTACCTCCTGGCAGAAAGGGGGAAGCTGATCCTCCACGTCACATGCAAATGCAAGGTAACAAAAAGAGCCGAAACAATCCTGAAGAAGAACGAGCTTGGAGGACTCGCGTTCTCCGAGGGCATCACTCCCTTCCCAAGCACAGTGATGAAGCCGGAGCGCTTCCAGCACAGGGACGGTCGTCCAGGTCCACGAACTGGGAGTGAGGGCCCAGGAGTCCCCGCACACCTCGAGGGGAAGGTGGAGTTGGGGGCTCCAGGATGGTCCAGCGGGGTGGGCAGCCGCCTTTCCAAGAGACGGCGCTAGAACAAGTGGCTTCTGTGCACAGGGAAGGAGGCCGGACCCCTACCTCACACCACCTACGAACATCCACTAAAACTGGATTGAAGACCCAATGGTAGGAGCTACAGCTATAAAACCCTAGAGTGAGACAGAGGAGCAGATGTCCAGGACCTCGGAGGGAGCGATGGTTTCTTTTTTCCTTTTTAAAAAAGATTTTACTTATTTATTCATGAGAGAGAGAGAGAGAGAGAGAGAGAGGCCGAGGAACAGGCAGAGGGAGAAGCAGGCTCCATGCAGGGAGCCCGACGTGGGACTCGATCCCGGGTCTCCAGGATCATACCCTGGGCCGGAGGCGGCGCTAAACCACTGAGCCCTCCTGGGCTGCCTCTGGAGCGATGGTTTCTCACAGAGGACACCAAAAGTATGAGATCAAACAGAGCATCACCCAAGTTAAAAATCTGGGGGCTTCTATAAAGGGCACGATAAAGGTGAGAAGACGCCTCACGGGATGGCAGCGAGTGTTCTCACCTCTGAAGGGACTTGCGCTCAGGCTACGGATGTAACTCATAGCACAATCCTAACAGTGCAAACCACATACTTAGAAGTGGGTCGAGGACATAGATATTTTCTCCAAGGAAGACATAGAGAGGCCCAGTAAGCCCAGAACAGGGGGTCACATCACAAGTCGCCAGGGAAGGAGCTTGTGTACGGCGCCCAGAGCCATCAGAGTCATCGAGACAGACGTGCCCAGCGCCCAGCCCCTCACAGAGCAGGGC